AAGAGTAGGGTGGGCCTGAGCGGCTGACAACATCGTTTTGTGAGTTTGGCTATTATAACAACATTTATTCAAACTATTTTAATGATGGAGTATAAATAAAAGATTTCATGATGCCATAATATATAATTTAATGCTATAATAATAAAAAATTAGAATCAAAATATCCATCGAAAAGTACAATTTTTTCTTTATTTTATTTATCGTTTCGTAACTTCTCTTCATTTATTTAATGAACATTTCAAATGGAGAAAAGCTTGAACAAAAAAATTATATAAGAAAAGTTAACAAATATTTTTTTAATGCTTCAGATTGAAAAAAAAAAAAAACTTAAAATTGTATTTACTTTTCTTTAATTTAATTTATAGAAATATTAAAACTCTCCTTTTCCTCGCATGTCTTCACATCTTCAACTACATTTCATAAAGACTGAAAGTAACTTGACAAGTAGCTAGTTAGAACTGCTTGGGATACGATTTTTTTTTTTTTTCAACGAGGCAGTGGATCTAAAACCTTATTAGCTTATTTAGTGGTGATTTTTCTTTTTCTTTTTGTGACGCTGTTTTTTATTTGAAGTATAATAGTGGGGCCGTATCTACTTTTGAGAACTGGACCGTATGTTATAATCTATAATTGCATCGATTAGATGCATTAATTAAGAAAAAAAACATTAAGATAATAACCAAAGCAATCTTTTTAATAGAAAAAGGAAAAGCAGTTCGTATAATAATTTGTTTGAAAACTTTGCCGTCGTAGTTTGACTATTCTCGTTATGGGCAATGACCCTACCATAATCCAAGGGGGCAATGAACATGAACACTGTCTTTCCTTATTAAATTTGTTGTGGAAGTTACATAATTTGATAGAATTCAATTTAGTTCAATGTTATAAATATAATTATAATAATATTTTATTTGCAATCAAAGTTTTTTTTTTTTTTTTTTTGTCAATCAATAGTAAATCAGATTAAATCAAGCTGATATTTTGGTTCTGCCATTGCGCGTGGAGAGTGGAATGAGTTCAAGCCTCTAAGGTCCAAACAAATGCATGGCTTATTATCTTTGCATGTGTCAATGGGCCCCGTTTTGATCCTAAAATCCCCTGATTTTGACTCACTTCGGGGTTGGGATGATGGGTATGACCAGCGGTGGGTGGATCTTATTTTATTTATTTATTTATTTTAAAGTAGGAAAATGATGACCACGCTCAACAAACGATCACTGACCCTCGTTCGCAAGGCCTAAACGGCGTCATTGAGCTGCTACCACAAGATAAAATCATAATTAAAAGCCCCCCCTCCCTTTCTCCTCCTCTTCTAACACATTTATGTGTCCGTTTTTCAATTAAATTTTACGAATTTGATTTTGTTGATGAGAAGGTTTGTAATTAATCATGTATATTTAAAACTTTTATCTAAAACACAATTCTGATAAAGTAATGTTATTTGAGTTTACTGTTATCAATTGTTTTTTGAAGTAATTATTAAAATGAGTATGTACATATTGCTAAAGTAATAATATAATATTAAATTTTAAAGATATTTTTGGCAATATACATTCAAGTGAATTTTTTATTATAAAAATAATAAAGTATTGTTTTTACAATTGATTAATAGTATCATAATTTTACTACAAAATTATCAAACTTGTTAGCACAAATTCCGGAACATGTTTACGGGTATCCAAATATGCTTCTAATTTTTTTAAGAGCTTTCCTTTTTCATCAAATAGGGAGACTGGTTTTTTGTCATAAGCCCTGGAAACTAGAAAGAATGCTTCAAATATTGTTAGTATTATATTTATTATTTTCTTTTGATAAGATAAAGTTTAGAAAACGAAATGTTATCCCAATCTAATAACAGCACTCTCCATTCAAATAAAAGTGAACTTTGCTATTCTTTTTTGTTACATTTAAGATGCAAACACTAGAGCTTATAAAAAAAAGTTTGATAGATTTTAATACTTCTTACATTAAAACGAAACTCGAATCTTAAATACTAAGGGGCGTTTGGTTGAAGATAAATTTTAAGAATACTAGAGAAATATAATTATTAGGTATCCATAGGGAAAGTTGAATAGATGATGAAGTTAAAAAAAAGTAGTTTGGTTTGACAAAATTTTACCAGGAAAATACATGACAAAAAGTGTGTCAACAGTGCTTTATCCGGGTTTTCTCAAAAAACCACTCTCAAATCGAGTTTCTAAATAATGCAAATTACTATCTTTCTCAAAAAGTCATGCATTTCACATAGATGAGTTTTGGTCAAAAGCTGTTGAACCAAACATTATTTTTCTAAAAATCAAACTTCATTTACCTGGGAAAATCTAAAAAAGCATGAAACCAAACGCCACTAAATTAAATGTCAATTGAATTACAAGCTCCGAACAATATTAAGAGAAAAGTTAATAATACATTCTTCGCTATTATCTTTTTAATTATTTCTTAATATTAGGTAAAATTTTGGGATGATCCTATATATAGTAAACTCAAGTCATTTGTGAAACTAATATGAAATTTTATCTGCTAATAAAGGGAATTCTTAAATAATTGTGTTAATGTTAATTCCTCAACTTATTATATAATTACTTTTTTTTGTTTAAAGACTATTATAGCAATACTAAATGAGCGTGCTCCTACTTTATTATTTAGAGGAAGGTTATTCTTATATTTTTTTTTACAAACTCTTACAACCATATTTTAGCATCGTTGATTTTCGTCAATCAACGGTTATCATTTATTGTGAATTAATAATTAATCAATGAGTTTAATTTACGAAAATCATAATTGTTGATTGACTGGAAATCGTTGATTGGCAGAAATCAACGGTGTTAAGATATGATTGTAAGAATTTGTAAAAAAAAAAAGTTATAAGTATAATCTTCTTCTCTTATTTATATTTATATTTAATACTTTATATTTATTTTCACCTTTGTATGGTTATGATTTCTCATATTTAATATTTTCACTTTAAATATGGGGAATCATCACCATACAAAGATGGAAATAAATATAACCGTTGGATCAACCTAATCGATCTAACGATGAGATTAATTGGTAATCACTTGATATTAACACAACTTGATTGTCATAATATCCTTCCCCATTATTTATATGTACTTTTTATAAAAGTTTCAATGTAACGGCTCTATTTCCACAGCATTTTGAAAGTTTGAATTTGAAATTGTTTGAAACCAAGGTTTTGCAGGCACACAGCTGTCAATCCGATTTAAGGCTGAAACTTACAATTACAATTTCGAAGGAAGATATCTTCGCAGTTCGTACGATTGCCTCATCCATTTGGATATCGCATACCCACTTCTGTACTTTTCCAATTGCAGAAAGCACTCGAATACCTTTTTTTAGATTAGAGGACACCGAAGGGAAAGATTAATGGAGAGAAAAAGAATGCCAAAGTAGGAAAGGAAAGCAAGTTTAAAAAAGAAGAAGAAAAAAGAGCAAGGTGAGCATGAAAAAGAAGATGGATTTATCTTCCCAAATGAAAAGAAAACGGGAAAAAAAAAGTACGAAAGCTTTATTAAATTCTAAAGTAATATCCAAATCAATGTTTAATCACAAGATTTTTATTCTGACGATTTTTCTTCTTATAACTAGGGTGAAAGTAGGTTCACTTGGACCAAGCTTTGTTCTGAAAAATCAAAGCCTACGTTAAAAAAATTTAATTTAGCCTAGTCCAAGCCTAATAAGAGTCTAACTATTAATTTGGCTTGGCCCGTTTATAAAAAAACAAATGGCCTTACCTAGTCCGTTAGCCTGTTAATTTTTAACTTCCAAGTAGAATCATAAATCAACCTTACAAAATACTCAAATCCTGTTGCTAAAACAAAAAATCATAATTTCAACGTCCAGACATTATCATGAATCACAACAAAACTCATACAATCTGCATTTAAGTCACTTTCAAAAGTAAAATAATTAAACTAAATAACATATATTTCATCAGACCCAACAAATAAATTCATACTATGTAAATTAAAATAATTACGTGAATCCAACAAACACATCATAATGCTTGTAGTAAGTATAATCTCTCTCAAAAAACTTTTTAATATATTCATATACACAATCTAACATGTTGAGATGTTGATTCCTCCTACATAAAAAATAGTTATAAACTCTAAAATATAACCGAATATAATTAAATTATAAATAATTGCAATTGATTAAATTTATATCTTTTATTTTTACTTCAAGACATACTTATTCTATTTTATTTTATTTAAAATAAATAATATAATATAGGCTGACCTGTAAACTTATAAGTCAGGCCTTGTGAAAGTGGGCCTACGGCCTTTTTATTAAACAAACTTTTTTAAGGCCTAAGCCCAACCTATTTTACGAAATACACTAAGTCAAGTATGACTTAACGTAAGCTCCTGTAGGCCGACCCGACCTAATTTCACCCCTGCTTATAACGATTACATTTTCTAGCTTCCTGGTTTTTATGTAACCAGAAAAACGAATTTTTTATTTATTTATTTTCTTTCTACTCATTTTCTGGTCCCACGAATATCAGAGAACATTAATCTTCTGTCTATTCATTTTCTATACAAAATGACTGAAGCATACGGCATAACGGGAGTATTCTTCATATTCTGATTTCCTGTTTCTTGCGAATGCACTGGACTTTTCCGATCCGGTATCAGGTTAAAAAAAAAAAAATTTAAACTAAAAGAAATTATGGCTATTTTCCGACAAGCAGTTTGACAAAAGAAACATAACAAATTGCTCCCCGACTAAGGAATATGAACATAAATTATTTTGGTTTAAATAATGCAGTAAATAAACAGGCTATTAATTCGAAAACCAATACCAAAAAAACAAACAAACAAATAGGCTACTACTAGAAGTCTTTGAACGGTCCCTCTAAGTTGATTACTAACAACTCATTCACTTTAAGGTGGTGTGGCAGACTAGCAGTGACACCGATCCACCTAACCAGCAGAACACAATAATTCATCTGAGAAGAATCAGAGTTGGAAGAAATTAAAATATATACATTAAGGTCTCTAAAAAACCACTTCCCATGTCAGCAATACATTGAATCAAGCTAAGAAAAGAAAGCCATGGAGACTTCCCTAACGATCCAGCTGCAAGGTCACATATATATATCTACATAACTGGGTGGCTACAAGAGAGTAAGAACCTCTATAACCTCATACTACTAGCCTACTACTATATCCGAAAGATACAATTCAACGATAAATATGTTACACAATACGACGGGAAGTGGATATTACATACATTATCTCGGTTAGCATAGACAATATAACTTAAAAAACATAATCATCATCCTTCGTCGCTTCGCTCCATGTCATTTGCACACAGTCTTGAGCCTCTTTGCAGCTTGGACAAATCCCACAATGACCTGCAACTCGTCCATTTGCTTCACAAGAGAGAAACACAATTTCAGATCATAATAACAGCAAAATACTTGATTAAGTTCTACATCTAACATCCGGAATCTCTTGAGCACATACACCACTATTCACATTTAAAAGTAAGAGGCCTTATCCATTAGGCAGATTTTAGTGACATGCTTGTGTCATATACACATCACTTTGCCAGGAACTGATAAATTAGCTTACTCTGTAAGAGATTGGAACCGGATATGCAGTACACCCCTACAAAAATCTCATTTACAAACCGTAGAATATTTCAATAATTCCTGGAAAGACAAACAAATATGTAAGCACTAATTTTTAGGTACCTGCGACATGAAATGCCTCTGAACAACAGCTACTAGCTGCTCTTTTGATGGGTTTGGGATGGCATCCACCTACAAATCAATTATAGAATTAAGTTAAATTGACACACACACACACACGGCCATAAGCAACTTTCGTGGGAGATTTAACCAAACAGTAAGTTTTAGGAATTTACTAGATTGAAATGTCGCCAATATCTCCACAATGCAGCCATTTCAAGTTTGCTCAAGTCAACCTTCTACCAAAAATATTTAAAAATAACGTCAATAATTAAATTATCAAGGAATAAATCATCTATTATGTCGGTGGATTGGAAAATAAATCATGACAAAAAGAAAGAAGGTAAAGTTGATATACCGTGGACCCATTAGGCATAGAAACGGATCCCTTAGACTGTGAATCACCAGAGAAGGACCTACTCATGGTCTTGTGAGATGATCCCAATGATCTATGCATTCTGTGCCTCGATTTGTGCGACTTCTGTGTGTCGTCCGATGCTGAGAAATAGAACAAAGAATAAAAAAATCCGAAATAGTGGTGGGGTCAATAAAAATTAAAGTAAAACACTAAAACTTTAGAGATAGCAAAACCAAAAGGAGAAGACACAACGGATCCAATGTTAAAAAAAACAACAATTAATTAAACCCACGGACATGGAGGCCAAAACAACAATTAATTAAAAAAAAAACTAACTCGTTAAATCCGACTAGCGAGTGTGTGTTCCAAAACAACAATTAATTAACTAATAAAATATCCTGTTCGATATATGCCTACCTTCAGTGCTGGGTGCACACACAAGCAGGGATTACACAAATGTATATTACATTCCAGGAGAAAACAAAATGATAAACTTGTTTATTAGTCATTATTAAGATGATCTTGAAATAAAACATAACATCAGTACCAGTTCGCATGCAAGGCAGTTAGAAGTTGTGAAGGGTAAACTCACCCATATCTGATCCATTCCACTGCACATTTTCAAATTCGAGGTCATCATCTTCCTCATTACCGGTGGGTGCTTCAATCACACTGAGAGCATTCCTCTGTAGCTTAACTTCAATACCATTTGTAAGAACCTGCATTTGTTTATACCAAGAAAAAAGTAAAATAATCGTCTAGCCTACAAACAATTGGCAGCCTAGTTTCATGAATCGAAGCTCATATAGAATATTCAGAATTCAAATTCAAATATCCCAACAGGAAGCACCCGAGACAAGCTTGATGTCAATGCAATTTGTTAAAAATATAAAATGTATAACCAATCAGTTTTGTATACACAGGCAAAAATGAGAGAGAGGGAGAATTGGGGGCAAAATGAAGAATTTTATAACCAACGCTTTAAAGAATATCATTGATTCTGATCGAAGTAAAATAAACGTTAGCTTCTTATCCACATAAGCTTAATCTATATATGAAGGACTTCCGCATTCAGGATATAAACCATAATTAGTCATATGAAACAAAGATCATGAGTATTTATTTCATAATTTTTTGGGGTATAATCTGAGCTTGCATGTAAATTATCACTGGAAAATGATATAAAAAAAGAAAGAAAAAAATGCATGTAACGAACATGCAACAATCCCAAACAAAACATCTCCATCAGTTAGAGTAAAATCCGCCAGTGAAGATGATTTATTTAAAATAGGAAAAAATGCCAAAGGGGCGTAAAATACTCAATTATGGGTCCAATACCAAAACCAAAGCAAAGATCATTTAATTTACATCCGTGAATGAATAAAACCAAACAAAAGACCCATTAAACAACTGATTCTTATAGAGAACCTCATAAAACACCAGATCCAGCAATGAAGTAAGACATGCAATGGATAACAGAAGTAGCGATTCAAAATTATAACTCAAAACTTATACAGAGGAATAAATTCTATTCAAACTGAAAATGATTTTGAAAATCTAAATTAAAAGATAAGCACGAATGATTTGGGTTTAGAACAGATTAAAACCTTTTGGACTAGTTCAAAAATAAGAGACCTTCAATTAACAGGGGCTTCAGAGCAATTAAATTTGATCAGGATTGGATGAGTGAGGAAATAAAAACAGAAAAAATAGGAAAATTGACCGACATAAGACATTGGTTTGAATCACTTGCTTTCATTAGTAACCCAAAATTAGATTAAGGTAATGAAATTTACCAGCCAATGCCACCCTCCTAGACCAACGGCCTTCTTAACCACACCTTGAAGACCAACGAGCACCGATTTGGTACGGTTATTTCCGGTTACAACCACCTTGGTATGACGAGGGAGCACAGAGAGCTCCTCTTCGCTGCTATCTCCACAGCTCTGCAACTGGGAGAAGCCACCATTGACGGAACTTTCCATTGTTTCAAGCATTTCCAATTCAGCCGCTGAAAAGAAATTACTCAAATCAAATATCGAAATTGCATTCGTACGGAAGATCGTGCATTGCTGATGATGAATGTGCGTGTTTCAGGAGCAGAGGAGATAGGATAGAGGAGAAATTTGGGAAATTCTGCAGAGAGAAAAACACAGATAGAGAGAGAAGGGATGAGTGAGAGTGACTGCTATTGTTTATTGGTGTGTTGGTATGAATCCCGACGAGACGGAATGGGCCAATGAATGAATGCCACGTCAGTGAGAGGAGGGTGGGGCTCTTTAATCATGCGCTTGGAGAGAGCCGAGGTTACGGCATGAACATCATACAATACAATACCACTAGCGGATTTGGTTTTGAGGAGTTACTCCGCTTCACACTTTGACTGACATACCCTCACTATTTATTAACTATTAGATTAATTATTAAACAAACTATCCTCCACTTCCTTCCAATTATCTCATTTTTCCTTTCTTCCTTTTTTTTTTTTTTTCCTTCTCTCTCTCTTCCAATAAACAACCAGAGTCCAGAGCTATATCATAGCCACCACACCAGATATTATATATCATGTCCAATTTGTATTTTTTTTCTCAAGTACCTTATATGATGAAGATTATGAATTTCATCTTATAAAACCTTTCAGGTTGAGATTCCAAATTTAACCAGAAGTAATTTTGTAAACTTAAACATTTAGTTGTCAATGGCCTAAATTCAGTCCAGAGAAAACTCAGCTGCCCAAGTACGTAATACTACATTGCAATTGTACTTACTATACACAGAGAGTTACTTACTAAATATATAATCTGTTATTAATATGAAGGACTGCAATGATATTTACGGTCAACTTTCAATTACAGGAAATATCAACTTGTGATCAATTGCAAATGCAATTATGCATACATTCACTTTTATAATGAAGAAATAGAAAGCAAATAGTATTCGATCATTCTAGCATGAATCAAACAAATAGAAGAGAGAATATGGAAGCGGACATTTTGTAAAATAATAATGATATCTTGTACACTTTAATTTTTATATTTTTTTTTCTATATTTTCTTTATTTTAGTAAAAAAATTATTCTCACTTTTTTTTATAAATATAATTAAATGTAAGGAGAGACCATCAATTTATTATTTATAAATTGAGAGAACGGAACAAATAAAGCAAGGGATTTGCATTTGTCATTTAACATGACACAACAAACGTTTTTACACACACAATATTTTGTGGGACTCACACTTTTTGAAGAAAAAATAAATTATGACACGCAAAACAAATTTCTATAATATTACACAATTACTTTTCCTACAACGTAACTCTTGTAAAACCCATAAAGTAACGTAGAATGGAAAACTTAAATAGACACCAGAAATTCATATTAGACCCCACTTGTGCAGAAGGTTGTACCTCCCGTCGGTATTGTCCTATCAAATCCAACACAGGAAATTAACACTGTCACAGTCTCACAGAACCAAAACATATATAAGAATAAAACCAGATAGCTAAAACATTTAATTACTAATAATTATTATTTTTTCTCTTTTGTTCATTATTAAAGAATAAAATCCAAAAAAAAAACAGATATATCCTCAGAGGATGGGTCCTTTACCTGATATTGATCAACGGCATAATAAAGTTGAACAAAAAAAAATGAACTCAGGGGTTGTTTGATTTCAGTTCTTAAAAACAATTTTATAATTTTAAGAAGGGATAGGATATCGTGACATTCAAGTTATGTTACACCCATGTGACACCCAGTCAATCTCACCGTTAGATCGCTTATGTTGATCCAACGGTTATATTCATTTCCATCTTTGTATGGTCATGATTTCTCAAATCTAATATTTTATATTTATTTCTATCTTTGTATGGTTATGATTTCTCATATTTAATGCTTTCACTTTAAATTTGGAAAATCATGACCATACAAAGATGGAAATAAATATAACCGTTGGATCAACATAAGCGATCTAACAGTGAGATTGACTGAGTGTCACATGGGTGTAACATAACTTGGGTGTCACAATATCATATCCCTTTGTTTATACCTATTTTACTTACTCATTTTCAATATTATCGGATCAAAATCTCAGAAAGAGTGAGAAAAATAAAAGTTAGTTAAGATTATGATCTAACGTTGTTAAAAATGAGTAGGTAGGGTAGGATAGACATGAAAAATAAAAATAAATACACTATTCCATATATATTTAGAATTTATATTCTTGAAATTGGCAGAAATAGTAACAAAATGAACCATTTCTCGAACAAAAATTATCTATGCATTATTGTTGCCAGTCCTCAAGGAAAAAATAAAAATTAACAAATATCATGTAAATAGTAATAAACTTCATGCAAATATCATGTCCTCAATTGTCGGTACCAGCATTCAATTTTTCCATTCAATTCATCAATTAACAAATTTATTTTTGCAACAAATATTTTCAATTCAAGCACCACATATTCACTATTAATAAAACCAACCATAAATTCTCAATTGTGCAACTTGTTTATGATCTATACAGACATCAATACAATCAAAATTCCAACTCTTGGGGCCGTTTGGAAAGAAATAAATTTTAGATTATTAGAAAACTCACCTTGGGAATCCTAGTTATCCACGTTTGGTACAAGGATTATTATATTTTTTCTGAAAATTAAAATTGTGAATAAGAATTTCATGAAATAACCCAGTTGGATTCCCGCTATTGAAAAGTATTTACATAATTTATAGGACATAAATAGCCATACTTTAATATTTTCATGACTAAAATACTCTTTCTTGTTAAAGTCTTAGCTTACTCTACTTCACAAAATCATGGGTTCCTCTCTTTCCTTTCACAACACCTTTTTACTTGGTTCCTCTATGCTTCACGCCGCTTTGCTGCAATGACCCTAACCCTGCATTTTGACCCTTTTGTGGCATATCAGATTTTTTGTTCCAAAATTCATCAAAGGTTAATATTCTAAAATCAGCTCATATTCTCAAGTATCATTGACAATCAACCAAATATAGAATCAAGAAACTTAAGTCAGCATTCCTGGGAATATTTTGGTTTATCAAATAGTTTTTTGTTAATATTTTTGAAAAATTCACTTTCCCAACATATTACTCATAATCGTGATTCCTAGAAACAAAAAAAATTACACCTCTACCAAACACCTCCTTAGTATTTTTGGAAGTCATCGAGCAATTCAACACGTCATTATTTTACATCCTCTAAAAATAAAAACAACCATTTCAAACAACACTAGGATTTAAGTTACCCCAAACAACTATCTTCTCAATTCAAATCAACATTCAATGTAAGTATATTCATTCCTCCAAAACGTACCATGAGAGTGAAAACATTGAAAGATAATGAGTTTCAATCATAAGACTTGGTTTAGTGACACCAGAACTTGGGAGAAAATTAACCTTCAGCCTAATCCGGCTTTTCTCAAACAGACCTCCACTACTTTTTATTTTATGGCTCTCCTTTTTTTCTTTTTCTTTTTTTACTTGAAAGTCATCCTATCTCATTACCAAGTATGGGGTGATCTTCAACAAGGTGCATTATTCAAGTTGCCATTTAATGCATGGAGCCTAAATAGAGAACCTTTAACTCTATATATTTTAAGGGTAAAGTGTGTGTCATTTTAAAGGATGTAAAGTTGTGTCATTTTAAGAAAGAGAAAGAGATAGATAAATGAGGAAAGAGAGTTGACCAAAAAAATAAAAATGTGGGTTTCACTTCTTTATGAGAGTGAAAGGATATAAATTGTGTCGTTTAAAAAGATAAATATTTTTCTCATATTTTAATAGTTTGTTAACTTTTACGTACCGAGAGATTAGTTTTATTTAGCTAAATAGGTTCTTTTTTGGAGCACCCTTTTATCGGCCTGAGGTCATTCTCTCCAAAAACCCTTGGTCCCAAGTCCTCTTAACCATTCGTCAATTTTTTAAAAATAAATAAATAAATTTTTTTCATTAATTACATCAATTTTTTTTTTCCTTTACTCATCCTAATAGTGAAGTCTTTAGGAACTTTTGACCAATCCACTTGAACTGTTTGTGTGGTGAATTAAGGTTGTATTATTCCATGGGCGTAGTATTTCAATATAACAAAGGTATAGACCGAAACTCAGTCAAGAATCACCGTGAATCGGGTGAAGGCTGACAATGAAGAGGGGGGATATATTTCAAAAGAGTAACAACTCTGATCAATGTGCATAAGGTGTCGAGTATTTACGGCGTAGAAGATTCTTCAATGATAAAATAAGTCATAATCATTTTGACTCAGTGGGCACCATTATTTGTGAGGCAAACACACTCATCTTAAGCATATGGGAGTGAGATCATCTAGGGATCTAAAAATCTCAATTTAAACCAACAAAGCTAGCACAATTGGTAAATAGCTGGGTTCATTAAACATGACAGGTGTTCGTTCGATTCTTGGCTGTGTATGGAAAAGATTTTGTTGAGAGAGATTTACCTACTTAATGTGATCTGCCGTCTCGAAAGGATTAATTTGTGGCTGTCAGTTGGAGGATATCTTGAAAAACCAACAACAACAACAAAAATCTCAATTTAAAGACCAAGATAGTAAACCCTTGTATAAGAGCTTGTTTGGATCCTCTTATTTTAAGCTGGAAGCTACTTATAAGCTAAAGCTTAAAAAAAGAGCTTAACAAAAGAAGTTAAAAGCTGTTTGGAAATTACATAAAAAATTTAGTTTAAAAATTACTTAAAAACACATATTTCAAGAAAATTATCTCTTTTTATCTTTATCACTCTTCATTTAAAAAAAAAGCACACAATTCAAGAAAAACAGATAAGAGCTTAAAAAAAGCTCCTCCTATGAGCTTTTAGTTTTCAGCTTTTTTCTTCATTATAAAAAAAGAGTTTTTCGTTATAAGAGCTTTCCCCAAAACCTGTTTGACCTAGCTTATGCTTATAAGTAGCTTCTAGCTTAAAAATAAGAGGATCCAAACAGTCACTAAACCAATATAGTCGATGCATTGGACTAGGTCAATGTGACTGGTCCATAACAAAAGTCCTCATCTTGGAAGTCTGCAAAGTTAGACCGCCAATATATATGGAAGCTTCATCCGGTCTACAATAATTTAATATGTATCTATTTAGGATACTGATTGGATAGTCCATAACCGACATTCTCTACCTTGTGAGTATGTTTCCGATCGGTCTTTACATATTGCCTTCAAAGAAAATCGTTGGTCTGAGCGGTTTTCTTAGAAATTGAGGTTTGGGATTTCATGCATGAGCTGATTCTTCGCATGTGGTTGAGCCAGTCATTTTCATAATTAGATATTTGTTAAATCTGTTATGTATTAGTTGACTTGTTGGTTGGCATAACAATTGAGTAGAATCGGGTGAGGAAAATGAAATCTTTTTGAATTTTTCTGTTGCAGCATGTGTCTCCTCGCTAAGTTGGTTGGCGTGTCTAATGGTACGTCACACGTGAAACAAAATTCTGGGGTACATCAATTCGTTTGTTGTGACATTTGTTTTGGTGGCTTATCATGATCATATATATCACCTTATAAGGAACATTTCTTGATTCTCGTAGTGCATTGTCATGACAAAAATTTGGCGATCACACGTTGAGTTTACGGAGGAACTTTTATCTGTCTAAATAATAATTGTAGCTCCTTTGGGCAACTGTATTGTTGCATGAAGTTCTTATATTTTTTGGTCTTACTAATTAGTACCTAGTGCATATTTGGAAGCTTTTATATATATATATATATATATATATATATATATAATGGTGGAAATTGAACAAATAATCTAATTGAACTTACCTAAATCTCTTATCACTAGACCAATTCTAATGACTTGGGGCTCTTATTTTATTTTATTTTTAGTATAACATGGAGCTCTTATTTTTAGTTGTTATTCTCTTTATAAACAGAAGATTAGTCAAACATAATTTTACAAAAACTCTTATTATAGGATAATTTTTTTTAAAAATGAAGAAAATAGAAAAAGATAAAAGCATCGAGGAGAAGCTTTTTTTAATATGTATGCCAATTTTTTGGAGTTCTCATAATTATTTTCCAATTTTATCCCTATTCTAAATTTTTATTTTTAGATTTTATCATTTACTCTAGTAACAAATCGTTTCATATCTCTTCATCCAAAAAACGTGACAATAACTTTACATAATTATCAAAAAGTTTTTAAGTATTTTTTTAAACTAAACTTAACAGTAGCTTTTAACTGGAAAAAAATGTGTCAAACATGTACTTAGTATTGGTTTTGGAACTAATTTTAGTGCTTAATGTATTATTTTATTGTTTTTATAATTTTTTTAAGAATAGATAAATCACATGTATCCTCAACGATAAACAATCATATTCAGAGAAGGTCCAATATTAAGGCTTTAAACCTCTCCCAAAAATGATACTGTGGAGGATCGAACTCATGCTCTCGTCTAAAGGTGACAAAGTGGGCGCATCGCCCCGCTTTTGAGAGGGGGCTGAAAAACTCGGCCTGCCCCTCCCTATTTCACAGGTCGGGCGGGTCGGCCCACCGAGTCGAGCTCATTTTGTGTGCCCTACTCTCATCCCTACATGCTTAGCTCTCATATGCCTACTGAACTATCATCGTTTTGTTATATATGTACATTTTTATTCATATATAATATTATATCTGCCTCCTTTATATACTTTTTCTCAATCCCATTAGACCATAATTTAGGAAGGAGAGAAAAAAAAGAGTAAAGTTCAATTAAGTTTATAATTTAACAATATTGGAAATAAACATATAAAGTAATAATAAAATAAAGTAGGCATAATATTTTATTATTTTTTCTTCTGACTCTTGGTATTCACCAAATTTTATCTTTTATTGTTATTGTTATGGGTTTTATAAGAGTTGTGTCATAGGAAAAATGATGGTTTTTTCACCCTTTTCTCCTTATTAATTATTTAGTAATCATTTTGTCCTTTATTCAGAACTATGTACCAATTTGCTCCTCTTTAATTGATTAAGCCAAAAATTTAATCGATTAAATAGTCAAAATAGATTAAATCTCCCTATTTAATCGATTAAATTTCTCATACACAAGGTTGTTCTTCTGATAAAGAGGAAGATTTAATCAATTAAGTTGAAGATTTAATCGATTAAATCTTCATTTGACCATTTAATCGATTAAAGAGAAGCAGATTGGTAGATAGTTTGCAATAAGGGGCAAAATAATTATTAAATAATTAATGAGGGTCAAAAGGGTGAAAAAGCTATAAATGATTGTGTTATGTTATAGAGATTCGTTTTACGTGCCGTGATTTTTTTCCTTCAAAACATGTGAGTCCCACAAAATATTGTGTGTGGAGAAAATTTTTTGTGATCATATTAAATGATGAATGCAAATCCCTATTATTATTGCTATCATTTTTTAAAATAACCAAACTTGACAGGCCCCACTTTTAATAAAATAAAGGCAAAAACTAACTCATTAACAAAGTAGCCTAACTCGCCCCATTATTTGACTTTTCGCGAGTTATTTTAGCGGTCTCATGGTCAAGGAATGGCTGGTAAATCTAAACACTCGTCATCTTGTTATAAAATGTTTAATTGTAAATTTGTAAGAATGACACTAAAATCAATGTTATTAAATTAGAATCAATCATGGACTTGGTTAAGATATCGAGTTAATAGATTACTAATTTAATTAGTGGGTCGCTAATTAAATTCTATAAACTAAATTTGTATAAAAATTTAAATAAAAATAATATGATGATGAAAATAATTTGACTTAGTAATTAATATATCACTCCCCTTCCCAAACTAGTTAATGATTCAATTCCCAATTCAACCAATCCGACCAATTAAGTCATATCTATCCGTTAGACTAGAGTGATACGACGTTATAATTGTGAAAAGTAAAACATTATTGATGTAGGTATATAATTTTTTTTTTATTATATGCATAAAAAATTAGTTGTACTACCTTTTGCTGATGTATTATTTACAATTTTCGAGTTTCCTACATAGTTCTTCTTAAGGACGGGATTTATATGTGAGGAAATTTGGGATTGGTTATACCCCTTGCTATTCTTTAATCTTTATTGATATGATTGCCTCTTCACTGTCACATTAACTTTTCAAGAGGTTGAAACCTTATTAATATCATTATTATTTGGTTGGGGAACCATCGTATAGGTGAAAAATGTTGATAACCAATCAAAATTTTATACTTGTGAAGGATGATAATGTGATCACGGAGATTCCTGAAAAATACTCAGGGGATGTTTGGTTGAGGAGAAATTTTTTAAATACTAGGGAAATGTAATTACTAGGGAAATGGTTGGAAAATGAGTTTGGTAGGAAAATGTAAAAAAAGTTGTTTGGTTTACCAAAATATTACCAGGAAAATTTATTTAAATTTGCAAAATCTATGTTCGGGAGAAACTTCGCACCTGTTTTTTCACTTCCCCACTTATCTCAAAATACCACATCTCAAGTGGTATTCTGTAACAGTGAATTTCATCCAAAAATCAACACAAAAGTCATTTCCCCATCTATCCCATTTGCCTAGTATTTTTTTGAAAAAACCTGAACCAAACGTGGTATTCTCCAATATCCACTTACACTTTCCTATCAATCCCAAAATAATCCTTCAACCAAACACTACCTCAAGAAAACCCTCAATGGTGGGTATTCGTGTTTGATTGTGAAGATGATTTGGCAGAAACATGCGTATATTTTTCACATCATTTCCATATTTAGATCAAATTTGTATTATCATTTTATGAGTTCTTACAAAAAGCTAGTGATTTGGTATTTATCATTTTAAATGACATAAGTTATGTCATTTTAGGAGAGAGATAAACATAGAAAAACGAAAATCATGGGAGGAAAAAAGTGGGTGGTTTTTTTTAATTTAAAATTAAAATTTTCTGTGTCTGTATCTCTCTTAAAATGACATAACTTTCTGTCATTTAAAATGACAAACACTTTTCCGAAAAGCTAATGTCTGTGAAAAGTTTTATGGCAAAAATGGTTTATATTTTTTAAATATAAAATGACAAACCGGAAGCATTTTAGTTTCCTTTCGAAAAAAGAGAGTTATATAAAATAAAATACAATAGTAATAAATAAATGATAAACATATAAAAACACTTTAAAATATTCATATCTTTCTTTGGTCCGCTTTGGGTGAAGATCTGGGTTTGCTCTCCAACCGTTTGAGAGATGTTTCATATTCGCTTTCGGTAGAGGCTGAGCAGGACTTGTGTATGTTCAGCATTGCTTCAGTCAGTCATTGGATTGGATGGTATCTAACTGCCACTGGGCCTCCACAGGCTAGAATCATCACAATAAGATTGTTTATAAAAAAGTTTTCAACAGCAACTATTGTCCCTTTGGAGACATCTGTTAAGGTTAGAACGATACAAAGAATATTGATAGATTAGCATGGACCCTGTGCACGCACAATTCGAGAAAAGGTCCAAATTTATTTTCTATCCCATGCTTCATGGTCCTAGTTCTTTGGTATATTTCCTTTTCGGCATTTTGTTTCCCTGTCTCTTCCTTTGATTCTGGTCACTAGGGGTATATTTTCTAAAGGTGTGGTCCGTGTGGAATGGTAGCACTCTTAGATGTTTGAGGTTTCGTGCTTATGTAGGTAAAGATTCAGTATTTGACGTGTTACATATTTGATTAAAGAAGGATTACTATTAAGTCTGCGATAACCATTCAACCTGAGGAAGGGTGCTGCTGCTTTTTTCTTTTTTTTTAGTGAACTCAGGTTGGGAGAGAGGAGATTTTTATGACCGGCCCCAAAGTCCTAGCCTAAGAATTAAATCCATGACTTCATCAGCCATTAGAGCCCAATCTTTGACTTGTAGTCAACTTACCAACTAAGCTACACCTTACGATTTGCTAATGCTTTTAGTAAATAATGATTTGCAAAAATCTGTTTATCTTTTGCGTGCCTATGTTACTTGTACTTATTTTAGAAGAAAATAGTCATTTTGCAAAAGTCTGTTTATCTTCTGCGTGCCTATGTTGCATATAACCTATTTTGGATGAAAATAGGAAATTTGAGTTCAATTGAAAGAATTCTGTCTCAAGCACACAAATAAGTGCACGCAATATTTCTTCCTATCTCATCATTTTTATTCTAATATTTTAAGGTTTAAATAGATAATATAAGCTAACCATAAAAGTAATACCTACTAACGTTAGATTTTTATTCAATATTAGTAGCCTTGTTTAATTGAGACACTTTGATTGCATTTTAATTTTTAATAGCAATAATAGTGTCAAAGGTTACTCGTCTAGTGGAGTCAGAGAAAGAGAAAAATATTTAGGTATGGAAGTTTCACTAATGAAATATGAGAATAATGAAAATAAGAGAGTTTAGTGGTTGATATTAAAATCTAGCCGATTAAAGAATTTAGTGAACATCTCCTTCAAATGAATGGAGAGTGCCTAAACTGCATCTTGTAGTTTTTTCAACTGTTTTTCTATAGTCTCAAATAACAAAATAAGAAAAATAATCATCCATTGCTTAAATAACCCAACAATTCATAAAATAATAAAAATAACCGTAATAGCCCTCATGTTTTCTGTCACTTGATTTTTTTATTTGCTTCAATATCATATTCATTTCAGTTGGGTCTTGTGTCACAAACACATGCCACGCTAAGCTTCCTAATATGTTCTATGCTGCGTTTTATTAATGGTTTCTGGGGGTGTCAAGTTCCTCTTCTCATTCCAAAGTTCCCCCGGCTTATCCTCACGAGGCAGCAAACCCCTGTAATGCAATTATGATGTAAATTTATTTTTTCTGTCCGCTTATAATTCGAGAAAGCATTTTACCTTATTATTTTCAATTTGTCATATTTTTTATGCTGTCTTAAATCCAATTGGAAGAAAATCTCTGCCTTAGTATTTTTATGCTGTCTTTCGGTTTAGTGTCCTCAATATTATCCTGCCAAGTTGGCTTATTCACGGAACTTTAATTGGCTGTGTGCAGCAACCCAATTATATGAGGATCATCTGAATTCAGAAGCGGCTAAAGTACTGAAGGACAATCCTTAGAAGTTAGCAGCAAATATGACAAAAGCAAGTAATGTCTAGTGGGTATGTCGGGAGACCTTATTTCCTCGGTGGCTGTGGTTATTGAATTAGCATTTATTCTTTCTAAGTATTACTTTTGGGTAAAGCTATTATCATGTAACATAGTCTAAAGCATTTTTCTTACTCAAACAAAAATCTTGTGAGTCCCATTCATATAATAAAACGGTTTTCGTTTTATCCTTTAACATAATTCAACAAACTTTTCTACACTCACAACATTTTGTGAGGCCCACACTTTTTAAAACAAAAAAATAAATAAAAAATTAAGGCACGCAAAACGAATCTCTATAACATTACACAATCATTTTTCTTACAACATAACTCTTATAAAACCCATAATAAAAACAAAAAATAAAAAATGTTGGTGCGAAAACCAATAGATGAGTAGATAAAAATTGTTATATCATGTTACATTATGTTAGTTTTCCCCTTACTTTTTATGCTCCAAGTTTGAGAAAACATTATTTTGTTTTTTACACACAAATATTGCGTTTTCTGTGGAGTCACTGTGGAATTTCAGAATTCGTAGTTCCACCACTAGAAAGCGATCAGCTTCTACACTCTTGTAACTAGTTTTAGACAACACCTGGTGCCAAGGATGATTACAGAAAGCCCGAAGCCCAGTTCTTAATCTTAAGTATAGTTTAATGTAAAATTGTAAAATCTTTTGTAGAATTTGCAATCTTGTAGTTGCTCGTCATCCTTTTTGGAATCCATTATCATGTGTTTCTAGTTGGTTCTCACCATTATCTACATTTCTAAGGTATAATAATATCATGTAAATCACTTTTAAAAATGAAAAAGAAAACTAATAATGAATGGAAAATTTTAATTGTGCGTAAATATTGACAAAAATAATCTAGGTAAATTTAGCATTATAAAATAATAAAATATTAAAATTCGTATACAGTGAATATTATTTATATAACTTCAACATTTTCGCTAAGAATATATAATTCCATTTAAAATTAAATTTTACATGTTACATTCTCTATCTGCACAAAGATTCATAATTTTTGTTTCGTAGTTACTTCTTACTTTTAAAGAATTTGTCCGAACAATTCAAGTGAGTTTTGATATAATATAATCTTCAAAACAATTATTTAAATGACCCCATTAAAAACTAATTAAATAAAATTCACACATTTTATGCATACCCCATTCATTCTAATTATGGACAGATGTTACCAAACCAAAGTTCACTATTTTTTTAGGGGGTTGGGTTGGGGACATAGCATGTTCACAGACAAGTTTTGTGAAAAATGTATTTGTTCTGATATCATACAACCGTTGGTTTTTTTTGGTCGATGGAAAAATATTTTCTCATGTTCTATGAGAATTTAATTTTTATGTTATAATCTTCGATTTGCGTGTAATTTTTTTTTTTTTTAATAAATATGAAATCTACCATTAGTTGAGTCTCAACATGAGAATTCAATTCACATGCAATGTGATAAAATCAAACACCTTTATTTATATGATAAAATTACGAGATCTGAAAAAGGAAATATATGACAAGTAAAAAGAAAACATAAATAAATAATTGAACAATGCCTTTGTGGATGTGGTGGACATCAACCACATCATCATATTCATGCCTGATGCCAAACTCCATCACGCGGAGCCCGAGTCGGGTCTCCCCACAATGCTTTGTGGCCTGAATGATATAAAACGTGAAACCTGGTGTGTGTATTCAATTTGTATGTAACGCAGTAACTATGCTTCGGAGCTTGAATGTTTGACCCATTAAAGATTAAAGAGAAGCTGGAAAAAGAAAAAGTTCCAAACAAACAAAAGGCAAAGCAAAAGCGTTTTGGCATATTCCACCGTCGAAAATCGTAGCTCTTGAATTCATGTTTGGATCCATCCAAACGCACTTGGAAACGCTTTCATTTCTCTTCTCTCTCTCTGAACCTGAGCTAGAGCCGAGCGGAGCCGAACCGTTGTGTGGGCCCCACCACACTAATAATTAGGTGATCAGGAGGCAGTCCACATGATATGCAATAGGCATCCACGCGGCAAATGCCACTCACTGCAACACACTCGCGTCTCCTTCATTAATCACGCCCGTTATTTCTTTGAACGGTATTTGATTTGATGATGCAGGGCCTCAGGGAGATGTGGTGGGCTTTCACACATGGTATAATAACCGTAAAACTAGCTCTGATGTATTGTTAAATTAAACAGGGAGAGATTGTTCTACAACTAAAACAAACATCCAGCGAAGAAGGGGGGGGAAGCACATTCATTCCTCGTGAGTTCATTTACTCTGTCCAGTCAACAAGATTGGTGGTGGTGGAATTGAACTGAGAAATGACTTCGGACGGAGCAACGTCGGCGGGAACAAATCGGAGGAAGCCATCGTGGAGGGAGAGAGAGAACAACAGGAGGAGAGAGAGGCGTAGGAGAGCCATAGCAGCCAAGATATACTCTGGCCTTAGAGCTCAGGGTAACTACAATTTGCCAAAACACTGTGACAATAACGAGGTTTTGAAGGCTCTCTGTGCCGAAGCTGGTTGGACCGTCGAAGAAGACGGCACCACCTATCGCAAGGTTTTACTTGTACTGTTTGTTCATTGGTTATGGCGATCTCGTTTTCCGATTTTGCATATCTTTTTTTACTGTTTGATTCAAATCTGTCCATAATTGCCTCGTTTTTTCATTGGATCGAACTCGTCAACTTTTTTTAGTTTCTTAGTCGAATGAATCTGTGCTTTCAATGCTCCTCATTAATTAGTCCATTTCTTGTATTATTTATCTATTCTGTGTCTCTTGTGCATGAGAGAGAGAGAGAGAAAGAAGCTAAGGACAGCAGGGAGAAGAATTTGTTGTTATTTAATATTTAGTCCAATTAGGTAAATATCCTATTATAAAACATTGGAATCAGGAAGGTAATTCTTTTACTTTCTAACAAAATAACCACCTATGGAAAAAAGAATCAAGCTTTGCTGTTCTAGTTGAACAAAATTGCCATATTATTATTTTATCTCATTTATTTACTAATCTGTTTTGGGCTATGGATGTTGATGATTGTTTGTGATTAATAGGGATGCAGGGGAGCACCCCAAGTTGATGCTGCAGGCACCTCCACCAGGAACACCCCTTTCTCTTCACAAAATCCAAGTCCTCTTTCATCATCTTTTCCCAGCCCAATTCCTTCCTACCAAGTTAGCCCTTCCTCCTCCTCTTTCCCAAGTCCTTCTCGTTTGGATGCCAACAACAATGCTTCAAATCTCATTCCATACATTCGAAATGTCTTCCCTGCTTCTCTCCGTCCACTGAGAATATCAAACAGCGCTCCTGTAACCCCACCTCTCTCATCGCCAACATCGAGGAATCCTAAACCAATTCCCACATGGGACTCAATTGCCAAAGCATCATCCATGGCTTCCTTCAATCACCCTTTCTTTGCAGCTTCTGCCCCTGCTAGCCCAACACACCGTCACCTTTATACCCCACCCACTATACCTGAATGTGATGAGTCTGACACTTCCACCGTTGAGTCTGGCCAGTGGTTGAACTTCCAAGCATTTGCACCTTCTGCATCTGCCATGCCAATCTCTCCAACTTTGAATTTTATGAAACCTGTGAGTCAGCAGCACAACTTGCCTGATAACAGAATCCAACCCATGAGAAATTCAGAGGCACACTTTGGGGAACCGGTGAAGGCTTGGGTTGGGGAAAGGATTCATGAAGTGGGATTGGATGATTTGGAGCTCACACTTGGAAGTGGGAAGACGCCTAATTAGGCAGCTAACAAAATTGCTTCATGCGGGCTATGTGAGACTGAGACCCAAAGATTGTTTTTCCTTCTAGGATGTTCATTCAACTTGGGGTTAAAGCTCGATTTAACAATTACATCATTCGGCTGTGTTGGCACAAGCATTTTATGATCAAAATTATATCCAAAACTTGATCATCAGTTTATTCACTCTTTTTAACATATCATTTTCCTTTCAATTATAAAGGATTTTAAATATCGAAACAAATAGAACAAGAGTTGTTATTTGAATCCCTTCCATTCACTTGTGCTTTCTTCGATTTTCTTTTTCTTTCCTTTCTTTTAATATTTAACAAGAGTTGGTATATAACATGCGTACTACCGATGCTAACTAGTCCAATTTAAAATGTTTAGGAATTTCTGTTTAGCAAAACAGTGCAATCGGATCCCGTCTGAATTTGTGGTTTCCAGTTAGATTTGGTGCGTGAGAATCACAAATCCCAGTTTCTGAATAGAATTTTTATATAAGTACGGCAGGTAACCCCTAATCGCCTCTTGGATTCTATGGTAGTCTAATTCGGCCTGTGAAGGGAGTGTGGAGAGGATAGAAAATTGGTTGAGGAAAACCACGTTGGGCATGCTAGAAAATAATGCGAGGCAAGGAAGGACGCAAACACAGGCTTCAATTATTATTATTTTTTATAAATTACAAGTATCTTTCACGAAGACAATTCTGTTTGAACCCAGAATATCATATCACTTGAACCAATCCCATCCCATTTGATATTTTGCTTCAATTCTAACAGAACTTCCATCTCATCGAATAGGTTATGAACTATACGAAATTAGGATACCAATCTTCCAAAAAAGTGGAAGATAAAATAAAAATAAAAATAGTGGGACATGGAAGCATTATCAATTGTACGGGATTCCATTTTATAAAGTTGGAAATTTATTACAGAACAGAAAAAACAGACTAGAACAGCAACTTATCAGCAAGTATCCTAAAAGAAATGCCCATACCTAAAATAGAGATGCACCTTCTGTCAAAGAACAAGGTGAGGTCTATAATTTTCTGGTAAGATTAGGTGACACACAAACAGATTAACAACATCAACATCAATCGCGCCATTAAGCCAAACTAATTGGAGTCAGCACACACACACACACAGAGACGGATTTAGAAGGAATAAAATTATAGTATTCAATAATAGGAAAAGATAATCGACCCCACGTCTTGCAACGTCTCTTCCAATTAAACTACACCTTCAGTCATTGAATCTGTGTCTACTTCAAAGTTTCATTTTCTACTTTTTCCTCCTTAACCGACTCAGTCTTAAATTCGTTTTTGGTTGTCACATGGCATTCCTGGTATCTGAAGCATGTTAATAGGTGATCATTAACGAGCCCGGCTACTTGCATGAACGAGTAAACTACCGTCGGTCCCACACATTGGAAACCTCTGCGCATCATGTCCTTGCTAATGAGTTCTGCTTTTGGGGTCTTCGCAGGCACTTGACGACCATATCGAAATTCATTTCTTATTGGCTTGTGGTTAACAAATCTCCAGCAATAATTGCTGAATGAACCAAACTCCTGCTGAACCTGTAAAATGATACGTGAAAGGCCATGTGATTTTGGGATGCATTTATTTTGACCATTTTTGACGACGACTTTCCTATTTTTCAAATCATAACTCATAAAGAAATTCTAACATATTTGCTTGAAACACAGCACTAACTTTTGAGTTACCTTAAGTAATTGTTTAGCATTTTCCAAAATGGCACGGAGCTTTGGTTCTGATAACAACGAGTTGCCATTTATTTTCGGTGTTTGCAACTTCTTCTCAGTAAAATGTGCAATTGACGATGGGTCAAAATTTTCGAAAAACTTCCTATATCACATATATCAAATAACGAGTGTCAGCTAACATGAAAAGTTTCAGGGTTTAAAAAATTAGTAGATCCAGAGATAGATATGCCTGAATATGTCTCTCTGGTTAAGAATCGCTGGCCAACTGTGTTCTGCTAATGCTTGTGAAAAGACTAGAAGCTCAAAAAGCTTTTTATCATCATAGACTGGAACACCCCATTCCTCATCATGGAAAGCAGTATAAAGAGGATCTGTTAAGAATCAAATAACATTTCTTAGTAAGGCAATTCTATCATGGGGGTAATATGCACACTGTTAAACCAAAAAAGAAGTTCCCAATTCCATAAACAAAGAGACTATATTGCAACATTAGAAATTTAGAATATCACAGAAATAGATACAAACACAAAAAAAGGCAAAATGGTTTGTAAAATTAAAGAGGGAAAGAGGGAGATACCCAAACTTGTTCCAAGTGTTTTATTATGTATTGTAAAATCGTTACCGGAGATACTCTCTTACTCTTTGAAAGCAAAACCAAACTATGTATACTTTTATAGGTCTTTCAATGACCCAAGAATTTTTTAGCTATACAGAAAGCATATGAATGGGAAGTCAGTCACAGACCAAAAGGATGCAAGCTAACTAACTACTCATTTTCCATTATGATCAATGATTCCATTTCCACTGCCTTTCTTAACTTGATACATAAAAGCATGGATAGAGCTAGAAAGCTGAAGGCAACACTTTAAAGAAACCGTTGGGGCCCGCCAACCCAACAGAACCAACACCACGGATAGTTGCCATGGAAGGCCCTGCGCTATTATTATTGCTCTAGACACTCTTTATGATGACGCTTGGTTCAGAAGGAATAAATATTTAGTATCATTGTTGTACCAAAGATTCAGTGCATCCCATCAATGAAAATATTACATGTCATTTAAATATTTTTTTTATCTGACAAATATTTTCTTTTCCTCTGATGTGTACTGCTCTCATTGATGAAATGCACTGAATCTAAGTAGTACCAAAGATTTATTCCTTGGTAAGATGAAAGAACTATGATTATTATCATTCAAATATTGGCAATTAATTTAATCCAGGTCATCACTGTCCAGGCATAGAAGAAATAAAGGTAGTTCGAATTTTACAAATTTTTTTTTTTTGGGTACATAGTAAATAAATAACATATAACAATTACAAAATAAAACCCATTTTAGAACATAGTCACCATAGAAAGCGAAGAAGAAAGTTGGTACGCTATCCGGTTTTTTCACGAGCATGGTATCAATTGTCAAACATTTATTGTTTATAATCACAATAAATAAATATAAATAGTTCACTTTCACCCAAAAAAAAATAAAAAAATGAACGTTGCAGGCACACTTACCAGAATTTGGTGTGATCCAATCACACCTCTTGGGCGGTGATGAGGCCTTGGGAGTTGGAGACAAAGCAGTTACATCGACGGCATGCGGCACAACCCTTGCCGGCTTAAACCCGTTACGTTTCACGGTCGAGTTGACCTTTTTGGCTGATGAGTTGCTGGAAGAGGAATGCGAAGAGCATGTGCTGTCCAGAGACACATTACTTCGTACAACGGAGTCAGGGATTTCCGTTACCTGCATTCTTGGGCGCTGCGAATTCTTCAGGTTCTCCTTCTTCCGTTTCGGGTCTTCGGAAACGGTAACTCTGTTTCCGGCCGGTTTTAAAACGGCTCTCGGTTCAGAAGCCGGTTTAGCATAAGTCTGAAGCTTCGTGGCGACGGGCATTTGTATTTTTTTTTATTTTGTAACAGTTGGAATGCAAGGTTTCGAGGGGGTGTTTGGTTGGAGGGTGTTGAAGCTTGGTTTGGAAAATTATATAAATGGAGAATGGGAGAGACGAAATATTCTGATACAAGGGAGTAGGGAGCAAGCTTAGGCAAAGGGTCACAGTCACACTTAGTTCGGTAACGTTAAGAATTGGGTGTGGTGTTGTGTGGTGTGTTCTGTTTTGTTTGTTGTTTGGAGGGTTGCTTACCGTTAAGAAAAAGAATCCAAAGCTTTCCACCACCAAAAGGGCACGTAATCGTGTTCGGTAGCCATTACCCAACGGCTAGGTGACCCCTCACCCTCAATTGACCACGTCTATCTATAACGTCGCTCAATATGGGCTGGGCCTTCCTCACCTGTCCAACCCTTGCCCCATTTTTTGGGTTAAGAAAACAGGCCACCAGCCCCAAGCCCTTTGAGCCTGGCCTTTGTCACACAACCTCATAATTTTTTTTTTGGGTAAATTTTTTAAAACCACCTCGTAGTTAGTTGTCTTCTCAAAATATCATCCTCTCATGTGCTAATTAACATGATCATATCATGTGGGATAATCATAATCATATATGAGTGAGTTAATGGTGATAAGAGAGAAAAAATATAATAATAGAAAGTTACACAATCATCACCGTTGATTTAATTATTAATGATTAAGATCCTTCCACGTCATGTTAAATTACACGTGAGAGAATCCATTTCCAAATATCAGCTTAAACTTACAGCTCAAACAATTCACCCCGTTAGAGTTTAATCTTTTATATTTAAATAATTAAACATATTTATCACTTTTAAGATGAAAATACCCATAATATCACCTCACCTCCATGGCTGCTATCGTTAACAATCAGCACAGCCACCACCAAGTGATTGACCCCCTGTCGCTGCTCACTGGCCCTGTTGCAACTTCCCTCCAGTCGCCACCCCACCCGTTGGTCACCGTGGTTATGTTGTTTTCTTCCATCAATGTGATCCCGGAACTTGGGTTTAAATCCAATGAGGGTGATTTTGAAGTTTCACTTGCATTTTTTTGAAGGAATAAGCCCGCTCAAGTTGTTGTATGAAAAATCAAAAAGTATTGGACTAAAATTTTCAAATGAAACTAATGGACTATTTGGATTTTGAAGATGAATAGGTATTTATCCATAAAACTAATTGTTTGAGAGGTTAAGATTAGTCAATTTGGTTAAGGTGAAAAAGCTTGGTAGGAGGAATCAATAAATGTGATCAAGGCTAAGATAAATATCTTTTAGTTCTGGGTATGTTCGTAACACTGGTGGGAGAAAAACCTCCAATGAGTTATTTGATACCTTAGGTGCAGTCAACCTTTAAAATGAAGTAGTTTCATTTGGCAGCATTCTTGTAAATGAGTTTGTACTAATTAGCTGAATAACTTCCATATAATTACCTCAATACTGGATCCTGGAAAAATTATTATACAGCCGAAGAGATGAAAATACGTCGTGAACAAGGACTGTGTTTCAATTATGATGAGCGCTTCACGCGAGGACAGAGATGCCAAAATCCATCCACCCTCCTGCTCCTTGATGAACAGTCAACCAGCATTTCTTGATGAGGAGCTTAAGAACCTTGGGGACAAGGTTTGTCTTGAAGAGCGGGGGATGATACGTACCCACAACAGTTAGCAATCTCCAGCATGTGTAGCACGTAGGATAGGTTTAACATCGGTTATTTCATAGAACGATTATTTCATAGAACGGTTATTTCATGTTAATTGTTCAATGAACAATTACTTCGTGTTAGTGTCAGTTATTTTACATTTTTGGCAGTTTCCTAGTTATTTTACGTTTATCAGTTTTATTGTAAACTCTATTTAAGAATTGGACATCAAATGAAAATGCGGGGAAAAACTTGTTTTTGTTGTTTTAATTTTAAGATTCTCTTAAGCTTGTCATTTTTGCCTAAAAGGAACCTATCACACATTTGCACTACAATAAGCGAATAATATTTGAAAGTTTTTGTAACACAAAATCACTAACATATGTTTACAATTTTATCATAGATAAATGATATACTTACAACTTATTTTCGTTTACAACAATATCTTAACCGTTATTTTTCGTCAATCTGACGGTTATAATTTATTAGAAATTAATAATAAGTTAATAAATGTGACCCAATAAATTATAACCTTTAGAATTACGAAAATCAACGGTTAAGATATGGTTGTAAGAGAATTTAAATGAAAATAACTTTTTGTCATATATATATATATATATATATATATATATATTATACAACCCATCACTACCAAGAACACCTTCAAGAAGAATTTGGTGAGAATCTTATGATGTCACAAAGCAAGAGTAAGGATGAAATTCAAAATAAACAATTTTATCTTTGACAAATTGACTTACACTGACTATATTCTTTGTTATAGATGGAACCAAAAAAAGATTATTGAGAAATAGAGTAGTGTGTGATTTTAAAGGAGATGAAAATTGTGAAGAGTCTACTGCTATTATAGCCAAACCTTGTCCATTTCCTAGCATGACTTTATCAACTCCATTCAGTTGTGTACTTTGAAGAAAATCTTGTGGGTCTGAGGTGACATGATGGGATGCCCTAGAATCTGGAAACCACTCCAAACCTTGCTGAGATGATGGAGGAGTAGGAAGAAGGCCTTGACTGTTATATGGAAGGGTTTGAGTAGTCAATAAAGCATGGGGTTGAGCCTGATTTTGTTGAATGCCCCGTTGTTGTGATTGTTGGAGGGTGTTTTGAAATGTGTTTATGCCAAAGAAAAATGGAATTTAGGTCTGATTAACACCTTGTTGTGCTTAAGATGTTTTGGTGAAAATTGATTGATATAGTTGAGGAGGAAAGATGCTTTGATGTGGTGGAAATGGTGGTGTTAGTGAGGTTAAAAATTGAGAATTAGAAGGTGGTGGTTATGTGGGTACAAAAGTGGGGTCAAAACGATGCTAGCATGAGTGAACCCCATGTCCAATTTTATAACACACTTGACATTGCAAATTACTTCTTCCACGTCCTCTACCTCTGTTTCCCCTTCCATTAGAGAGTCCTCTACCTTGTCTAGCTAAAGCAGATGCCCCCTTAAATATTGGGAAGTGTTGCTGCATGCTCTATTATGAAGATTGAAAAACAAGGGCAAACAAAGACTGGTTTGAGGTTGTGTTAGAGGGTTTGGAGGGAACATATGCAGTATAGTCTATATTTGAGTAATGAGTTGCATTAACAGATATTGAATCACTAAGCAAGGACTCCTGATGTTTAAGGAACCTACACTCTTGAGACAACAACTCAATTTCAAGGTCATCAACTGAAAGTGGGCTCTCACGGGCATGGACAGTGGTAATAAAAGACTCATACTCTTAAGGAAGTCCTTTAAGAATAAGCTCAACTTGTTCTTCATCATATATTAGGGATCTGATGGCCACGAGTTCGTCCTGTAAGTGTTTTTATTCGAGCAAGGTACTCGGAAATATTTCTTCCTCCCTTTTTTATGCTTCGTAACTCTACGCGCAGTTGTCTAGCCTTTGATTTCAGGAGTCCATTAAAGTATTTGTGTATCTTCTCCTATGCTTGCCATTAATGAACAAGACCCAACACTTTATTCATGATGGGTTATGATAGAGTGGTCATAAGCCATGAGAGGAGGGTCTGGTCCTAAGTTTCCCACGTTGTATAAGCTGGATTAACTTGATTTGCAGTATGATCTTCCTCAGTAAGGTATCTATGAGGAATTTGTGGGTTGATTAGATAGCGTTGAAGTTGATGAGACTTTTTATCACTGGTTCAACCAGCTGCTTCTAGACAAGGAAGTTATTCTCTATGAGTTTTACTATTATATGATGGGCATCAAGCCCATATTTGGATTCGGCAGAAGCCATTTAGTAGGGAAGAGTTTGGTTCAGGCCCTCAAAGTGAGCTTCGATACCATCAATGAGAAACGAATAAAATAGGAGAAGAGAATAGAGAGAAAGACGAAATATTATATTTTTGACTTAGGGTGTGCATGACAACCTTCTCAGAATCATTTTTTTAAAATTTCTGTTCTCGAGAACATAAATGGATAGAAAACTCGTTTGGTAAAATCGTTTTATTTTTTTGTTTTCGGGATGAACCGATTTAATTTTTGTGCTGGGAAACAAATAAATAAAAATAAAAAAATCCTGTTTTTTTTGTTTTAGGGCACAAAATGAGAAATACTTATTTCTCTCAATCACCCACCACCACTACCATCATTATCACCACCACCATCATCGCAACCACCACCATCATCGTAACACGACTACCGCCACCATCATCGTCGTCGTCGTCGTACCACCAGTGTCATCGTCATCACTACCACCGCCGCCACCACCGCCCATCACCATCATTAACAGCGACACTACCACCACTGCCATCAATGTCACCACCACCATCATTACAGCCACTGCTGTCACCACCACCATCACCACCAACCACCAACCACTATTACCATCGGCGCAGCCACTACCGTTACTACAACCATTTCCATCACTACGTCATCGCCACCGCGCCACCACTACCACCTCCACCATCAATCGCAGCCACAACCATCACCATCATGCTATCACCACGACCACTACCATCATGTTATCACCACCACCATCGCTGTATCACCATCACCACTCCACCGCCACTACCATCGCCACCGCGATTACCACCAGCACGCCGCCACCACCATACCACATGAAAAGAAAAGTGATGTCCGAATTTTTTTTATGCTTAATAGGAATTATTTTTTATTATATTATTTATTGTGTTATCAAACGTAATTCTCATTCTCAAAATAAAAATAGAACATGTTATCAAAAAAATTTTTTCCTCAAAAAATGTTCTAAGACACAAAAATAGAAAAAAATAATTTATTTTCAGAAACAGTATCAAGGAACATATTGATTGTTATGCACACCCTTAATAAAAAAGAGACACTATGCAATACATAAATAGAGCTGTAGTGAGACAGCGTGGCAAGAAAAGAAGTGTTCTAGAACATGTACAACTCATCATGAGATAAAATTGCAAATAATACAAATACAATAATATCCATGATATCCACTAGTTGTTACATGTGAAATAGGATCAACGGTTAAAAAATTGAAATATTTTTTTTTAAAATAAAAATAGAAGTATTAACCAACAACTAAATATACCGATGTACAAGGTTGATATCGGGTCAATGAAATAACCAATATGTTGCTTGAACCAAACCAATTGATGGGCTAATTTTTTGGGCCAACCGGTCCAGTCCGATTTAATAAGAGAGTATAAGTGCTTCACAACGATATACATAGATTCTGTTATTATTTTAACTTTCTATAGTTAATACGCCAATTAATTATTCACTTAAATAAATCCACGTCGTTATCATATTTAGTAGAGCATCTTATTCATATACTTTGACATGTAAAATTTATTTGATTTGTTAGTTGCTTTTCTATTTTTAATTATAACTCGTAGAAAAATAAGTCAGTTATTTACTTAAAACAAAATCGGTTAAATTCCCTAATTTAAAGCAAATTTTCCAGTATTTTATATTCATCACTTATAAATATCTCAATTATAATGCCATAACCATATCCCTTAATTAAAGACGTTCCTTATGATCAGCGTATTTAATTTTATTTGAAAAAAAAAAACTCGTATATATCATTAAAAAAGTAAAATAAAATACAGAGATTAAAATAAAAATAGAATAGAATAATAATAATCCCAGGATGGGGATCTGCGTAAGCAATTAGCAAGCATTCGTCTTTCTTTGGTTCTTATCTCTGCAGCTGCAATTCCCTTTCTTTCTGACCAAAAACCCTAAATCAATCTATTTATGTATATGGAAGGGTAATCAATCGTACTACCGAATATGGAGTCAGAACTGAAAGACCTGAATTCGAAACCAGCGAAATCAAATATCAACGGAAATGGCAATAGCAATAGTATTCGAGATGATCGTCCTCTGCTGAAGTCAGATTCGGTCTCATCGTCGGAGAACGTGGAGCTGCAAGACCTAGAGAAGAAATTCGCCGCTTATGTTAGGCGCGATGTGTACGGAACCATGGGACGGGGAGAGTTGGCGACGAAGGAGAAGCTCTTGCTGGGTTTCGCGTTGGTCACTCTCCTTCCTATTAGAGTTGTTTTCGCCTTCACCATTTTGCTCTTTTATTACTTCATTTGTAGGGTTTGTACCCTATTCTCCACCCCGAATGGGGAGGACGAGCAGGAAGATTACGCTCACATGGGTGGTTGGAGGAGGGCTGTTATTGTTGGCTGCGGAAGGGCCCTCTCTAGGGTCATTCTTTTCATTTTTGGCTTTTATTGGATCCCTCAATCCTATCACTCTACCACTCAGGTACCTGTTTTTGTTACTTAGTCATGCATGCGCTGCACGGTTTTTTTAAATTATGCAACTTAAATTGCCTTTTTCTGCTTCTCGATTTTCAGTTGCTGAAAAAACCCTTCTGAATTTGTTTTGGGATTTCACTTACTGGATTTATCGTTCTCTCGCTTCTTTTAAATCAATGCACGGCCAATTCTATACGTTGGTTTTGAGATAGCAAAACTATTATTTCTAGTCTGATTGTTTCCACAAAGATAGAGTCTAACTCTGTATTCCTTGTTGTCTTTGGGAAAAAGAAGTATTGCATGCCATTCAGTTTAGGTAGCAGCTTTTCAGATAATATAAATAGCATAGTAGTTAATTGCGCCGCAATAGCGCCGCGAGCCGCGCCGTATGGGCGTTGCGGTGCCTCACTGCAAGAAACCGCTTCGCGCCGCATCGGAACGTAACAGCGGCCATTGCGATCGCAAATCACGGTCATATTGCTGTCATGAGGCAAAATGCCAATTTTTCCAAAATTTAAATGTGTAACAGAAAATTTTTAAGGGTTTTTTAGTCTATCTGTGTCTCTTTCTGTCACTTCTGCTATCTTTGCCTTTAAAAAATGTTTCTTTTTGTCATTATTTCTGTCATATATCTATTCCGCTATTTCCGCAACCACAACCCGCTATAGCGCTATAGCATTTTTCGGGGTTGGCTGTGACATGCCGCAATCCACATTTGATAACTATGATAAATAGAAGAAAATGTCATTGACTTGCGTATTGTGTTTCTCATATCAATTATAAAGACAAGGTAACAAGATTGATTAATACATGCCTATATTTGTGAATTACGTGATTTCTTCCTTCTTTTTTTCCTTTTATTTTGTTGTACTTTCTGTACGCGTTTTGCCAATATACCTACTGAGGAACAGTGTCTTCATTCACCTTATTATTCTCGAAAGGACGATTGAGTGTATTTTAGCAATTAATAGATAACAAATTTTTATCCATCTTATTTCATTGTATTTTGCAATCAAAATGTTCTGTCTCGGCATATGATTTTAATTCTACTTATTTCTTCTGTCTGTTTCAATTTAAGAAGGAAGGTAATAATCATCAGCTTGAAGAGATGGGAAGACCTGGCGTAATAATTTCTAATCATGTGTCATACTTGGATATTTTGTATCACATGTCTTACTCGTTCCCAAGTTTTGTTGCTAAGGTTTGTGATGTGAGAATTTTTTTCCTCTATGAATGTATCTTGTACATATGTTTGTTACTGACATTTTTTTTAAATGTTTTATTTAAATCGTGGATGTCGTTGATGAAGAGGTCAGTGGCTAAAATTCCACTCGTTGGTCTCATCAGGTCTGTTGGCTTTTTATTGGTTTCTCCTGGTTTAATTATATGCATTATGGATCATTGCAAACTTAAATCCTATTGCTTCATTTCAGTTCTTCAGATCTTTATTTTTTTCTCGACTCAAAATTGAAGTTTCATATTAGTAATGATCAAAATGTAGTTCTGAAAGTGAGAATGCTGCATTTGATATGATTCAATGTGCATTATTTTCACATTATAAGGGATTATTCAGAACGTAGAGCTTATATATTTTATGGTATGTTTTTTCTTACAGCAAGTGCCTTGGCTGTGTCTATGTTCAGCGGGAATCAAAGTCATCAGACTTCAAGGGTGTTTCAGGTGCATAGATATTTGGCGTATGTGAACTTTGTAATAAATATGAAAATGATTTCAATTTAAATACAGTAAAAATGTAAAATCCCTTTTTTCCTCCCTCTTTCTCGGTCTTGTGTGGTTCTTCTCTTTGCATTTTTAATGGCATACCAGTTGCGTGATGTATTTTGCCTTTTGAATTTTAAATTTCTAAGAAAACAATGTTTATCACATATTGCTTGAATCTGTGAGGGTTTATTGTTATATATATCCTAATGAAAATATTGGCGCGGAAGTGGAAAAATATGTGTATTATTATTAGTGAAAACAATGTTCCCTTTAGCTCCGACAGCCTAACTTACAATCAGCAGAAGGGTGAGCCTGTTAAGAATTGGTTTTGGATGTATATGAAGTCTGAAAATATTTGTACAGGAATAGAAATAAAGTGGAATTGGCCAAAGGATGAAAAGTGGGGATGCTATACTTATCATTTATCAGAAAATTGCTAAAAAAGAAAAAAATTGGCCTGTTGATAAAGATATAACACAATTCATATAGTAGCATTTTCAATTGTATCCATTGCTTCTCATGCCTTAATTAAGCTATTTGAATCTGCAATCTGTGATTGATATGAAGGTAGTTTTTTAAATGCAGAAATTAAATGATTTGAATATACAATTTAGGAAATAATGAAAGATAATGTCATCTTAAAAATGCACATGCATTTAATTTTTTCTTTTCTGTGGTATATGTGTTACCTCCTGATTGTTTTATTTTAAAGTATGAATTGGATTAGTCAATGTAAAACTCTATATACCATTTGTAGAAAGAGAGTGCCTGATCATTGGGGGTAATTAAAGGATTTCACTTTCAGTAAAAGTTTCATTCAGTCTGTTTGGTAGCATCATATGGTTCATTAACATTGTAAATTCTTTGCACTGACAATTGACCAAAAGCAAATATTCATTATTTTACTTAATTTTAACTGATTTCTTGTGGTAATATGTGAATTTCCCTTTTAGCTTTTGGATATGCTGTTGCTATCAGTCATGTCTGGAGGTGCCCCAGCAATCTTGCCATATTATGCGTGTTCATGGGAATTAGTCAGTCAAACTAGGATCTTAATGCCCCGTTTAATATATATAATTTTTTCTTAGTGTTGCAAATTGCAACTGGTGGCTAGACTTGATTTATATCCGATCTTTGCCTCTAGGACATATAGGTTGGTAAAATCTCTGGTGACGCTAACCTGTGAACATTCTTCCTGCAGCTGTTGTCACTGAAAGAATTCGAGAAGCATATCAGAATAAGTCTGCTCCATTAATGATGTTATTTCCAGGTTATCATCCTCTCTCTTTTTTTCCCTTTTCATTTTGTTTTTGGGAGAGGGGGTTGGATCAAGGTCATCATCCTTTTAACAAAATTGGGATTGAGTTCTCAATTCGGAGCAGATTATCGATACTAACATATAGGCCTTAGGTAGGGTTGATTTTGTAAGGATGCTATCATATAAAAATATTGATGTAGATTTTTCACTTTCATATGCAACTTTTTGTATTTTTTGGTAAAACCAATTTTATGATCAAAGTTGCAACATTTCTTTACCTAGTTTATCCTATTATTGATTAAACGAATACTGCATACATGTTCTCATTCACAGACAAAAGTTTATGTCTTTGACTCCACCGACTATAAAATTCCTTTTGAAAGTGAATGCCCAGAATTCTTAGTGTTTTGAATTTATTGAAAATCTCTTTTCAACCTAAAGATTCATTTTTTAAGTTCATTTCTTAGTGGCTTCATCTCTCGTATCTCTTTATCTTCAAATGTTACTCCTTACCATGAATTTCTTCTAGTTTATTTACATATTCTGTTGCTAATATGTGAACTATTTGTTGCATATGGTGGCACCAGCATGGTTCATATTATAGTCAATATTTGGTTCATATCAAAAGTGATTTGGATTATCTAAATTATTCATGTGTATCAGTGTTCTTGTAATCATTTAATTTAATAATATTGGTTATTCTACAGAAGGTACAACCACAAATGGAGACTTCCTCCTTCCATTCAAGACTGGTGGTTTTTTGGCAAAGGCACCAGTACTTCCTGTAATTTTAAGATACCATTACAAGAGATTTAGCCCTGCCTGGGATTCCATATCTGGGGTAAGTACTTTTATAGTAATGAAGTTTTCATTATTTTTGCCAAATTCTGATAATAGAAGCTAATCCTGTACCCAACATCTAAGCTGCTCTGCTTTGATAAGTATGTCATATTTTAAACCTAGACTTGTACCTTAGGATATGAATATTTATTTATTATACCTTGTGCTGAATCGAAGTTTGTTTTCATGTTTGAAAATTGTGGGGAAGCTAGTGGAAGACTTGGCTTCATATGATAGCTGGAACTTGTCAGTCCGTAATTCAGTATAAGAGTGCCTAAAACATTTGCTTCCTACTTGTGTAAAATGTAAAAGGTTGTAGGTTCATTTTAGGCAAATGGAGACCAGCTTTTGTGCTTCAAAGTATGCTGTGCTAGCCATCTAGGAGAAACAAATTGTTTCTTCTGTTAATCATTTTTTTGTGTAGAATATTATGTGCGCATTTCCAATAATGAGCTAATAAAGTTTATTTACTTGAATTTTTTGCTAAATTTAATTTGGAGATATTGTCATCTCCTTAGCAACATTTGTTTTTATTCTTAATTTAAGTTTACATTCATTTTGGCAGGTGCGCCATGTAATTTTTCTCCTCTGTCAGTTTGTAAATTATATGGAGGTGGTACGGTTACCTGTTTACTATCCCTCACAGCAGGAGATGGATGATCCCAAACTATATGCTAATAATGTTAGAAGATTGATGGCTAGTGAGGTATTTATTCTGGTTTTAGATCCAATAATGCTTCTCTACTGACTACTGTAGAGTTAAGTAGTTAGGAAGGATATGGGTGTTTGCCTATTATGTTGCTGGACTCAATCTTTACACGTACGTGTGTGTGCGTGTGTGTTTGCCTATTATATTGCTGGAGTCAATCTTTACACGTACGTGTGTGTGTTTGTGTTTGCCTATTATATTGCTGGAGTCAATCTTTACACGTACGTGTGTGTGTATATTGCTAGAGTCAATCTTTACACGTACGCGCGCGCGCGTGTGTGTATTATATTGCTGGAGTCAATCTTTACACGTACGCGCGCGCGCGTGTGTGTATTGCTGGAGTCAGTCTTTACACGTACGCGCGCGCACGCGTGTATTATATTGCTGGAGTGTGTGTGTGTATTATATTGCTGGAGTCAATCTTAACATGTACTTTACATGTGCGCGTGTGTGTATTATATTGCTGGAGTGTATGTGTGTGTGTATTATATTGCTGGAGTCAATCTTTACATGTGTGTGTGTGTCAAAATTTTGAGAAAAAAGATAAAAAAACATCATTTAATAAGTGGTATTTTCATAAAAAAACATCATTTAATAAGTGGTATTTTCTTTTGTTCAAAAAGTATATTGTAAATTAATTTTGTAATGTTTTGTTGGAGTAGAGAATATATTGGATTAGTTTGAAATTTTTTGAGCATGATATGCATGTATAAAGTGCCCATTCAACTGTGGATTTTTTTTGGGGGTTGGGAGAAATTGACTCTCTAGAAAGTGTTAGAATATTAGGACTTGGTGTTTTAGGAGTCTTATGATGTTAACTTAGTATTAGTAGTCTTGTTAGTGGGGCTCGCTCGTACGAGTTGTACCTCACTACTAGTCGACTTAGATAGATAGAATAAATAGGTGTTAGTGGTATGTATCTAATATAAAATATTTCTTTCAGACTCTTGTTTCCACCGAAAGTTATTCATTGTTGTAGACATAGTCGTGAATCAAAATAAATTTTACACTATTGAGTAATACTGTTGGATGATTTTCTCATAAAGTCTATCATTAGATTGAAAGTTTTTATCGTATTGATTGTTCTTTTTAAGTGTTATATTCGTTTGAAACTGTTTTTATGCACATCTTTGATAAGTCATAACTTATACAACTTTTCAAATATAGAAAAATATTAGCTTTTCTGTTTGTGCGTACCATACACTGCTGTTTTGCTCAACAAATTTATACGAATGATTTTATTCCTTTAATTTTCATTTTCTTCTAGCAAGGCAAAGTGGGGTGCGCTCTTAAATAGTACAGTCTCTTTTATTTTTTACAAGTGTTGTTTGGTGAATGTCAAAATCTTCATTCCTTTGCTTTCTTTATTTCAATTCCATACTTGTGTAGCCTAAGGTACTCGTCTCCATGGTATGTATTCACTATTTTGTGGAAGCAGAGGTTCCTTGTGACCAAGGGGAGCAACATTTATTGTATTGTTTAAATGTTATTGCGTAACTGCCATTGGTGCCAGCTTGATTTTGTCTTGTATGTTCTTTTTGCAGGGTAATTTGATACTTTCTGATATTGGACTAGCTGAAAAACGAATATACCATGCTGCTCTCAATGGTAATAATAGCCTGCCTAGTGTTTTGCATCAGAAAGACGATTGATAATTTCATGGCCCCGATCTCAAATGATATGTAGTTCCAGTCGAGTTTTAGTTTCCAACATTTTTTTTAGTTTCGAACATTGTGTTTGCTTATGAATGGACAGCTTGTGTGAGGGCTGTTTATAGCTAATATATTGACCTAAACATCTGAATGTTACTTGTGTAATATTCTTGTAAATAACGTGATCAATAATTTGTTTTAATTGCTGGTGAACACAATTCAAGAGTTAAGGGTTATCTTTTGTTCACATTTTGATAGTGATAAATGATCTAACTCATTTGAGAAAGGCCTTGTAACCTTAGATCTGAATCTTCTGTTTCATGTTCCTGCAGGTTTGTTTTCCCAATGCTAAATTCTTCGGATTCGTGGTCTGTATATTCGTTGTATGGTTCTATTATTTATCAGGAAAGAAAAAGAAATTAATATAGAAAATCCTGTGCAGAACTAGGTTTCATATTTGAAAATGTATGTATCTAATAACTGCCTCTGGATCATTAATGCGATTTCTGATAAGAGGCTCGATGTATCTATATATTTTTGGTCAACTTTTCGAGGATTAGTAGGATCCTCTCCAATATAGGGCTTTTTAAAATATAATTGCCGATTCTAATTATTTAATGTTTTGCTCTAGTTTAGAACAAGCTTAGCTGCAATTTTACTTTTTATTTTTATTATTTTTTTAGGGTGCTAAGGATAGCCGAGGCCCCTAACGATCAGGCATACTCAAAAGGGAAATGCTCAAGATAATTTAAAAAAGTCTACCACATGCAGGCTGCAATTTTGTAACATAGTCATGAGTTTAACCTGGACAAAGATGAAGCTTCCTTTATGGGGGTTTTAATATTTGTGGGGGCGCACAGAAGCACGCCTTAGAAGCCTTTCCTAAGGTTAGCTGCATCGCAGTGTGCACATTAATCTGAATTTACTCAGAAGAATCTTTGTTATGAAATCGGATACCACACATCACAACTGGATGTTCCTCGTGTATGGGACCCCAAATTTAGGCAGTAATGTGTCTTAGAGCGTGACTAAGAGTCAAATGGAGTAATTTTACCTGTTGTACAGACACATAGGAATAGGGAATGAGATCATTGTTGCAAGAACATGAACTCAGTTATACAAAAAAAAAAAAAAGAACATGAACTCATAAGTCACGACTTGCGCTCATGAAATCATGAACACTTCCCTAAGAAATTCAGATATTTAAGGTGAAAAAACCACGTTTAGTGTTTACGGCCTCACGCAACGACACAACTAGGCAGCTTGAATCCTGCTTAGAATAGCAGACTGAAAAGAAAAGAAAAAAAAAATCCTGCTTTGAGTTTACGGGTGAAAAACTTGGTTTAGGGTTTGGTTTTTTGCTGAATTGGAATATCGTTCGCACCAGATTAATGGTAGAGCTAGATATCAAAAAACCCATCTTCCAAATAACTTTTGCAGAAGATTTTGTCTAATAATGCATATTTAACACCAGTATTTAACAATATGTATCAAGAATGAACAGTATATAGAAGTTACAAATATAAAGAAAATTAAGAGACAGAGAGAGTGCTGATACATAAAGACTATAGCTTGAAGTCAGTTTCCTTGCATTGCCTGCAGATATATTTACTGTGCTGTAGATATATAAAAGTAAGAAAAAAGTTGACTAATCTGTTCTGAAAAAAATAAAAAATAAAAAAATACTTGTGTATGCATGCCAGAAAAGAAGATTGCATATTTGTGGAGTCAGTCATTTATATTCTGTCACAATGACATTAGCTACTATATGAAGGAAGTGTCACTTGCACTTCTATATGAAAAAGATCTATCCCCTTGTTGACAGACTGCGGAGGGAAGCTTCCCATTAGGCATGAACAGAGCTTTTCCTCAATATTGGTATTGACAGAAATTAGAGGGCAGAGAGCATACTGAATTGAGTCCATGCCTCCTGCATTGTAAAATATACACTTAGTAATTCGATTTTTGTAAAATCATGATGAATGAAATACATATCTGCCAACAATGATAAGGCATTTTAATCATTTTCTACATTGCAATAACTTCCTAAGAATTGACCAAACCATAGTCATGACACAAGTATTGATACCATACCTATTGACTATTGTTACCCGTCCACAATTATATTCCGGAGAGCACGTGATCAATTAAATATTCATTAGCATGAGCATGGCTTCAGCACCACCATCATTAAAAAATAAGTATATTTTTGTCCTTTTTACATGTGTGGTTACCTCTTGAATCATACAGCAGCATATTAAGCTTCGTAAGCTGTTTCCGCTAGTTTCGAGCACACAAAAAGATAAGAAATAAAATCGTACTGGGTGAGGACACTACGAACGTAATTAACTCATGAGGTTTGTTGGTCCTACCAAGTTGCTGGTTAACAGCGAAGGTATAACTATATTTGTGCGCCTCATTTTGAGGACATATACCATTTGATTTTAACAATGGAATAACAAGCATATTAGTAAGTAGGTGAAACATATCATGAGTCGCTTTTATATTTGCACTGCAAACTCTTAAACTCTATAAATCAGTCACAGGCTAAGGAAGAAGAATGCCGAATATAGAAGCATTAATCTAGATTGTCAGCAACTACACTGGTTCTATCAACACGTCTCAAGAATTGAATGTATTAACCATTTGAAAGAAAGTAACTTGAATGGTCCAAATCAATTGCATCCTAAATTTGGTCTAATACCAAATCAGTCAGACTGCAAGTACATAAGCATTGTTTACTGATTATTTTATGATAGAAAAATGGTTTTTACAATTCAAGTTCAGGATTATGTTTGTTGCTTGGGAACTTATAAAGATGTCACACTATTAAGCTTTCCATTCCTCATAGGATAAAAAGCTTTGTGCTATTCCCTCCCCAACTGCAACTAGACTTACCGAAAAAAGTACTTCGGCGAAATTTCTTAAGAAGAACATATTCATAATTTAAGCAAGATAGAAAATGTCATGACATGGAATGGGTATGACCAATTTTAAGCAAGATTGTAGAATAATTGTAATGCTAATAAGTTGCCACAAACATGTTACCTGTAAAATATCAAAAACTTTTTCGGCGGTGTATTTTTGATTTGAAGCAGCACCCTTTTGCTGCAACTTGTCTGGATGGAGACAGAGTAAAGCTCTCTGATAGGATCTTTTCACCGCATTCCCTTCAATTATATCAACTAGAGGCACAGGCTTCCAGCCACTCTCCGGCCAAAGCACCTTTATGCATCATGATGAACGTCATTTTAATAATTAGCATGGACCTCAAAAGCATTAACCTCTTAATATGATTTTTAAGGCATATCAAAATGCTGTCTTTTTTGACAAGCAAGAAGAAGAAATGGAATTTTCAATCCATTGGGATAAGAATAGCAAGGAGTAAATAACACTATTGTTTTTTCTTACGTATTGTAATGTTGATAGCAGCGAGCGTATGTTTCCTTCCTTCCCTTTAGACCATTTTTGTATCTTGTCGTCAATGACCTACACAATATACAGAAATATATACTTAATATCGTTGTTCTTCTACAACCTCGAAACAAAGAAAGCATGTGTAGGTAAGTTACTTGGATTTCTCGATTTTCTTGGTTTTCTAAGACCTCGCCCTCATCTTGGGCTAATACTTGTATCTGCAAAATCCAATTCGGGAGCTTAAAAACATAAGGCACATAAAAGGCAAGAATTTAACACTTTCTACTGAAACCTTTTTAACTTAATGATGGAATACCATGAAATTCCCATGGAAGGATTCGTCTTTATCTCCAATAACAGCAAATGAGATATCAGGAATCGCTGCTAACAAAATCAAGTTGTTCCATCACATAATTTTATCATCAAGTATTCAGCCAAAATCAAATCATATATACATGAGTTTAAAGTTGATCAATAATCAGTGTCAGTGTAAAACTTTTTCCACTGTCAATAAATAAGTGCATGCCACATTTATATAGTAACTAAGGTTTTTTACTTTCCATGAATAGCTTCTAAATTCTACTAGATTTTTGAATAGGTAGCACCATATTATTCATTGATTGTGTATAAAAATTAAACCCATCTACATCTCGAATATAGACCATACTGAAAAGAGCATTTTTTTTTGGGAATGATTTAACAGGTAATTAAGAGAAACACAACATGGAAATAAAGGATGACCACAGAAGAATTTTAAATAAAATCTGCCTCATAATATGTGCCCTGTAATTATATTTTCTTATTGTTAGATGCTGGCCACATACATAATAATCTTTGTAAGTTTGTCATGTTCTTGTCACCGTGCTACATATAAAGAAGAACATATTCATAATTTCACGAATGTCCAAGTAAGTCAATTCTTAACTGATGGAATATTGGGCTTTGGATAACTAAGTAGTACCTGATGCTGATATATCATCCCGCTGAGACAAATTATTAGCAGACATGTTGGTGGTCTCTTCGGCGGAGTTCTCCTTCTTGGACTGTTCAGTATAACCTTCCACCTGGCATAATTGAAAGAAATCTTAAACACCTTAACTAAATTGTTGTGAAACTAGAATAACATGAGATTTCTCACTAAAGATACTCAAACTATCGAACTCCTTTTCATAATGTGAGTTTTCTCTTCTAGTCATCTTCTTCAACTGTGAAGCACTTACTTCATTCTTTGTCCTTAAAGCACCTCTCTGCTTGTATGAAGAACCCTGAAGTCGAGATTTGGAGTCAGATATGGGTTTTGTTACAGCTTCTTGGTTGAATATTCGAACAAACTCTTTGACCTTTCCTTTAACTCGGCCTTTCCCCACATTCTCGCCTAAGCTTGATGAACCGGATGCAGCTTTGCTATGTTCTACATCTCTCAAGGAAATTGTCTTTTCTTTTTGTTTCTTTGGATTCACGGCACCATCAAAAATAGCAGACGACTTTTTTGTGCTTTTCGTCATGATTTTTTGTCCCTCCCTTCTACTGTTCTCATCATAATCTGACGTATGAAATTAAGGAAAGTATCAAAGGGTGGTAAAGTAGTAATATATATGTGTGTTTGAGTGTGTGTACACATTCACACACACATAGAGAGATAGAGAGAGAACAAAATGCTGAAGATGGCTTTACCTTGTTTCTCATCACTTTCAGTGAACAGAGAATGTAATGGTTTGGACGCAAGCTTCTGACTTTCGCTTGCTGCTTCAGTTTTTCCAGAGAAGCCTGTGCCACTTATAGAATGAGTACTTGATTCTGAGATAGAACAACCAGGATCATCTTTAATAACAGTTTGAAGGCTGCTCAATGTATCTGATTGAGCTTTGGCAGAAGCTATTTGTTCTACAATATGTTGCGAATCTGCCCCATTTCGAGTGGTTGCGGAAGTAGTTGACACATCTTGTTTTCTGTTTTTTGTCAAAGAGGAAGCATTGTATGCTGCAGGACTATCATTTTGTGTGGTAATTTCACTGACAATCCATTCAGTAGCGCTTGAGCATCTCTCAAGTTTAACCTTATCTTTTGTCCTTGAGGTTCTCTCTGTCCTAAGAGACATCACCAATGGCACCCCTTTACTGGCCCATTTGTATATTGAGAAATGAAAGTGATCGTTGGTGGTACTAGGCGAAACTTCACCAATAGATATGTCTTGTTTCATATTGCTTCCTTTGTCTGCTTTATCAGATATGCTCAAGTCTGAAAACTCCTTTGATAGAAGACTTTGCCTGTGAGATGGTTTTAAATCATTTTTCAACTCCTTTCGTTGAGATAGATGAGAATCTGAAGAGCCTAATCCATTTGAAGTAGCAATTCCATCGTTGCTGTTGTTGAATGGGTTCCTCCTCCTAGTAGGGGAGCCAAATGTTGGAAGTTCCGCCCCATTTGTCAATTTGGCAGGAAGGCTGGTCATTTGAAGATGAACAAGTCATTAATGCATTCATTGCTTTGAAATTCAAAGCAACTAAAACAAGAATTTCTCATTTTACTGAACAGTAGAAAAGAAGTTAAGGCAAGAGACAGCTTAATATGTTATTTATTGATAAAGAGCCAATCATGTAGTAATAATTTGATAGTTCATCAAATAACTAATACATTTATCAACTTTTCCCTTTATGTTAATGTTTATATTTAAACATTTCAATTGCAAGCATTTTGTTTCCGATTTAGGTTCTTAGTTATCAATGGTGTTTATATATTTTACTCAATTGATGAAATTGTCCTTCTATCAATGCGCACGTGAAGGATGAACTACATTTCTATTTTGTTATTTAATGCAGTTCATTTTTGTCTTTAAACACTTCAAAACACAAATTACACGACACAACTTTATTTTTAGCAATTTACTCAATTAATTTTAAATATTTGACAATTTTTTTTAAGTTTTGATGATCATATTATAACCATTTTCCAAAATTAAAAAATAAAGCTAGTTGAATTCACCCACAAAAATAAAACCTAAAAATTCAAAAGAAATCAATTAAAATTTCAAAACAAAAATGTTAAAATCGTTATCATTAAAGATGAATACTTGATTAACATCTCGTTACAGAAAAAATAAATGAGTATAAATTAAAATTTTAATTTTTTAGGACGTACTTCTGAATGAAGTTTAGAAACATACTCCCAATCATCCAACTTAAAAAAATAATTCCACCATTCTAATCCTACTCATCTATATGTTGTGTAATTCTACTATCACGGAAATATTTATACTTAGCCACCCAACTAAGAAGGGGAGAAAATGAAAGCTAATATATACTATATTGATGAACCCCATTTGTGCTTCGGCAAGAAGAAGCAAAGTCATTTTTTTTTCCCGAAGATATTTCAATCAGTTTATTGTTTTGCAACTAGTTTGATTTGGGGTGAATTCCGAGAATAAGGTTTTAAATTCCTCCCAAAAACTGTACTGGAGAGGATCGAATATATATTCTTATCTCTACCTGCTCAATTTTCTGATACCAACTGAACTATTACTATTTGGTAAAATGAATTTGGATAACAAAAAGATGGAAACAATATGTATAGAGACGGAGGATAGCACCAGAGATATTAATTGAAAATTATATTATTTTAGAAAAATGTAAGACTATTTCCTTCTCTGCATATAGTTAGTAAATTTTTCTGTGTCTCAATAGAGAATTCTCACCAAAGTAAAATAATATGTTTACTTCTCAGTAACAGTAAATATTTCGCTTTTTAAAATAAAAAATAAAAAATGCATAATAACATGTTAGATATGCACAATGTAAAGGCAGATTGATAAAAACAATGATTGCTAAACGCTTAAAGTTTAAATTAAAAAGTTGCCAAAATTAGAACTTCAAAATTTGTTTTTTTGCCAAAAATACAAAGTTTAAGCGCATAATTTTCAGTTTGACAAAAACAAATTTTTGCAAGAACTGCTCTTATTTGATTTTAAATTCTAGGGTTCGCTTTTTCGGCAGCGGGGAACTCATTGGTTTTTATTTTAAAACAAATAAAAAAAATCAGGATCTAATATCGTATTTTGATAAACATGTATCTATAATTGCCTTGAATTCTATTGGGAAATATATTATTTTTTATAAAAATTCAGTAAGTTAAGTAATTTAAATAATTTAACTTGGACTACAAATCGTTAACAATTTTGTAAACATGCATATACCAGCATGTAGTTAATTTGAATAGTAAACTCTACATTCAGTGTGCTGTGTGCATAAAAAAGAAAGAAACCTGAAGGGTGCAGGGAGACATGAAGGTTCAGCTGGGGAAGGCAGAGGAATGGCAGGACTCAACACTGTGTTAGAGAAAGGGTTCCCAATCCCATCACGCTTCTTTGGCGTTGAACTCACGCTCGGAGATGGAGATGGAGACTCCTCTCCTCCAAAAATGTCATCGAAGAAGTCAATATTGTTCTTGTTTGGATGGTAACGCCTCCTGTTTCCACTATCCTCCCCAAACACTGGTTTCTCACGTTCACGAGGCCACGTACACCAACCACCTTCACTTTCATCATCACTCACGCTCCGCGTTTCGTTAACCGAAGACCGCCGTGGTGGGCCCCCAAACACGTCGTGAAAATCAACGTCCGAATTCCTCTGTGGTGGAGAATAATAAAATCTCTCCATTTTTATTATTATTATTATTATTCACTGTTCAAAACTGGCGGGAGATATTGTTGAGGCAATACAATACAGAGGTGAGTTTTTGAGAAGGGGGAGAATTAAATCGATTTTGTGATTGCGAAACCACAAAAATATGAGTGAATGTTGATAATTGCCAAGATTTTTCAAAGGATAAATCAAAAGTAGTGATGCAGATAACTGACGCACTCTGCTCCATGTTTTGGTTTTGGCACTATTTTTGTGATACTAATTGAATCCCCTGTCTATAACTATATGATGACTAGTCAGAACACACCACAGCCTCTCGTTGCTCCCCAGTTTCGTCTTCTTCTTCGAGAATAGCGTTTTTGTATTTATCATGAAAATTTTACATTATCTTATGATGAAAAATATTTTTTTGGGTCATATTAATTTAGTTGTCACTTTTTTTGATGATATGCGTAGGATAAATTTCTCATATATATATATATAAGGTTTTGATTTTTTAAGGGAATAGATTATTTTACTTACTTTTTTCTCTATCTACCTTTACTTACCATTATTCAACATCATTATATCAAAATCTAAATAGAAGTGAGAAATAAAAAAATAGTTAAAATTTTGATCTAATGATATTAGAAAATGGTAGATAAATAAAAGAGATAAATAGAATAATCTATTTTTTTATTTTTAAGATAAGCAAATGACTGAATGAACCAAGCCAAACTTTAATTAAAGCCTTCAGATTTATACAAAATAAAAGAAAAAGAAAAAGAAAAAGAAGGCCCTAGTAGATACATCCGTGTTAAAATAAATCTTACTAAAATTTGTAAATATTTATAAAAAAAAAAAATACAAAATTTTCCAGGCAGTACGAGTACATGTGATTTCAGGAAAGAGCCAAATCGTACCAGAAAAAAATTGATGACAAAATCGCAACAAGCGCCAAAGCACTGCAGCAATTAATTATGTCATTTCCTTTTTCGACTGCTTCTTACATTTTCCTACTCAACGCAGAAAGCCAGAAACCAAACAAGCAACCAACAAAACATCCAAATTTAACAGGGGGAATAGGTTACAAATGTCACGAGTGAAAAATTTTAAATTCAGAGGAGCTATCTGAACAGAAAGTGACTAAAACCAAATTCTTCAATTTTTTTTGTTTTGTAAAAATATCAAAATATATATTTATAATCACTATATGTCACAGGGGGGACAAAAAGAGATATATATACAAGATACAGGGATTACATGTCACGCATCTTCAGAGGTGGTAATAAATAAACTAGAACCGTAGTATTATCAAGCTTGCCACCATAGACCAATAGCAAAAAATGATCCCATGGGAATAAAACAAGATGCATAATACGTAGAATCTAGTAGTAATCACAAATATATATTTTATACCAAACAAGCAACCTACTCAGAACATTGAAGACTCGAGATATGAATTTCAAACCTATATGTGCTGACAAATATTACGCCACCAAAAAATTAATGGTTCATATTAGGTAATGCAAGTAATATGCTAGAGTTAATTAGAATCAATTAAATGCCCGAATAAGTTGTTCGTCCTGCATTTTCAGGCTCTGTTCATTTTAATCCCTACTTCTTTAATTTTTTGAGTCCCTGGATTTACCATTTGAGTTCAGTGCTCCCTACAGTCAACTTCCACCTAAATGAGAATATTAAGTGCTAGCATTGCTAACGTTTTATGTTGGGTCTGACTTGGCAAATACACATGTCACTTGTAGCTGATTTGTGCTAACAGAAGAGGACATAACTGTCCAATTTAGATGATACTTGACTGTATGTAGGGAATACATTGAACACAAATAACAAATAAACTGACTAAATTGCAAACACTTTAGAACTAAGGACTATAATGAATACTTCCTGAAAATGCAGGGATTAAGCCTAATTGGTCAAATACAAAACAAATATATATCTTTGACAACAATGCACAACCCAAATTGTCAAGAAATCTTCTTAGATTTGGTTCAAATCTCAAGACACACACACAAGGAAGTGGGTAAGCTTTTAACTTCTTATGGGTTGGGAAAACGTAAATAAAAACTACCATGCGATGCCCCGGGCCTCTACCGATCTCTTCTTCTCTCCACAAAAACAATCAAAGGAAAGCTACAGTCATATGCATTTAATGTATTAAGGGTAGGGAAATATACAAATAACAATATTAGAAGTCATGAACAGTGTCACCGCCAAACCACATGATATTTATAATCAAGAGACAATGAAATGATGCTGTATTAATAACCAATGTAGTAACATTCTCCCATGCATAAAGTCCAGAATAGAAAAATCTTATCTGACCAAAACGAGGTGAATCACCATTACTTCCACTTTCCAGTTGATAGGTGAAATTGAAATAATGTTGCTGCACTGGGGACCGGAATATGGTGCACCTGATGCGTAAAATCGGCAAGTGCACCGATCGTACCAAGTAATAAAGAGTGAGTAGAGTATCGTCTCCACGAGGATTGAGGCACCTAAGTTGTTATAATTATTCCTCTCTTGTTGGATTAATCAAAATAGGTTGAGAATGATTGTAGTTCATGAAACAAACTAAAATAATTAAAGTAAAAATGTAAATGATTCCAAAAGTGTTTTCAGAATGCAAGAACAAAAGATTAAGGATTGGAAAAATATTTGAGAAAATATTGCGGTAAGAGAAACAAACACCTTTCCGATCCCCACCTTGCAACTTGGATTACGTTTACATTTACCTATTCAATTGATCGAACAATTCATCATCTTTTATATGATTAGTTAAGCCCTAATCCCTTAGTGATCTTAACCTAGTCAACTCTATTAGAATCCTAATCCCTTAGAAATCCCTTTTCGAGTTAACCCTTAGAATCAATGAACCTTTAACGTTCGCTGTTCATGTAGCCTATCCCTAGTGCGTACATGAACAGTTATCTTATTCTTTGTCAGGAATTAGAATTCCAACATCCCTATCGAAAACCCTAACCCTCGCAATCCTACTAGATTGATCAGTTCCAATAGAATTATAAATGAAGAACAAGAAAAGATAAACTCAATTAAAATAGATAAACGTAAATTTCAACCAAGGTACAAGGGGTTCACATCAAGGGTTGTGACCCTTACCACAATGATAAAACTAGCCAGACATGTTCATGTCTGACAAAATAACAATAAAAGAGAGTAGCATTTAAAACCTAGAAGAGAAAGGGAAGATGAAGATCTTCCGTCTTGATCGATCGAACCCTTGAATCTCCGAGAAGCTCCAAGGAATCTCCGCTCTATTTGTTGTTTTTCTCTCCTTGATTCTCCCAAAAGTCCTTTTTCTTATGTTTTTGATCCTTTTATTAGGTTTTGGGAAAACCTATTTCCCTTTGCACTCCAATTGGGCCTTATTTTAGCTGATTCGCACTTAAAAATATATCGCCCGCGCACGGGGCGCCAAGCCTGGCGCCCCAAACTTGGGAGAAACAGAAGCTGAATCTGTAAACGGCGCCCCGGGCGCCAACTCTGGAGTGCCGTGCGCCAGTCCCGCGCTCCGTGCGCCAACTCCCGCGCTCCGGGCGCCAGGTTGGAGCGTCGTGCGCCACATCCCGCGCTTCGTGCGCGACCGAAACAGAAGCAAATCGTCGATTTGGCGCCCCGTGCGCCAAGTACCGCGCCCTGTGCGCCAGTTTGGCGCTCCGTGCGCCAACCTCCGCGCGTCGTGCGCCAGCGGGAAATTTGGTTTCTCCGTTTTTGCTCCTTTTTGCGGTGTTTCCTGCTATTTAAACATATAACTTGAGTGAGAACATGATTGAGAAGGAATAATCAATATTTCTTGCATTTAATGACTATTTTCACTCATTTATGATTAATTCCTTGCTTCTTTCAAGTTAGAAAACATCATATGCTAGACGCACATCAAACAATTCCCAGATTTAGATGTTGCTGTCCTCAGCAATAAACAGAATTTAAGCATGGGAAGAAAGGTTCAATCAATCAAGCACAACATTGCACAGACAATCATAAAGATCACTATACTAAGCATGAATGATTTCCACGTCAAACTTAAGATGATGCTCATCAACTACATTCAAACATCAGAGTCTAACTTGATTACCCCTCACAAGACATGATATTCACTCATCACTCAGTGTTTGGGGTCATTCATCATCACTCATTTCATCATCACAGTTGTTGTACTACCATAAGCTTGATCTTTTTCTCAAGTTCCTAAAGATGAGGAACATCAACACATGCCTGATTGATCAAAAGGGCTTCTTAAGGTTATAACTTGGCTTGGCTTAAGGTTAGAATCTTTTGGAGAGTAGCTGAATAATTATTGAGATTGAAACACCATTTTCATTAATACTCAATCATCTCTCAATTCAAGTTTCAGTACCACTCTTTATTCGAATTCATGATTCCTTCCTTTTTCTCACTTTTTCCTTCATCATTGCTTGTCAATTTTTGCAATTTATTTTTCTTTCTCTTTATATTCATGTGAGAACTATTCTTTTCTTTTCCTTTTCAACTGCTTAACTTCTAGTGGAGCTTACCTCAATTACTTCTAACTTTTTGATTATTGACATTTCAATCTCAAACAAGGTAAGTTCTGATGGAAGTGGTCTAAACAGTTTAATAAGGTAATTAAAAAAATTGGTCTCAGGCTCAACATGGCTAACAATGGATGATTTCTCAGGTAGCTATTTGGCCATAAGCTTAATAGAACAAAATGCCTCTATCACTTCAATCAACACATGCATTGGAGAGAATTAGATCAAGTTCTAGAGTACCACTGCAGTGAGGACTCTCAAAAAAAAATTAACTGTATAGGCACAAACCTCACAAGCTGTGGTATCAAACTAGACTCTTCTTGATTTCATTTCAAGCATCATTATCATAGAAATCAAACAAACGAGCAATCATAATCTCTATTCATGCTCTACGCAATGTCATGACAATCTTGCATATCATGCAATGCTTCCTCATATTCAACCAAGGAATTGACTGAGTAGCACATCTAAATCAGGACTGTGCTTTCACATAGCAGGAAATGAAACTAAAAACACAAAATTTCTACCAAAATGAAAAAAAAATAAAAATGAAAATAACTAGAAAGGTTAAAATAACTCCCCTGAAGTGGCTATGAATCTGCTGAACCTTTTTCTGTGTGTGATACCTCGATTTCCGTGTATGCGGCCCCAATTCCCAGATTTAGAACATTGCTGTCCTCAGCAATAACTAAAGTAGTCAGAGAAAATACTGCTGCGCAAGTATAAACAACACACATGTGAAATGTCAAACAGAAAATAACATGACCAATGTACTGGAGAATTACAACCCAAAATACCAAAGAGGTTCAAATGACCCTAACATAAACCTAGATGGTCAAACAAAGACAATGAAAATAAAACATCACAAGAAAAATTAAACACAGATAAGAGAAAGGAAATAAAATAAAATAAAAAAATAATAAAAACTCATTGGGTTGCCTCCCAAGTAGCGCTTGTTTAACGTCACGAGCCTGACGTACCCCTTGTGATCATGGTGGCTGGTAACTCGGGCTCAGTGATGACACTATACCCTTACTCAGAATTTGTGTCCCGCCATGGTTATACTCATATGCATGTGGATAAGGATGAGGGTTCTCAGAAACTTTAAACTTAGTCCTCACATGCTTTTCCTTACCCTTGGGCTTTTCCATCTTAACCTTTGGCTTGCTTCCTTCATACCACTGATGGATTTCCTTCTTTGTGGGGTTTAGTCTTCTCTGAGATTGTCTCACATGTTTAACATTGTCTTCCATTAGCATCTTGTGAGTACAGAAAGAATGGTTGATGCCCTTCAAATCAGAAATAGACCACCCAATAGCTGTCTTGTGCTCCTTGAGCACTTTCAACAACTTCTCTTTTTCATCCATAGACAACTCTTTATTGATGATAACGGGATATTGCTCTTTATCTCCCAAGAATGCATATTTCAGCGTTTCAGAAAACTCTTTCAACTCTGTTTTTGGTGCTACTGTAACTAGATCATTTTCTTTCTTTTCTAGCACCTCAAAAACAACTTCTAGCTCTTCTTGTGGAGTAGCTTCATCTTGAGCCTTCAACTCTTCTTCAAGCTCTTGATAATCACTTTTCTCTTCCATAATCACCTCTTCAGACACATCAAGTCTGAAACAATCACTGTGATCAGATGAATTCTTCATAGCATCGAAGACATTGATAGTGATTTTCTCATCATTCATCCTCAACTCGAGCTTTCCTTGTTCTACATCAATCATAGCTCGAGCTGTGGCCAAGAACGGTCTACCCAACAGAAGGGGTATTTCACTCTCCTCCTCCATGTCTAACACGATGAAATCAGCAGGGAAGATGAACTTGTCAACTTTAACAAGAACATCTTCTATGATTCCACTAGGTCTCCTCAAAGAACGGTCAGCAAGCTGTAAAGATACCATGGTTGGCTTCAACTCAGAAATTCCCAATGACTTGCATATTGACAATGGCATCAAGTTGATGCTTGCTCCAAGATCACAAAGTGCCCGGCCAACATTGGTGTTGCCTATCGCAATTGGGATGTTGAAACTTCCCGGATCTCGAAGCTTTGGTGGGAACTTCTTCTGAATAATGGCACTGCACTCCTCAGTAAGTGCTACTGTCTCACAATCCTGCAACTTATGCTTTCTAGACAATAAATCTTTCAAAAATTTAGCATAGTTAGGCATATTAGCTAAAGCTTCAGCAAAAGGAATATTAATATGCAACTTTTTAAACATATCTAAAAACCTGGCATACTGTTGCTTCTGTGCTTGCTGCTTGAACTTCATAGGATAAGGAGGTTTCTCAAAACGAGAAAAATCCATCGGTTTCTTTGGAGCTTCAACAGCTTTCTCTTTTGCGTCTCCTTTGTCTTGCCTTGCAGGTTCTTCTTTCTCAGTTGCAGGCGTTTCTACCTCTTTTTCTTGCTCTGGCTCGATCACTGGTTCATCAACCTTCACTTTCTGAACCCCTTTTTGCTTGTCTTGAGGAGTGATCACAATTCCACTCCTGGTTACAATAGATTTGCAGTCTTCCTTAGGATTCACAATAGTATCTCCAGGAAACTGCCCTTGAGTTCTTTCAGCCAACTGCCTAGACAACTGGCCTATCTGACTCTCCAAGTTCCGGATGGAAGCATCCTGGTTCTTGTGGTAAGCTCTTGTCTCATTAATGTGATCATTAGTGGTCTTTGACAGTTGTATCATTGCTTTCTCCAACTCAGATGGCTCTTTTTGTGGCAGAGGAGGAGGTTGTAGATAGTTGTTGGATTTATAATCCAAGCCACTCCCTTGGTTCCTCCTTTGAAAGTTATTTCCTTGGCCGCCATTCTGATTCCTTTGGTAACCTTGAGTATTCTGTGGAGGCCGTGGATCATACCAAATTCCATTGACCTGGAATGGTTCAGCTTTATTGAGTGTAAGGCACTCATTAGTGTCATGCGGCTCCTTGCAATACTCACAGTTAAATATATCAACCTTGGATGTTGAGAGCTGCATCTTGTCCAGCTTGGCATTCAAATTGGCCAATTGCTGGGAAATCACTTTGTGCTCAGCTAGTGATGCATCATTATTCCCCAATTGTAAAATTCCTTTCTTGGGCTGAATAGATGGGAATGCTGCTGCCATAGACGCATTCTCATTCCTTGCCATTAAATCCAGCAGCTCTAAAGTCTCATCTGCTGTCTTCTTTCCTATGGTGCCACCAGCTGCACCATTGACAATCATTCTGCATTCTGGCGTCATCCCATTATAGAAGACTCTGACCTTCTTTGTATCTGGCAAGTCATATTGTGGACACTTTCTGATCAGCTCCTGGTATCGAGTCCAGGCTGCACATAAAGTCTCTCCTGGTTGTTGGGTAAAATTGGTGATTTCATTCACCAACTTATTGTACTTTTCCATGGAAAAGTGTTCAGCAAAAAATTTAGCCGCCAAATCCTCCCATGTTCTGATGCTGTTGGGAGCTTGTCGATCCAACCATTTGAGAGCTCTCCCGGTCAATGCAAACGGGAACAATCGGAGTCTGATCGCATCGTCTGACACTCCGTTGTGTTTAGTTGTATCACAGATCCTTAAAAATCTGTCTATGAAGTCATGAGGATCTTCATAGTCCTCTCCACCAAACTGAGTTTTCTCAACCAAGGTGATGAGTGCTGGCTGGATGTCATAATTATTAGCAGCAATCGGTGGTTTGACAATACTCGAGTTTGGCCTTGTGAATTGAGGAGCCAAAACTGATTCCATCAGCTCAGCTGCTGGTGGATTTTCTTCTGCCATCTCTGTTTCTACTTCAAAGTGTGAAGTAGAATTTTCTGCTTCAGAATGTGAAGTAGAAGCCTCTGCTTGCCTCTTCTGCTTGGTATGTTGTCTTATCCTCTTTGCAGTCCTTTCTATCTCTGGATCGTAAATCAAAGTTGCAGGATCAACTGTACAACGCATAAACTCAAGCAAACAGATTAGTAACACAAAGATCCAAGCAAGAAAATCAAAAGTTATAAATAACTTGGCGTAATCAATCCCCGGCAACGGCGCCAAAAACTTGATGCGTAAAATCGGCAAGTGCACCGATCGTACCAAGTAATAAAGAGTGAGTAGAGTATCATCTCCACGAGGATTGAGGCACCTAAGTTGTTATAACTATTCCTCTCTTGTTGGATTAATCAAAATAGGTTGAGAATGATTGTAGTTCATGAAACAAACAAAAATAATTAAAGTAAAAATGTAAATGATTCCAAAAGTGTTTTCAGAATGCAAGAACAAAAGATTAAGGATTGGAAAAATATTTGAGAAAATATTGCGGTAAGAGAAACAAACACCTTTCCGATCCCCACCTTGCAACTTGGATTATGTTTACATTTACCTATTCAATTGATCGAACAATTCATCATCTTTTATATGATTAGTTAAGCCCTAATCCCTTAGTGATCTTAACCTAGTCAACTCTATTAGAATCCTAATCCCTTAGAAATCCCTTTTCGAGTTAACCCTTAGAATCAATGAACCTTTAACGTTCGCTGTTCATGTAGCCTATCCCTAGTGCGTACATGAACAGTTATCTTATTCTTTGTCAGGAATTAGAATTCCAACATCCCTATCGAAAACCCTAACCCTCGCAATCCTACTAGATTGATCAGTTCCAATAGAATTATAAATGAAGAACAAGAAAAGATAAACTCAATTAAAATAGATAAACGTAAATTTCAACCAAGGTACAAGGGGTTCACATCAAGGGTTGTGACCCATACCACAATGATAAAACTAGCCAGACATGTTCATGTCTGACAAAATAATAATAAAAGAGAGTAGCATTTAAAACCTAGAAGAGAAAGGGAAGATGAAGATCTTCCGTCTTGATCGATCGAACCCTTGAATCTCCGAGAAGCTCCAAGGAATCTCCGCTCTATTTGTTGTTTTTCTCTCCTTGATTCTCCCAAAAGTCCTTTTTCTTATGTTTTTGATCCTTTTATTAGGTTTTGGGAAAACCTATTTCCCTTTGCACTCCAATTGGGCCTTATTTTAGCTGATTCGCACTTAAAAATATATCGCCCGCGCACGGGGCGCCAAGCCTGGCGCCCCAAACTTGGGAGAAACAGAAGCTGAATCTGTAAACGGCGCCCCGGGCGCCAACTCTGGAGTGCCGTGCGCCAGTCCCGCGCTCCGTGCGCCAACTCCCGCGCTCCGGGCGCCAGGTTGGAGCGTCGTGCGCCACATCCTGCGCTTCGTGCGCGACCGAAACAGAAGCAAATCGTCGATTTGGCGCCCCGTGCGCCAAGTACCGCGCCCTGTGCGCCAGTTTGGCGCTCCGTGCGCCAACCTCCGCGCGTCGTGCGCCAGCGGGAAATTTGGTTTCTCCGTTTTTGCTCCTTTTTGCGGTGTTTCCTGCTATTTAAACATATAACTTGAGTGAGAACATGATTGAGAAGGAATAATCAATATTTCTTGCATTTAATGACTATTTTCACTCATTTATGATTAATTCCTTGCTTCTTTCAAGTTAGAAAACATCATATGCTAGACGCACATCAGCACCCATCTAGGACCACCATAAACCCACTGTCCCCCAAATTAATAGCTTGAAGACCCTACAAAAAAGTAACACAAACAATGACTATCTATTGACAAAAAGAATGCAATAAAATAGAGATCTCTTTCAGGATTACGAAATAACAAACCAGAACTGATTATTTACAAACAGAAAGTGTTTGACTGTTTGCAACCTAGTTAAGTCACTCTATGCTCAGAAATTGCAAAAATAATATCAAGTACAGCTGAAAAATCAGGGAAATACTTCTCAAGGGCTTAAAGCAATCATCAGAAAACCATCACATTACAAAAATTTTGATATCGAAAAATATTCAGATAAAAGATACAAGAATAGTAGGATGTAATGTCAGTGCTAGTTCTATCATTAGGATTAGGAGTGTTATTGGGTTGAGCTTGTAGTTGCACTCCACTTGTAATTACTCTATACTATTAGTATGAATAGGAGTATTAGGCCAGTTTTTTATTTCACAGCATCAAAATTATTTAATTTAACTACTTAAATATATTATCTCTTCTTTTCTACTTACCATCAAATCCCTATAATTGCAATAACAATATTCCAAAGATTATAGCATAGAGGTGAAGGCAACCTGATCAGTAAGTGCTATGATGCATGCTGTAGAGGAACCCTTAGCTTTTGTACTCGAGTGTGCTTTTTCTAGCACCCTAGCTGGGTCAATTGAACCTTTGGGCTCCTCCTGAATAGCATCTACTGAATTGGACATGAGTTCACGTGAGTACTGTCCAGCAACAACACCAAGATCAGTCCAGCCACCAACACCATCTGCCACCTCTATTGCTTGTTCCTCAGAACATATAAAATGTGCATCTTCTCCACCAGTTTCTTCTATCAGGATGGGGCAAGTAGCATGACCTGATATTAACTTATTAAGGGTTTGCCTGATGGAGTTTTCCTGCAGTTATCATCCAACCATTTCATATCAGAAATAAGATTGCATAATCTCAGGATATTTTTAACTATCATATGCATGTTCTTGGTAATATAGCGTGTACGCATTGTTTGTAGATCTAAATTCAACATTACACAACTGAGGGAAATTTTTTTAGTTAAATATTAATAACACCCAAGTTTCATGTCACCGTCATGGAAATCATTGTAGAAGAAGTACTCCTATATAAAATATAACAACCAATAAATTTTAAAATATCAAGCCACTTTTGCCTATTTTTTTACTATTCAAGGCCCCTTTGATTAAAATATCTTCATTCTTCAATCCCTTTAAAATGTCCTTAGACAAAAGATGGATTTTTGTTACAGACGCAACCACAAACAGTTCCCTAAAAGTGACATAACTACCATTTCAGCCAATTTGATACATGGTGAACAACCATCAGCAGCACAGTATTTAAATCATTGATTTAAATGTTGAAAATTCTATTGTTTCACATGTCGATGATAAGCTATACAAATCTTTAGACCCTGACTCTGTGCAAAGGTAGGAACTGGGCAAAGTCTTCGCAACATTATAAATACAATAGTCATTATTTAAACGATTATTGGGTTGATGATGGTTTTTCAAACTCAAGCTCACATTTCTGCCATTCTCCAAACTTGTGTTTAAACAGATAATACTTGTATTCTTTCTTGGCAGTGAATGGTGACTATGCTTCAAAGCCAACTTATGTAAGGAGCATTCATTAACTACAATTCTGGATAAGTGAGCAGCCACTGTTTTACTCTGAAATTTGCTGGCAGTTGAAAATTGATGAGATCCAAACAATGCAAAATCAATGTGATATCCAGAACATTGAAATGAAGGCCCTGATATAGAACTATAGAAGGAATGGAAAATGTGCCAACTACTGATGAGGTTCTTGTTTGTTTGGCGAACAAGGTCCATGCAAGATGAAAAGTTGAAAGAATGAGAGAAATTTGAAGTCCCAAACCACAACTTCCCTCGTCCTATGAGGAATTCGACAATTGAACTATGAATTGCAGCTCTAAGTCTCGAAAAGTAAGTGGGTGGCATTTTACTAACAGAAGAATTATTACATAGGTTAAGGTTTTTACGGAGGAGAAACACCACCAGAATATATGCAAAACACAATCTCATAACTCACGATTCATGAGTACCTAAATCGCAGTATATATCTTCACCTCAAATAGGTAACGAAGAGTATTCATTCAAAATATCGTACCAAGAATCGAGGGATAAATAATAACGGAGTAGGGAAGAATCTTACGGTTCCGGGAAAATTATAGCAGAACGGAAGCGTAGCCAACATAAATCCCTTATCATAAAAGCTTGGGACGATAACCTGTTACCTTCTTTGTTACCAAAAAAAAAATAAAAATTAGACGAAAAACAATAAGGTAACCAAGGAAAAAGAATATGTCACTTGTAAAGTACAGGATATATTTACCCACAAAATTTTTTATCATCTTTATAATTAATTTAATTATGGGTTTATTTTTTTTAAAGTTACTTTAGATAATTTTATCTAATGTTCATCGAAACGACGTCGTTTTGGGACAAAAATTATGGTGTTTTTGTAATTTTAATTTATTTCAAGGCTATAATAGTCTTTATCATTCAAATTTTTTAATTTTTCAATCCAAAACAACATCGTTTCGATGAACATTACACAAAGTTATCTAAAGTAATATTAGATACTTTTTTCTCTTTAATTATTAATAATTTTCATTAATTTAATAATTATAATTTATTAAATTTATTGTAAATTAATAATTAATTAATAAATATGACTCAATAATTTTTAATAAATTATAATCGTTAAATTGATGAAAATCAAAGGTGAATAGATTAATTACAAAAATGATAAACTTTTATAGTGGTAAATATATCGTTCGGATGTTTGTAATCATTCCAATTGAAATTGACATTTTGTTGAAGGGTAACATTTAAAGTTAATGTTTTAATAGACACGGGTAGTATTTTTTTTAATAGATGGAAATAACGGTTGGATCAATTATGTGGATCTAACGGTTATATTGATTTTCATCTTTGTATGGTTATGATTCTCTATATTTAATATTTTATATTTATTTTTACCTTTGTATGATTATGATTTCTCATATTCAATGCTTTCATATTTGGGATAGGATATTGTAACAACCAATTAGTGTTACTACCGATGTTACTACTAATTAATTTTACCGTTAGATCAATTATGTTGATCCAACGGTTATATCTATTTCTATCTTTGTATGGTTATAATTTCTCATATTTAATATTTAATATTTATTTATACTTTTGTATGGTTATAATTTTTCATATTCAATACTTTCACATTAAATATGAGAAATCATAATCATACAAAGATGAAAATAAATATAACTGTTGGATTAACATAATCGATTTAACGGAAAAATTGATAGATAGTAATATTGGTAGTAACACTAATTGATTATTATAAATTATAATATCTTATCCCATAGAAATATGATGAGTTATTTATTTTATTTGTAACTATAAGAAAAGATTAAGTGGTCAATATATATATATATGGTCAATATATATATATATATATATGGGGAGGGATCATTTGACTCCAGAGTAAGATTTAAAAGTCTTACTCCTCATCCCAGCCATTGATTTCCGTTCATCCAACGGTTATCATTTATTTGAAATTAATAATTAATTAATGCATTAAATTACTAAATGATAACCGTTGGATGAACGGAAATCAAGGGCTGGGATGAAGAGTAAGACTTTTAAATCTTACTCTGGAGTCAAATGATCCCTCCCCTATATATATATATATATATATATATATATATATATATATATATATATATATATATATATATATATATAGTTAAGAATTCGACAGTGGAAGTTAGTCCAATGATTGCAATTATTGGAGAATAATATTATAGTCACTTAAAAACTATATCTAATTTACATCTTCCATTGAATTGATATTAACATCGATTTTTATATTTGAAATTCACAGCTGATAATAAGATTGGAATTATTTTATAAACCAATATTTGTATTAGAAATATTAAAAAAAAGGAAATTCATTTTTTTTATATCTTTCATATTTAATTACATTTTGTTAAGACTTTTTTTTTTACATGTTATCTTTTTATTATTCATTGCAATATTTATCAACTTGGGATTTTGTTTTCTTTGTAGAATTTCGGCATTACGAGTTAGCAGATTAAGGGATTAATTTTTAATATAATTTAATATAAATGTCATTAATGAACTTTTTAGAAATTTTACATAAATTTCATATATGAATATTTCACCGAAGGATTCACTAAAGTGACAATAAATTATATAGAACTTTACAAGAGATCAGTTCAGAAAAGGCTTGAAAAGGGAGTGAAAACTTAATAAGGAAATATATATTTTTATGAAAAACCTATAAACGTTGGCCGTACTCCAAATATAAAGAGGCTAGAGGTAATTGAGTGAATATATCTCTAAGAAAATACCTTTTATCATTCTATAGTAACAGATTTTGTACAATATAAAAAACTCGTAGATCAATTTGAAGCATTTACTTATTACTTTTTATATCAGAAAATAATTTTATATCACAGCAAAGAAGGACTAACTCACGGTATAACCATAACCCATATCCAATAAAGTATTAAAAGTAAAGCCACGGGGCCATATCTACAATTTAATTGCAGGCAGCACACTTATTACAGAAAAGACAAAGTGAAAAAACATCTGTACATGTAAATAAATATCCAAGAAGTGGTTTCTACAACATGTGACTTAATCCTATCAGTTTCTGAATTAGCAAACTCAAGTGATGCTAAGAAAATGAAACGAGAATTGGCTGATTTACCGGTCACAAAAACTCCGGGGGGGGGGGGGGGGGGGGGGGGGGGGGGGCCAAGAGACTATGAACCATTAAGGAAAGCTGGCTCGTGGAGCTTTGTTGCTGATGTAATTTGGCAATTGCCAGTTTTCTACGGTTGAACTCCTCTATCCCCAGATGAATCCAAGTTCCCTTCAAAAGGGGTAAGTAAAGCAGAAAGACCACCCCTGCTTGCCCCCACACCGATGCTTAGACCAAGAAGATCACGAGTCATGGGCTGGCCAACAAATGGAGGAGACGAGCCCATCATCACACCCTCATTTCCACATGGAAGTCCAAGCCCGAGGTTATCATCTGCCTCTTGCTTAACATAACCATTCCATTGTGTTGTTGTGGTGTCATCTTTCCCGAAGAAAGATGTTGTTGTTAAGCCTAAACCCCGAAGCAAGGATGCATTGGATGCACCCATTTGAGCTGCCTTTTGGAGTAATGCTGTAGCAGATAACGCAGGTTGTGGTGCAGTGTAGTGGCGAAGATCATGTTGATCCGGGAATAGGGATTGTTCATTGTTGGAGAGATAGAGTGATGTGGAGAGAGAGAGGGATGTGGGTTCTATGGTAGAAATGGAAGTGGGACAATCTGAGCAAGCCAAGCTTGACATGAGATTTGAGAATGAGGAAGTTGATGGTGCTGTTGAGGATGTCAACACACTTGCAAAAACAGTGCTACAAGTAGTAGAACTTGTAGGGGTTCCGGTTGGGACAGGGTTAACCAAACTCGTTGACGTCGGCGACAGCCTCGTTGGATTTTCCGGAATGTCTGATGCCGATGGGAAATAGAAGACATAAAATGAGCAAAAAGAATTAAGAAAAGTTGCAATTAGGTAAATTAACCTGAAAGGCTGAAACAGATAATAAAAGAAAATAAAAGAGGCTTTTTTTTTTATAAATTATTTTAGGAAGAACATTTTCTTTTCCACCAGTGAACTTCGAATTTCATGCATTATTTTCTTTCATAAATTATTCTATTACATGACAAAATCGAAACCCATTATTTTATATTATAACCCGAAACAGAGAGTAAACAAAGCTAGAAATTGAATGCGCGTAGAGCAAAAAGGGAAGCAATTATAGTGGCCTTTCCTGTTATTCTCTCCCTTTACTCTGTTCAGTCTCTGTCGACGCTCAGTGTCTCATCCATAACAACTCCACCCTATTAAAAAAAGCTAAACCCCACATAAAACACGCACAGATACAGCTTTTAATTAGTCTTTTTCATCTCTCCATCCCCGCAGGCCACATCATTATCCATCAAACTGACCTATTTATTACTGGGCTAATTTTGTTACTACTTACTACTCTCCTTAAACTTGCCCAGTTTCCCAAAGCCAGAGGAAAACAAAAATTTAAAATGACAAGAAAAAATAAACAAAATCGGTACAAGACAAACAACACACATACTTCGAGTTAAAATCATGTCTGCATCGTGCGTCTAAAACCTCTATTATTTATATTTATTTAAAAATCTGGTGAATTGAATGTTGACGAAAACGATGGGTAAGAAATTCACACAAGTTTGACCAAGGAAAATGCAAGTGCAAATAGCTTTAACACTACCTGAGCTGTGAATGGACAAAGATGGAGACACCACATGTGAAGAGGGAGTAAGTGGAGGCGTAGGGGGGGAAGCAGCTAGTGTTTTGGGCCCGCCACTCTCTTCCGCTAAGACATTGCAAGAAGCTCTGTGCGTCATGAAGCTATCCCTCCTTTTCACAATCCACCAATAAGATTATAAATATTATTAGGGACGTTAAAAGGGAAAAGTAATTAAAGAAGCATTTTCAGAGAGAGAGAGAGAGAGAGAGAGAGAGAGAGGAAAACCTTGAGAACAAGGTGCCGCAGTGACATCTGTACTCTCTGGTTCCGCAAGTTTTCATATGGGCTTTCCAATCGGACTGTACGGCGTATTTCTTGGAGCAACGTTCGCATTTCCACTTCTTCTCGCCGTGTTTTCTACAAAAGTGCTTCTTTATGCCGGTGAGGTCACCCAGCGCCCTCGACGGGTTGTGGTGGACGCAGGAAGCCTCGGGGCACACGTACACTTTCTTTCGGATTTCTTTGCTCTCTCGCTGCCGGAGCTTCCACGGCAGGTTATGGCCTCGCCGGTGAAGCTGCAAGTTCTGGTCGCGTTGGAATCCCTTGTTGCAGATCTCGCACACGAAACGGTTCGTCGTCAACAGAGTCTTCGGCGACAAAGAAATCACCTCAGCATCCGGATCTGAAAACGGTAAAAATAAAAATAAAAATAAATCCAAAATAACATTTGAGTCTCTAAACTTGAAAAGTAAAACCAATTAAGATAGATAGACAGATACATATATTTTATAATTATTGATAAATTAAAAGTAGTTAGTTATACCTGGCATTCCAGGTAGGCTTCGCTTCTTTTTGGGCGGTGGCGGTGGGATTGCGACGGTAGCTTCTCCGGTAGCTGTAGAAAGTAGCGGTGGTGAAGGATTATTATGAGGTTCCGTCATAGCTGCTGAATCAATTCAATGAAATGAGTATAATAAACTGTTTTAGTCTCTTCTACTTGGAAACTGAAAGATCACTCTCATCTCAAGTTCTCAATACAAGGCTATTCTATATTCCTATGAAACACAACACAAGGATCACTGGTCAACATTCTGAGCCGCTGTCTGTGTGTGTGTACACAAGGCAGAAAGAGAGTAATGATATCGAATGAGTAAATAGAAAATACCAACTAGGCTAAAGCGGCGCCAGTTAACCATGGTTAAGTTAAGAAGGGGAGAGAAGGTGAAGAACTGTAGTGTATTTTTTTTAACTAGAGTCGGGCGTCAAATTTCCCGTGGCAAATAGTGTGAATCCCACCGTCCACGTGTTACGAGGACCAGATTGAGGATATTTTGTCGGGAACAAGTTCATCGAGCGGTGCTTGTCGTGTAGTAAAAAACCTATGGGGAGTAAGTAACTGTTTATTTTATCTATTACAAAATTTCGCTTCTCTGCTTGTATCTTATATTTCCAACGCTTAATTTTTTGTGTAACTTTTCAAAGGTTTTTGACCAAAATTGACCGGTACTTTAATTGCCTATTTCAATTATTTTATTTATATTTACAAATTTTTATTTACAAATTTTTTGATCGAAAATATTTTTGGAATTTAATGGGGAAAAAATATAAATAAAAAATAAATTCCCCATTTTAAAAAAACATATCCAAATAGATACATCCTATGTATTAAATTTTTTTTCCTGAAGGTGTTATTATATACACGACAACATCAATTTCGGAAAGTTTTTTTTTTTCTTTTTTTTGGAAATGCAATTTCGCAAAGTTATTCATGGATAAGCTCATTTTCAGTTTGGTTTTTTTTGGCTTTACACAGGCACTTACTTGAATTATAATGTACAATTATTTTCTTTATTTAAAATGTTTTATATTAGAAACTAATTTCCTAAAATAATATATCAGCCAAATTATCAGGACCAATGGACGTTTGCCAGTGCAAAATTGTAAAACAAACGGAGCTCGTATAAAACAATTTTAAGAATCGTAGATACGAATTGTTTATTTCTAAAAAGATTAAAGAATTATAAATATGAGTTAGCGTATGAAAGACAAAATTCTTACTTAAAAAGGCAAATGAGACTTTTTGTCCTTTCTGTGTAAAGTGATATGAGGGTTATAATGCTTATAATTTTATTGTTTTTTTTAAGAAATAAAAAAAGGGTGTTAAAATATATATTTGTTATTTATAAAGTTTATACGGAAAGTATATAATAAAAGTTTGGTATGTGAAATTAATGATATGCAAAATGCAAAGGCCAAGTCCCCTTTTATTTTAAACGATGCTATAATGATGATAAAAGCGAAGGGCGTTTAGTCTTCTTGGATGCATAATGCATATGCATAATTAAGCTTCGCTGGTCTGCACTGCACCCCACTCCAGATTTCAGAATTAAATCCTGTCTGTGGGACCCGCCAACTGTAAAGTCCAGCTTCAGACGTGGAACAATAACTAAATTATTAAAAAAAAACAAAACGGGTTAGGCATGCAATTCCATAATATCCAACACGCTTGAAATGGATTTCAGGATCCCATATATGCTCCACCAAGTCATTGTTTCAAAAAAAAATTGTGAGTAAATACTTTTTTTTTTTTCTCTAACAAAAAATACGGTCTCCATTTTAGTTTCTTATAAAAATAAATTAGTCAGTTAGTTCCTAACAAATTTAAAGTGAATCCATTTAGTTGAAATTGTAGTCCCTCACAAATTTAAAAAAGACCCATATTAGTCTCTCAAAAGGATTAAAATGGGTCCACTTTAAATTTGTTAGGGACTAACTGACTAATTTATTTTTGTAAGGGACTAAAGTGGGGACCGTATTTTTTATTAGGGACCAAAAAAAATGTTTATTCATATTTTTTCTTCTCTTCTCTTTTTGTCCACACTTTATACGTAAACCGAAGTTATCGTTTTTATATGGTTATAATTATGAGAATTGTTTATCTCATTTAACATGAGATAAATTCATTTATTTACATTCTTTTATATAGGAGAGAGGAGAAAGAATATTTGTATATATGGAAAAAGTTTTATTAATAGAGACAAAACTCATTTCGATGATCTCTATTGCTGGAAATGATTAGTCTTCGATTATCGGCTTGAGATATATTGAGAAAACTCAAAAATAAAGAGATAGTTAAATAAGTAGATCTTGTTTTATTGAAAAGAGATCTTGTACTATGGCCTACAATATGGAAATATCTTGTAAATCAACAAGATAAAATTCGTCATGCTTATCTTAAACTCGATCCGTTTCAGTGCAAACATCAAAATGATCCTTTCTTTCGGCCAGAGAAGAAGCGACGTCATTTTTGCTCTTCTTGATTTGTTTTCTATTGTTTGCCTACTATAGTAACTACTGAAAGAACTTTCTCAACTATAAAGATAATCAAGAATAGGCTTTGAAATAATATGGAAGACCAATTTCTTAATGATTCTTTGATTATATACATTAAAAAAGAAATTATTTTAAATTTTAGCACATATTTAATTATAAAAGAGTTTAACAACATGAAAACACAGAATAAGAGTTGAGTGAAGTGATCTTAATTTCTGTAATAAATTTCTTTGAATTTTTTTTATATTAAGTCTATATTATATTGTAAGTACTTTCATTTATAATTAACAATCAAAGACATGACAGGCAATGTGTGATATATAGTATAGAAAGTAAATAATCACTAGCTAACTAAATTAATCATCAACTAACCAATTAACCAACCACATTTATGCGGTAATATCAATATCTATATTATATTTTTATCATATAATGAGAAAAATTATTTTTTCTATTTATTCCACGTGTTAATTAAAAATTATAAAACCTTAAAATTGGGAAGTATGTAAATTATAATGGTTTGAACAAATGAATTTTTTCTAAGACAGCTCTAAAGCAGTAATGCTAATATATTTAATATTTAAAATTTTAAAAGTTTTTCATGGTTAAGTTTATCTTGTAGACTTCAGCCAAAGTAAAACTACCTTCGACGCTCACGTACATCAATCCGTAATGTTATTTGTATAGACATCTTTGTTTCTTCCTTCCTTTTTTTTTCACATCCAATCAACGGTTCCCATCGTTTTTGTAAGAAATGTGAGCATAAATTTTTTGTGCGGGTAACATTCATGTATAGTTTTGAACAAATTCAAAAAATAACCAGTGCACACGACAAGCAAAAAATGTCCAAGTTTTGCTTTTGATTTTCCTTCTTCTTCGTAACGGTATTTTGCACTTGCTATGCCATGAATAATGTTAAATATAATTGTACATTTTTTATATAATTTTTATTCTTAAACTTATCTTATTTTAAATATTTATATTCTAATTTTTTTTTAAGAATGAATGTAATAGCACAATCAAAATTATATTGTAAACGACTCTCAATATTTTTTTTTATATCGATAATAATTCAAACTCAAAACTGTGATCCAGGAGAATATTTTTAATGACAATTGTATTATGAATAAATTGCAAATTATATATTCTCAAAAATACATATGTAAAGTATGAGAATTGTTTTTTCTTTTCTTTTCAGAAAATATGTAAGCATGGGTGTTACATTTTCATTGGATGAATATAAATGCAACAAAAGCACTTAAAATATCTCCGTGAACAACATATCACAGAAACAAATAAATTCTTTATCACTTGAATTAATAATTATAAATTTAGAAATTGATCTTTTGTCATGATGGAGACTTGATAGGACGTAGAAACATGGCTGTGAGGGGGTCCTAAGTGTTCTCCCTTCTCACCCTACGCTTGCTTGCAATTTGCATAATGTCAAAAAGAAATAAACTGTCCGTGACTAATCATTTCAAATTTGATTATCTTTTTGCTGCTTTTCAATCCTTTCCTCATTTGATGCGAAGGCCTTACCTTTATCATGATGGTTACTAAAATTAATTAATAGAATCATGAATTTATTTTATTAACTTGGTTAAAACGATGGAGCTGTGTCTCCGTCGTTACTGTTTAACAAGTAATACAACGCAAGCGGTAACCTTAACCCTATTACTTCCCTCATAATAGATCTACCTATAAAGGCGATCTATTTAAACTTTTTTCATGGAAAAAAAACCCTTTTTTCCACACCTCATCCCCACTTACAGCTAGTTTACATGAAGGCATCCAAATTTTAAATAAGTTATAACAATGAATGAATGAACCAACAATAAACTAACAATATTCAAGTTAGCTCAACTAGTTTTACACTATTGGATATATATCTAACTTTTCCCGTGTATTGAGCATGGTAAGGTTTTAAAAACTTTGTAATATGCTACCATGGTTGAAATATACGTAGGCCTGTGTATCAAAAGAAAAAAAAGAAAAAGGAAATATACGTAGGCCTAACTGCTAGGAAATCTGTCTAAACTGTAGTTGATCATTGATCCTATGTACTGTTGAGGGGCACATTTCGGCAATGAACAAATGATCTCTCATCTAACTACGTTCCAAATGTATATCATAATCACATTCCGTATCAACAGAATTCAAATTGTGCAGTGTAATAGAGAGAGAGAGAGGAGAAAATGACACGGGAAGAAGAGATGCCATGGCAGGGCGTGCTGTGTGTGATAGCTATTTAATCACCCAAGGATCTCACTCAGCACTACGTCAGTGGCGCATCTTTGAAGGCTAGATACTGAGGCCTGAATTTTGCAGCAGTCGACAAAGGAACCAATCGAACCATGCAGTATCAGCAAAATAAAAATTCATGAATGGCAGGCATTATATATTTGTCCCCTCATTGCATCAATTGGCATGTGCTCGAATGTGTAACGCTCGGGACCAAAGTACACTCCTGTCCTCTCCAAAAGCGCAATACCTTCGTCCTTGCCATATCTTGAAGCGTATAGTCTCAGGTATTCGATGTCCTAAACAAGGCAGAAAACATGGAACCTAAGATCAGAAAGCAAAAGAGAAACTACTTCCAACTTATGACTGCATTTGCCATGAAAACAGACCTTCACGGAAGAAACAGCTATGTAGCACCGATACTGACACGGGACACGTGACACGACACGTTAATTCTAAAAAATGATAGATTTTGACACGTTAGGACACGTTTTAATATTAAATAATATTTTTAATTTATATAGTATATATTATAGTTAATATTCAATAATTTAACAAAAAAAATTATCTAAACTTATAATATTCATAAATTTTGCAAAGAAACATAAGATATCTCAAATATTTATATTAAACTCAATAAAACGGTAATCGTAATCCAACGAATCTAATAGTTGGAACTAAAAACTCAACGCAACTTAACCTTTTTTTGAATTTCTATAACGCGTGGTGGAGTGTCGGGGAGTGTCCGAGAGTGTCGAGAAGTGTCGGACACGACACGTCAAGGTTTTTGAAGTGTCGGTGCTTCATAGAGAAACAGAGATGGGCAAACCTTGTCACTATGACTACTAGCCACTAGGCTGTATCTATTGCATTTATATTAAGACAAGTATTTCATTAAAATAAGAGGAAAAAGTAAACGCTCTACCTGCAAGCCACTAAGAATGCGCTCTAGTCTAAGAGAAGCCACTGGTTGATGAGAAGTTGAGAACACCTCACCGGGGTAGTATAGAACTCCATCCCCAGGGGGAAGACCATGCCTAAATTTTATCTGCGTCCACAAAGTATATTGGTTGTCAGGAAAATAAAATGTAGTATCACAAGTTTTAACAGCTCTCTTCTATTCCAAAGAAAAACAGCATAAACAAGCTTGACAAACACCTCCGCGCTGGCTGCAGTTGCCTTCTCATAGCAATTGGCACCCCAGTATAAAAATCCTGTGCCGCCCTCTTTCCACACTCGCCACATGACAGCTCGGTGTTGAGTGCCTCGCATTCCCAGATGCCAATTTGGATGAGGATCCGATGGCCCCATACATACATATGTCCACCATTCCTGTAACAAAACCACCGGCAAATAATAAGCAAGAAAGAGTATACGCACTAGCCCAAAAGTAATATGCATTCTACCATGCATCACTCGTTATTCCTCTGGTTTATGCTTTTTGCATTATGCATAGAAACATAAAACATGAATAAATATTCACAGTGCAGATCAATTACTGCAACAATAAGTGCAGTCACTTAAGATAATTATCGATTTTAACCCATTGTTGGTGAATATCACCTATTCACTGTCTATAGCCAAAAAATGTCTATGGGAGGGAACAATGATAGAAATGCATCAATGTAATTGTGTTAGCTGTTGATAATCAAAGAAAATGGGAGTTCAATCTCAACTAAAAAATCACAATTAACATGGGAGAAGAATGCTAGATACACTGAGCACAGGTATCTGTGTGCATGTAATAGATATAGAGACTTTAGTATCCAATATACTTAGAAAATCACAATCAGTTCCTTAAACAAGCCAACCTCGGCCTCGGTTTTAATGATTAATAGGCTTTAATCTAGAAGGCAAGAATCATGCAAGCAGATTCAGGTTATAAGAATCCCTATCCTAAAAAGTTGATGCTAGTCCTATTTCCAAAAGCCAGAGCATGGCAAAGACAACAGAGGAAAAGCAACCAAGAAAGGACACAGAGTCTAAGCCTCATAGCAAACTGGCAAAATTAAACTATTATTATGAGAAATCCACTACATGCTTAGCTCAAAAATCAGACAAATCAATTACCCTACAAATATACCCTATAACAGTGCTTACTATATGTTTGAGATTTTGTTCAACCTTGTTGATGAAGAAAAATAAATATCAACCGACTCAACAGAAATTTAGTGCACAAAGAAAATTACAGAACTAAGGAAAAAGCAATGAAATTATAACATTACCTCACCATTCTCTGGTTTTAGTTCAGCAATAATATCCTTGACCAGGTCCTCTCGATTACCTAGAACCCATTCGCTGCAAAGACACATTCAATTTCTTAGCACGCCTAATGATACGAGACTTCTGTTTTTCTTCCTTCCCTCTTTTATTTTCACTATTGTAAAATCTATTTCTTCCATAGGCACAAAAAATGAGACTAAGAAATATTCCCATCAAGGTATCTGTTAGAAATAATATTAATTTATTATAATTAGAATAGTCTAGAATAGTCTAGATTGTGGGCTTGGCCCATTAGGTCATCCCATTAGGTCTTTTAGTCTCTATAAATAGAGAGCCTCCTTGTACAGACTTACACACTTGAATATACAATATATTTCAGATTCAATTTGGTATCAGAGCTCTCGATCTGAGGGCTCTGCTTCTGCATATATATCTTTTCCTTTCTTTTTACTGTCGTGCATCATACCGGCAACCATCCTTTCACACCTAACCCTTATTTAGTCACAAATTTCTTGTCCTCAACCTTATATCATCAGGAAAAAGATCGTCAGCCTCCGTTCATCGCCGGAAACCGCCACAAAACCACCGTCCGCCACTGTTCACCGCCGTCAGACTGCTTTTCCGGCGACTTTTCCGACCAACCACCACGCGATCAGGAGCGGCTCAGGGAGGCGACCCTGTCTGTCCAAGCCGCGTGTTGATCAGAGCATCCACGCGCCGCCACGCGCCGGTGGAAGTCTCCGGCGGCCGAACCACTGTTCCGGCGCGTGAGCCACCGTCCGGCCACTGTTCCAGGCCGGACCACCACCATCTTGCTCGCCTCCTCACCCTCTTTCCAGATCTGGTCTCCGTTCGTTGTGGGTCCCATCCGTTTGAAAGATATCAGTGAAAAACCCGCTGTTTGGACACTTTTGTGCAACGTTTTTGCGCGATTTCTTGCTTTCTTGTAGTTCTTTGCTATTTTCTGGTCATCTCCTTTTATTTTGTGATGGAGGGCTCAAATAATGCGTCCAAAAACACGACTGACATCATCTCCGGTACTACCCCATCTCCATTCTTTTCTCGGGACAGTGATTCCAATTGGAACAGTGGACGCGGTCGCAGACGTGGCCGCAGACAGAGGCCTCGTTGCAATTATTGCCAGAATCTTGGGCATTTTGAAGAACGCTGCTATAGGAAGTACCCTCATTTGAAGCCACCGTCTGCCAAATTTGCTCAAACTGATGTTACGTCACCTTCGACTGGATTAGTAACTCTTTCAAGTGCCGACTATAAGGCACTTCTCAAGAAGGTTTCTTCTCAGCATCCTACTGAAGACACTGGTAATGATGTTGCATGTTTTTATCACTCATCTCTTGGACCCTGGATAATAGACTCAGGTGCTACTCATCATCTTTGTGGTAATAAAGATCTCTTCACTTCACTTTCTTATTCTAATAACCTACCCCCTGTCACTCTTGCTGATGGCACTAAGGCTTCTGCTCGTGGAATTGGGGAAGCCAACCCAACTCCCCTTTTAACTTTGAGTTCTGTTTATTATATACTTGGCATTCCTTTTAATTTAATCTCTGTTAGCCAGTTGATTCATTCTCTTTCATGTACTATTACCTTCTCTAAACAATCCTTTTCTGTGCAGGATTCGGGTACGGGGAAGACGATTGGAGCAGGCGTTAAGTCACGAGGTCTCTACTATCTGATTGCACCACCTTCTCCAGTAGCCTGTTCTCTCACAGAGTCTCCTGAGCTAATTCACAGCCGTCTGGGTCATCCAAACCTCTCCAAGCTTCAGCATATGGTTCCCTTTTTATCCAATCTTAAGTCTTTAAACTGTCATTCTTGTCAGCAAGGAAAACACACTCGCTCCTCCTTTGCTAATAGAGTCAATAAAAGAGCTGATGCTCCTTTTTCTATTGTTCATTCTGATATTTGGGGTCCGAGTCGAACAACGTCTGTTTTGGGTTTTCAGTATTTTGTCACCTTTATTGATGATTTCTCCCGTTGCACTTGGGTTTATTTAATGAAAAATCGTTCTGAGTTATTTTCAATTTATCAAAAGTTTTCTGCAGAAATAAAAACTCAATTTGGTGCTTCTATTCAAATCTTGCGCAGTGATAATGCAAAAGAGTATGTGTCTCTTGAATTTTTTAAATTTCTGGATACACAAGGGACGATACACCAGACTACCTGTCCCCACACTCCACAACAAAATGGAGTCGCTGAACGTAAAAATAGACATCTACTTGAAACTGCACGTACCCTTCTCATTCATATGAACGTCCCACTCCGTTTTTGGGCAGATGCTATTATCACCTCATGTTTCCTTATCAACCGCATGCCCTCTTCTGTGCTAAATAATGATGTTCCCCACAGTATTTTGTTTTCCGGAGCACCTTCTTATCCTCTGCCTTTACATATTTTTGGTTGTACTTGTTTTGTTCATGATCTTACTCCAGGTAAAGACAAGTTGACATCCAAGGCCTTCAAATGTATTTTCCTTGGGTATAAACGTTTTCAAAAAGGGTATCGTTGCTATTCTCCTGATCTCAAGCGTTATATCGTTTCTGCTGATGTCACTTTCCTTGATCAGCAGCCTTTTCACTCTACTCCGTCTCCAGTGTCCCAAGTTGATCAGGTCCTTCCTGTTCCTTTTCTTGACTTGTCTTTACCAGTTGCAGGTGACCCTATTCCAGAGGAGCAACCAATTACCTCCATACCTGCAGATCGTCCTCTCCTCACATTCCAGCGTCGTCAGCCTGCACCTCCTCTGACTTTGCCTCTTGATGACTCATCGCCCTTTCCCGTCGGCTCTTCTCCTCCGGATCCTCCATCAGAGACTCCTCCCATTGCCCTTCGGAAAGGTATTCGATCCACTCGAAATCCTCATCCCCTTTATTCTTTCTTGAGTTATGACAGACTTTCTTCACAACATTTTACTTTTGTTTCTAGTCTCTCTTCTGTTTCCATCCCTAAAACCACAGGTGAAGCACTATCTCATCCAGGGTGGCGCCAGGCGATGCTTGATGAAATGCAGGCACTTCACTCCAATGGCACTTGGGATCTTGTTCGTGCTCCTCCCGGGAAGTCTGTTGTTGGTTGTCGATGGGTATTCACAGTTAAAGTTGGTCCTGATGGCACTGTTGATCGCCTTAAAGCTCGCTTAGTGGCCAAGGGATACACACAGATCTTTGGTCTTGATTATGGGGATACCTTTTCTCCTGTTGCTAAGATGGCTTCTGTTCGCCTGTTTCTTGCCCTTGCCGCCATTCATCATTGGCCCCTTCTCCAACTTGATATTAAGAATGTTTTTCTACATGGTGACTTGCAGGAGAAAGTTTATATGGAGCAACCACCAGGTTTTGTTGCTCAAGGGGAGAGTTCTGGAATGATATGTAAACTTCGGAAATCTTTATATGGCCTGAAGCAATCTCCTCGGGCCTGGTTTAGCCACTTTAGTTCAGTTGTTGAATCCTTTGGATTAATCAGAAGCAAAGCCGATCATTCTGTCTTTTACCGGCATAGCTCTTCTGGCCAGTGCGTTTATCTCCTGGTCTATGTTGATGACATTATCATTACAGGCAGTGATCAGACCGGGATTGATCAGTTGAAAGAGCATTTATTCAATCAATTTCAGACCAAAGATCTTGGCAGACTTCGATATTTCTTGGGGATCGAAGTTGCACAGTCTAGGCGAGGCATTTCCATCTGTCAGAGGAAGTATGCACTGGATATCCTAGATGAGACTGGCATGTTAGGCTGTAAACCCATAGATACACCTATGGACCCCAATGTTAAGTTATTACCAGGACAGGGGGAGCCACTGCCAGATCCTAGTCGCTACCGCCGACTAGTTGGAAAATTGAATTATCTTACTGTGACAAGGCCAGATATCTCCTTCGCAGTGAGTGTTGCAAGTCAATTTCTTGATTCTCCCTGTGACTCCCATTGGGATGCAGTTATTAGAATTCTCCAATATATTAAAAAGGCGCCAGGAAGAGGTTTATTATATATAAATAAAGGGAGTTCAGAGATCTCTAGTTATTCAGATGCTGACTGGGCAGGTTCTCCTTCAGATAGACGATCCACCTCAGGGTATTGTGTTCTCTTCGGAGGAAATTTGATCTCTTGGAAGAGTAAGAAGCAAACTGTGGTCGCCAGATCCAGTGCAGAGGCAGAATATCGGGCAATGGCAAATGCAACCTGTGAGCTCATCTGGCTGAGTCAATTGCTGAAGGAACTCCATCTCTGTGAACAAAGGCCTATGAAGCTCATTGGTGACAACCAAGCCGCTTTGCATATATCCTCTAACCCAGTCTTTCATGAGAGGACCAAGCATATAGAAATTGACTGTCATTTTGTTAGAGAAAAGATCCAGTCAAGGGAGATCGAGACAGCATTTGTCAATTCCAATGATCAACTTGCGGATGTATTCACTAAAGCTCTTAGAAGTCCCCGAATAGATCATATTTGTAACAAGCTGGGAGCTTTTGATATATACGCACCAGCTTGAGGGGGAGTGTTAGAAATAATATTAATTTATTATTATTAGAATAGTCTAGATTGTGGGCTTGGCCCATTAGGTCATCCCATTAGGTCTTTTAGTCTCTATAAATAGAGAGCCTCCTTGTACAGACTTACACACTTGAATATACAATATATTTCAGATTCAATTGTATCTAAAATAACACAATTGTTCAGTAACCTAACCGAGGTTCAAGTTACACTTTTTACTGAAGTATGGCTTAGTGGTATGAAAATGAACCACAACAGAAAGGTTTTAAAATATGGATGTGGTCAAGGAAGACGGAGAAGGGGCACCCTTAGTCCTCCAAGAGACAGAAAACCTCTCACCCAAACAGCACAAGCGTTTAGATGACTTCTAAGTCCTTTAATAAGAATGAGCAATATATGGTATCTAACTATTTCTAACGGAAGATAAAAAAAAAAAAGGAGTGGCACTGACTAATAAACTGAGATCCTGAAAATTTCTTCATGAAACACATCACATAAATTGAGATTCTGAAAATGTTTCACCACTACGTAAGTAAATTTGGGGAACATCTAGCCACAACTTGAAATTGCATCACCAAATATTTTAGAAAGGGACAATGAAGAAATAAAGGAATGTAAATAGGTATAGCTCAGAAAACAGCAAATAGCCAGAAGTTACATGAAAAAATAAAGTTTACTGAACTCTTGATATATATACAGTCAATATAGAGTACCTTGTACAATAAATTTGATTATGAGGACGCAGAAAACTTGGAACTTTAACAAAAGCCTCAAATGGAGTAGGTGCAAGAGGCGCATCATTCGGCCCTACATAACACACAAATCATACAATAAGATACTTATATTCAGAGAAAGAAATATCAACTACATAAGCTGAGATAAATTTGTGACTGAGTAATGAGTATCATATAAACACATAAAGATTACATTTTTTCCACTGGTAAAGGCGATAATTTATATTATCAATAATATAACTCACATGAATTACTGGTAAGTACAATCTGAAGCCGGACTTTGCCAACCAAGAAATTACGTGACAGGTAAAATATTAAATTCTAAGGATTAGCCAGTAAACAATGTATACCATTCTACCCATATTCTTATTCTAAGGTTCAATAATAAGAAAATATTTTTTTTCACATAGTAATATATAAGATCAAAGATGGAAAACGTTCAGCAGACAGAAACTGCAGTCACATGTCGAGAAAAACTATTCTTAGATCAGATAACTTTAATTATGAATGAAAGAACACCTGGATGAGACCAGTTTCAGCATTCCAATCAACTAATGTAGGATATAAAACAGTCAGCTGTTACAACCATGTGAAATATTTGCAGTCATTCAAAAAAGTGCATAAACTAAATAAACCAGAGCCATTGCAAAGATGAGAAACAACCAAAATGACAATAGAAGGGAGAAAATATCATGTAGTCCATGCATAAGACTTAAAGAGGTAAGGTTAGAATAATGCAAGGTAGATAACACATACCACAATAGTAAGTAGTTAAGATACGAGCATCTGGAGCATAAGCATGAATATCACTGGCCATGTTGCGAACAGAATCATATTGTTCCAAATTCAGTGGCTGAAAAATATATGAAAGCAAATCAGCTTATCAAGATCATAGTAAACTGGACCAGGTTCGTAGTTATACCACATAGGACAATCAAAATATAATGAAGCTAAAATTCAGCAGGAAAGCAAGAAAACAATTAACCCATGAATACTGCAAAAGTCACTTGCCTATTTATTTAATTTATTTATTTTCAGTAGCAGTATCCAATCCAGAGTTAGGATAAAGGTAGATAACTAAAACCAAGACGTCATCCAAGAGCAGAGTTCTTATTATATTGTAAATAGTAGCACACATACCTCGTCCCACAAGTAAAAGTAAGCTTTTTTCCAGTGAGTCTTGGTTCTCAATATCTCAACTTGTTTCTGCAAGTAATCCTTCGCTGCATCATTACTGTGGCTGTGGCACATCACATCAACAGGTGGGTTGAATCTCATCAGTTTTCATCACAAATATACCTGACAGAAGCGAATGGGGGACAACAGACTGTATACCCAGAGACTACTTGACTATAAGGCACAGCATATGCTGCCAAGCGTGGGTCTGAAAAATATTCATCTGATTTTGGATGATCCGCTACAATGGCAAAAGGAGGGAAAGATTCAGCAGTGCTATCATTACTTCTTTTGGGATTGATTCTGTCAAACTTATTGCCTTAGAAATATACCTGGCCATGGACATGTATAAGTCAAAACACGCATACCATCAGCCCATCTGCAAAAATAGGGGCTGATTTTATACTGAAGAAGCCATTTGAAATGCTGATCCAATGCCTCATACCACTCCGCTGTTCCATGTTGAACACCAAAGCGATCCTCAATTACAGTATCAGATATCTAGTGTAGAGTAAAGGAAATAACCAAGTGTGCAACAAATAAACTTTCCTAATTTCATAGAGATTGTTAGAGATATATAAAACCATTAATGTAGCCTCACCCAACAACTTAAGCTTTTGAGTTGAATTGATTTTTTACATGGTATCAAAACCTCAGTGTCCCGAGTTCAATCCTTGCCACCCCCCATTTTCTTTGTGAAATTTCTTAGCATTAATGAATGGAAAATGTGAAATAAGTCCTAAATCTTAATTACACAACAAGCGGAAATATCACACTCTACTCTCTGAGTTTTTATGTAGTAAGCAGTAAGATTTTAGCATCTAATAACCCAACTGAGACAATATAAATGCCAGTTACATTTTCTACAAGCTGTTATTGGAAGAGAGAGGGGGGGGGGGGGGGGCCGGTTTGCTTTTCTGACATTTGATATGGGTAGAGGATACACCAAAAATAGCAGGAAGCGAAGGAGTTTCAGGAAGTACAAATTCCCAAACAGTCAGATTTAACTTCACCCGTAGAGAGAGGCTTGAAATGGCATCCTCATCCATTACATCTACTGACCCATTATCTGAAAAGAATTCAGAAAATGATGGAGACACAAGAATCCTTCTTAGAGATGTAGTTGCAGATTTCACCCTTTCAACCTAAAAATGAGATGCTTACATGAAAAGCCCATAATAACACCAAAAATTTAAGAGAGTATCAGAATGACAAACAGTGATTAAAAAAAACCCACCACTTCCTCTAATGGTTTTCCATCAACGGGCTCAACAATGTCAAGGCAGCCCTTAAGCTCCCTATACAATTGATGTTTCTCAACCTTGCTTAAACTTTGAACAGGAGATCTGTGGAATAATTACATTTGAAAAAGTCGACAAAAAGAAGTTGTGAATTAAAACGTGTAACACAAAATCAGAAGTAACAAAATTATTAAAAGAAAAAGGCTCACTCTGCATCTGCTTTTATAGCAGAAATGAGAATCTCTCCATCATATTGTCCTGGGGGTTGAGCACTAGGAACATCAATGGATATCCAAAGAGCAGTAGTCTCTCTGTAGAAGCAAAATAATGTAAAAAACAGAGTGAGAAGTAGTCAGTCATCTAGCATCTTGTGCACACAGCAGTGGAAGAAAAAACAAAATGTTAACCATACAATTACCCTGGAAATAGGTTTATTTGACTAACTGGAAGATCAAGGGGCACAAGAGCATCAGGCACACCTAAAATGGGCACAACCCGCCGCAACAGGAGTGACTGCCCAACAATCAGTCTGCCAAAACTGATGTCAGCATAAAATTAAAGTAAGTCATATATTTGTTCTACAAAATATAAAAACCCCAACCTGTCTCCAGAAGCGGAGCATAGGTCACTACACTGAACCTGTACAGTCCCTGCAACACCAGAACCCCACGAAACCTTTGGTCGGATAGCTATTTGTACACTCTCCCTCTCATTTCTAGCTGCCAGCAGGTTTATCTACAAGATAAAGCAAAAACTCTAGCGTCAGAAGCAAAAGAGAAAATGATTTAGAATTTTATAGTTTCTTCTATCCAATACTATTACAACTTATTTATGCATAAACTCCACCCTCAAATTTCAGGTAAAGAAATTTGAGGTTCCAAAAGTGAAAGTCATAGGTGATCAACTGAGCAGTACTCCACTCATATCCTCAACTTCTTAATATTAAAAATTGAAGTACTAAACTCATTTATTAATTAATCATATTATATAAAACCATTGTGACTTTAGTAGTAAGTATAGCTTCTGAAGCATGCTTCAAGTGTAATTAAGCACGCAATGTGTAAATATAAATGCAAAAGTCAATGTATGAGTAATTATCATATGTGATAAATTGTGAAGGAAACAACATTTCAATTAACACTCATGCAGTTCCTATTCATAAACAAAAAACACTTCTTGAGGTCCTATTCATATTTAATTATGTATATATTGCGTGGTGCAAATTTTAAAATAAAACACCATAAGATTTCTCGAGGATGAGTAGGGGGTGTAAGCCACTTCTATAATATAAGATAAAAATACTAACAGGTTCCAAATGTCTAGGCATATCTTGAGGTCCAACGTTTGCTGTGCTTGGCATGCACCATACATGCACTAAATCCCTAGTTGGAATTTCTGTAGGGTCAATTGATCCCTTGAGCTGATTCAAACCATTTGTGCCACCATCATTCCACCCATAAGCTGTACCGCCTCCAGCAACACCTTCAACTGGTGGCACAACCACATCTTGAGGATTTCCTGCCCAATGCATCAACATATGAAGGATCAATTAAATTGAAACACTTTAGTAAAGATTCATTTCAAGATCAATGTACTACCAGCAACTATTGTCTTTCACAAAATAAAAAATAAAAAGTATCCTATAATATAATCCACCGGACCTCTTCCTCAAAAGGAGGTTAAAATGATACAAAATTTTAAATGTCTTACTTTTGTACTTTATTTCTATAATTGTCTCGTTGAACTAGATGGAGCACAACAACTAACCAATTGCCACAAGATACATATGTAGAACTCATCAAGATTTTGCACTTCTTCTCACCCCCAATCCAGATCGAAATAAAAAGAGATGTAAATGAAAAAAGAAGGTTGCAGATAGACAAAACTCTCAAGGAAATCAACTCATAGCATTCATATACACAGCTCCTCACTCACATCTCACAAATGAAGTTAAAGTTATTTTCATAACAAAATAATGTCAAATATAACTACATACTTAAATTTCGAGTAAGCTCATGGATCATGTAGGTTCTCCATACATAAGCCCTTTCAAACCTCATTGTAGACAGCTGTTAGGCTTAATAACCGCCATAGATCGGTTCGGTCTCTAAGGCAATAATACAATAAGAAATCCAATCCATATGAAAGCAAAAAAGAGCCGCGACGATTGTAAGCACAGCACACAAAACGCGGAATCCATATGATTACACCCAAATTGAAGCATAGGAAACGATAATTTCGAGAATTCATAAAAGGTGAAACCAGCAAACTTTTGTTATTAGATTCAAATTTCAAACTTAAAAAAGATTGGCAAAACCGAGTAACTGTAAATTGAGAAAATGAAAGGGAAGAAAAAGCGCGATGGACGTAAGTGAGAGAAAAGAGTATAAGGAGAACTAACCGGAGACGGAGTTGTCCATATCGGAGCCGGTGGAGGACATTCGACTGCTACGGTGGCTGGAGTGGGGAGAAGTGATCGCCTTTTGTTTGAGAGTAGACAAGATTTTTTTGTTTTTCTTGCCAATTCCAATATAGAAACTAGGAAGGAAGACGAAAAGAAGTGATAATGGTAAATACTAACCAACTACTTATGCTTCACGCACTCTTTCCCTTTGGACTTTATCTATTTATCAAATATTCTTACGGTACAACTTTGGTTAGCGCATTTTTTTTTTCTTCCCCCGAAATGTTGCAACATACATTTCATATTGCTCTGAATCTTAATTATGTGAATTATTTGGAAGTGTTGCGAATTTTTTTTATATCTCTAAGAGTTAAACGCATGACTTGTTTTTAATGAAAGTAGAATATAAATTAGTTACTGTAATCGCACTCCTAATTAAACATTGGGGAGATCGATTTACTATAAAAAAAAGTTTACACCTTTTACAACTAATTTAATCACCGATGATTTCCGTCAATCTAATGGTTATAATTTATTGAAAATTAATAAATGTGACATAATAAATGTTATTAATTTTTAATAAATTATAACTATTATATTGACAAAAATCAACGATGATTGTAAAAATTGTAAACTTTTTTAATGATACGTGAATCCGTTCCCTTAAACATTACCTACTGTATAAAAAAAAAATTCTTCGTAGACATTAAAGTTTCTATTTGTTTCAAAAAAAAATATTATTTTTATTGTCGGTTTCAGCCTTTCATTCCAACTTTCAGCCAGGTGTTGGTTTCGGATTTTGCATGTATGTTACCGTGGAGAGTTTTCCATGTGGAAATATAAAATTATTAGATTTCAGAAACAACGATATTGGTCCCCTGATATTATCAACGAGATTCTAACTTTCTCACTGTTTCTTTATGATATATTGTTTATGTATTTTTTAAACATATATAGTTTTTAATTAAACCATCCATTCCTTGTAAAAGTAAAACTTCATCACTCATCCTTAAACAAGCTTCCAAAGGCTAAAGCTTCCTTCTAAGGGCAAAAGAATTTTCCAATACAAGTTGATTAGATAAATTTTTTCAAACTAATATATTCAAACACGTCATGAAACTTTACGGGATTCGTTTCGTCACTAATTCTGACAGGATTGATGTCATGTCAATATCACGTAGATAGTTCCGTCACTGAAAAATTTCAGTAGGCCATAACTTTTGAATATTCCACATAATTTTTGAGATATACGCAATGACACCTTATTTGACATTTTTTCTTCCACAAACATAGTTCAAATTTGCAACAATGTTTCCACAATCACAAGAACGTTTAAACTCATAAACTCTTGAGTTCTTTCGGAACCAACACCATGAACTACAACATGTGTCATTGATTTCTTAGCCTAGTTTTCTCAGGGTTAGCCTCTAAACCAACAATTTTTTAAACAACAAGAAAAGTACTTTATGGCTTTATGTAAAAAGAAATGTTGTTGTCTATTGTTGCCTGTGCGCGTTGATGAAGAGGAAACCATGATTAGAAAATTTTGGGGTACAGATACTTACTTTCTAACAAGTTGAATAAGTTTTACATAATGAGTCATCATTCACATAGATATAACGTGTCAATCGATGACATGTGCTGCAACTCATAGTGTTGGTTCGGAAAGAACTTGAGAGCTTTTGGGATTTAAATGCTCTTGAGATTGTGGTACCATCATTGCAAATTCGAATTATTTTTGTGGGGATAAAATATGTCAAAAGAGGTGTCATTCCGTAGATCTCGATAAGTTATGTGAAATAAAAAAAAATCACCTGATTTGAATATCCGAATAAAAAATTATGACCTTCCGAAATTTTACAGTGACGAAACTGTCTATGTGACGTTGACATGACATCAATATAGGATCAATGACGAGACTAATCTCGTAAAGGTGCTTTAACTATTTTTGTGGGAATAAAATGTGCTAAACGACGTATTTGACTGTATTAATTTAAAAAAACTTATCCAATTAACTTCAAATCTGCAATTTTTTTTTCCAACAATATTAGAAGGGTGCTTTTGCCAGGAAGATGAGACCAAATGGCAAACTGATGCGGTGATGCCCAATGATTCTTAAAATTAAAACGTAAGGATATCTCAAACTAGTTAGAGAAAAGCTCGTGCAATTAATGCAACTAAATCCACAAGTCAACTGCGATCATTTACTCCTTGATTGAGAGACCCGGGGGTTCCTCGATGAGAATTTCGAAAATATGGATCAAACGAAAAGTATTGAACTCCAAACTAGCGAGAGAATTTATTATGTTCGAGATCACCATTTTTTAGGTGCTTCTTTAATTTAAATGAAAGGATAAAATTGAAAGAAAAAAAAATAGAGGAAAAAGAAATTAGTGTTATGAGATGGAGCAACAAATCATTGGATGGTCCGCAGCATATTAAATATTTCTCCAAACTACATTCATTTGATCCAGGTTATCGCCGACTCAAACTTATCAACATTTTCTATGAAAAGAGAACGACAATCTTCTACACTTGATCTCTCCCAAATGCGATGTATCAAAATTGCTCATTTCCATGCCCTGTTGCCACGAAACTCTCATTCTTAAAAGCCGATGTATACGAAATCATTGCCGTAGCGGGAGACTCCAACGAGGTACAGAACTCAACCAAAACATCTCAATTTATCCACAACGATTATACTCTCCTCTCCCTCTCTCATCACCAACTGCAAAAATACTTACTGAGCCCCTCAGAGTCACGAGAAGACAAAACATTTATACAAGTGGCATTAGAATCCAACTTCACGGACGATGCAAAATGGAACCTCTCTTACCAAAAAGAGTGTACTTGGTTACAAAGACTCCCCTACCTCTCTCCCCATCTTCGACTTCTTTAACTGATCTTTTGTTATCAACATCGCACTTTCTTTGCGTATACCTACCTATCCTTTTCATCCTAGTGAAAGCTTTGGTTCTAATCTCATAACGATATCACTAAGATCTCTCACTACTTATCAATTCAGTTCATTTAACAAAACTTCTTGATTCAAGTGATTTGTGTAAGTTAATTTCATCAGTAATACATTTATTCAAGTTCAACAGTAATCATTCAAGAACATGACAGGGGATCTTCCGAATTTATGAGTTTCACATAAACATACCTTTATCCATAATTGCGGAAGAACTTTGATGGTGAGATCCTTTCTCTGAGTCTTTACCCTTCACTGTTCTTGTATCTTCTTTGATAGGGATAGGATACAACTATCATAGGCAGACTCAGATGGAACGTTCTTTCTTGTCAGAGACACTTACACAGAAAACTGACCATATAACACTTATGTAACTGCACCTATCAGCAGTTACTCTTTTAATAACTTCCCTTTACTGTCAATTACCATTATGCCCTTTTATTAATTAAATCAACTGACACTTAATATTATACATGAGACACAATAAGTTTTACATTCTCCCACTTGACTCATGTCATGAGGTGTCCCTTCATGATTTAATCAACATTCATTATAATGCGCATTTATTAGGCTAAAGGTTCCATACATTGACTTCATCATAATTCATTATTAGAAATAAAATCAACAAGAGTCATGGCGGTTGTATGCTATCAAGTCGGCATAGTCCCTTCCATGTACTACTATATTGACTCTTCTTCCTAACATGATACTTTAATGGGAAGTACACATTATGTCCAACAATAATGTCTTCATAATGGACCACAAATATTTTCAATATCATCACATATACTTGCATGCATTCATAAATTGAAAATAAGACAATAATAGAAACAAATATTCATCAATGAGCTCAGAGTGTCAACACTTAATACATAACAATAATTATCATCATTCATTAGCTGACATAATGCCCATTCTACATACATGACCAGTAAATGTCTTGGGCGGTAATCCCTTCGTCAAGGGATCAACTATCATAAGATCGGTGCTAATATGCTCTATAGACACTCTTTGTTTCTGAACCTCTTCTTTAACGGCAAAGTACTTTAATTCCATATGTTTAGCACCTTTGGAATATTTGTCGTTTTTAGAAAAGAAGACAGCTGCGGAATTATCACAATAAATTTTCAGCGGCTTTTCAATATTGTCGACCAATCCAAGCCCTGAAATAAAGTTCCGTAGCCATTTAGCCTGAATTGTGGCTTCAAAGCATGCCACAAATTCAGCTTCCATAGTGGACGCAGCTATTACAGTCTGCTTCGCACTTTTCCATGATATAGCTCCTTCAGCTAAAAGATACAGGTAACCACATGTAGACTTTCTTGTGTCTACGCATCCTGCAAAATCTGAATCTGTGTATCCAATCACTTCAAGGTTGCTAGACCTTCTATAAGTAAGCATGTGACCTTTAGTTCCTTGCAAATATCTCAGAACTTTCTTTGCTGCTTTCCAGTGATCCATACCGGGATTACTTTGGTATCTACCCAACATCCCAACTGCAAAGCTAATATCTGGTCTCGTACAAGTCTGAGCATACATTAAACTCCCAACTAATGATGCATACGGAATTGCCTCCATTTCTTTTCGTTCCAATTCACTTTTAGGACATTGCATGAGACTAAACTTATCTCCTTTCTGAATTGGAACTGGAGACGATGAGCAGTTTTCCATTTTGAATCTCTCTAGAACTTTATTAATATATGCTTTCTGAGACAAACCTAACAGTCCTTGTGATCTATCACGGAATATTTCTATTTCTATCACATAAGCTGCCTCACCCATATCTTTCATTTCGAAGTTACTAGAGAGAAACTTCTTAGTCTCATTCAAAAGACCAAGATCGTTAGTTGCAAGCAAAATATCATCAACATACAGAACCAATAAGATGAACTTGCTCCCACTGATCTTCAGATATATACATCGATCAACGATGTTTTCTTTAAATCCAAAGGAAACAACGGTATCATTGAACTTAAGGTACCATTGCCGTGAAGCTTGTTTAAGTCCGTATATTGACTTCTTAAGTTTGCACACCATGTGCTCTTTACCCTTTTCTATGAACCCCATTGGTTGGTCCATGTACACATCTTCATCTAAATTTCCATTTAGAAAGGCGGTTTTCACATCCATTTGGTGTAACTCTAGATCATAATGAGCCACCAATGCCATAATAATTCTTAACGAATCCTTCTTTGAAACTGGTGAAAAAGTTTCTTTATAGTCAATGCCATCTTTCTGAATGAATCCCTTTGCAACTAGTCTGGCCTTGTAACATTCCAAGTTACCATGAGAGTCACGTTTGGTCTTAAAGACCCATTTACAACCAACTCGCTTGCACCCTTCTGGTAACTCAACAAGATCCCAGACCTTATTCTGTTCCATAGATTTCAACTCATCTTTCATAGCATCTAACCATTTATCACCATTTTCACCATTCATGGCTTGTGAAAACGTTACTGGATCATCCTGAATACCCATGTCAAATTCAGACTCTTGTAGATATACCACATAATCATTAGAAATAGCAGGTCTCTTTTCTCTTTGAGATCTTCTTAATGCTATTTGTTGTGGTTCTTCTACTATGGGTTCATTCGGTTCATCAACAATGATCTCTTCATAAGTAGTAGGATCATTAACTTGTCCTTCGTTATTATTGATTGGTTCAATAGCATAAGGAACAATAACTTTACTAGAGCTACAAGGTAATGGAACTTGTACTCTCACTTCATGAATATCCACTTTACGTGGTGTTTCACTCCCACTAACTTCACCATTCTCAATGAACCTTGCATTTCCAGATTCAATAATCCTTGTAGTATGATAAGGACAGTAAAATCTATACCCTTTCGATTTTTCTGGATAACCAATGAAATAACCACTGATTGTCCTTGCATCTAGTTTCTTTTCTTGCGGATTGTAGTATCTAATCTCTGCCTGACAACCCCAAACATGCAGGTGTCTTATACTAGGTTTCCTTCCAGTCCAAAGTTCAAAAGGAGTCTTTGGAACTGACTTACTAGGAACCCTATTCAATACGTACATGACAGTTTTTAGAGCATAAGTCCACAATGAAACAGGTAAAGAAGAATTACTTAACATACTCCTAACCATATCCAGTAAGGTCCTATTACGCCTTTCTGATACACCATTCTGTTGCGGTGTACCGGGCATTGTGTATTGAGCACAAATACCACGCTTTTCCAGAAATTTAGCAAATGGGCCCGGATGTTGTCCACTTTCATCATACCTTCCATAATATTCACCACCTCTATCAGACCTGACAATCTTCACCTTTCTGTCTAATTGCCTTTCAACTTCATTAATATAAATCTCCAAAGCATTTGCAGCTTGAGACTTATCATGCAGCAAATAGACATAACCATAACGTGAATAATCATCAATGAAAGTGATAAAATATTTTTCTTTATTGAAAGCATTAACATCAAACGGACCACATACATCAGTGTGTATAATTTCAAGAAGCTGAGTGCTCCTTGTGGCTCCTTTCTTTGTGTGTTTTGTTTGTTTTCCTTTAATACAATCCACACAAATATTTAAATCAGTAAAGTCTAAATCCGGAAGGATTTCATTATTTACCAATCTTTTCATCCTTTCTTTGGAAATATGTCCCAAACGTTTGTGCCACAAGTAAGCAGAACATTCATTAATTAAGGCACGTTTAGTACCAACATTATGATGCAGAGTCATAAGCGTTTCAACATAAAGATTATCAAGACATAATTTATATAATCCATCACATAAAGTACCATTACCAATCAAATGATTGTGCTTGTACAAACTGAAACTACCACTACCAAATTTAAAAGAGTAACCAGCAACATCAAGTTTGGAAATTGAAACCAAATTCCTAGATATACTAGGTACATAAAGAGTTTCACATAAATCCAAATGAAATCCACTATCGAGAATTAAACGGTAAGTCCCAACAGCTTCCCCCAGAACTTTCACTCTATTGCCCATAAGGACAAACTTTTCATTTGGCTTTGTGGTTTGGGTCATAAGAAATCCCTGCATTGTATTAGAAACATGAGTAGTACAACCAGAATCAATCCACCAAGTATTATAAGGAACTTCAGCCAGGTTTGATTCATAACATACATAAGCACTAGGCTTACCTTTCTTTTCGAACCAAGCCTTACGTTTCAGGCAATCCTTTTTGAAATGCCCTTCCTTTTTACAGAAATGGCACCTCATCTTTGCATTACTTTTCTTTTTGTGGATTTTAGAAGAAGAGGCCTCATTCACTTTAAGGGGTCCTCCTCCTCCTCCTCCTCCTTTCTTCTCATGCTTCTTTCCTTTATTCTTTTCAGCTCCTTGATGCTTTACATAATTGATAGAATGAGCTCCCTGATTCTTAAGTCTGGTTTCCTCCTGAACTAACATACTGTGCAATTCATGCACATTCCATTTGTCTTTCATGGTATTATAGTTCATTTGGAAAGGACCATACTCAGACGGTAATGAGTTCAATACGAACTGCACCAGGAAGTTCTCATCCACATCCATTCCCAATGCTTTCAGTTTTGCCGCAATGCTTGTCATTTCAATAACATGCTCATGCATAGTACGCGAACCATCAAACTTCATGGTGGTCAGTGTACTCATAAGTGTCCCAGCAAGAGACTTATCAGCTGTTTGGGAGCGTTCTTCCACAAGTTTCATCATTTCGATGGCACTTTCAGTTTGTGGAAGAGCTGACTTAATGTTGCTTGCAATGCTCATTTTCATGTACATCAAACTTAATCTGTTGGATCTTTCCCAGTTCTTAAAATGATCCCTTTCATCCTCAGTGCTTTCATCAGTAATAGCACCAGGTATCTCTTCTCTAAGAGCCATATCCATATCCATTACCCCAAGGTAAAATTGGATTTGCTCTTTCCATTCAGAGAAGTTCAGCCCATTAAAAACTGTAACAGTTGAGAGCATGGAATGTGTAGCAACTGGTACTTCGAGGAATAACATTTAAACATTAATGCTTTGATACCACATGTAAGTTAATTTCATCAGTAATACATTTATTCAAGTTCAACAGTAATCATTCAAGAACATGACAGAGGATCTTCAGAATTTATGAGTTTCACATAAACATACCTTTATCCATAATTGCGGAAGAACTTTGATGGTGAGATCCTTTCTCTGAGTCTTTACCCTTCACTGTTCTTGTATCTTCTTTGATAGGGATAGGATACAACTATCATAGGCAGACCCAGATGGAGCGTTCTTTCTTGTCAGAGACACTTACACAGAAAACTGACCATATAACACTTATGTAACTGCACCTATCAGCAGTTACTCTTTTAATAACTTCTCTTTACTGTCAATTACCATTATGCCCTTTTATTAATTAAATCAACTGACACTTAATATTATACATGAGACACAATAAGTTTTACAATTTGTTGTTTGGGGTTCAGAAACAGATTCGTGGCATGGATTTGTGGAACTTGGATTGTATTGAACATGATTCGGATTGTACAAGGTTTCTACTAAAGACATGAAGAGGAGAGAAAAAGAACAGCAAAAAGAGCATGAAAAATTTGCCTTTTTGCGAGCAGGTCATTGAAGAAGAAAATTGGAGAGGATTTGCAATCAGGTTGGTGCCTTCGCAGTTGGAGTGGGTTTAACACGGTCGTAAGTTGGATCTATAACAGGACTCTGTTAGATTTGAGAAATGTGAGGGTTGAAACCGGAGAGTGAGGGTTTTGACTTGGGCCGGTGTCCGTGTCTGCAGTGAATTAGGGCAAGGAAATGAATTTTCCAACAGGAAACATTACAAGCGAATTCCTACAACTTGTACCATAAGAAAAGGTACTGAAGGAACTCGGGGTAGCAATGTAATCATCAATTTGTTATTTTTTATATAATTAATTTCTAATAAATAATTATATTTTTATAATTTGAATTTAAAATATTTTATATACATCTTTATTATCAAGTAAGATAAATATTTATTCGTATAATTTAAATTTTGAAAATCTTTCATATATAATTTTCATTTGCATATTTGATTCCTTAATATATATATATATATATATATATATATATATATATATATATATATATATTATTATCAGTGCAGTACCAACAAAACCAAAACGCATGGAAAGACTAGCAAATGCTAATCCCTTTCAATTATTTTAGAGATCGAAACAAATCAGATGATAATTGATAGATTTAACCATAAGAATATGACCAAAATTTCCCATTAAATATCAAATTCTTGTCTCTGTCTTCGTTGGCGTCTTGGCTAACTTGAATGCATCAAATACTGATTCCCTCTGTTGAACTTCGGCATTCTGGACAGAGTGCTCTGCATCAATTGAAGACCTCCTTAATATCTCCAAAAGCGACACACCTGGCTTTTGAGGTGTGGAATTTAGGGTGGTATATTTGTTCTGCGTATTTCTTTGGAACTTGGCTGAAACAACTTTTGGTGGTTGGCTCTCCTTTTGAATCTGAAAGTTACATCCGAACAAAAACGCATTACAGGCATTGGCAAAGAAACCAGCACAACAGAGTCATGTCCTATCGACACCATTGTTAATATTATACTAAACATAGATTAAAACAAATACTTGTAGATGTTCTTTTCATATGATGAATTGACCGTTGAGCTTCGTAGTAATGATACTTGGAATAGAGCATTTGAAACACATCATTAAAAAAATAATATATTATCATGTAATTCTGTGTTGTCAAAAAAATTTAAACTTATTTACCAAAAAAATTTAAACTTAATGTAATTATTAACATAATCAAACTTTTCAATCATAAATAAAGGGTAAAAATGATAATACAAACAAAAAAATTACTGTGATAGTGCTTCAATTTAAATTTTTTGAAGCAATTGCAACAATAATTCAAAGGACAAAACAGTTTTATTTATGGTAGACTGTGCTAGCTTTCTAATTTCTGATAGTCATTACCATATCTGAAGAATCCTCTGACATTAATACTGAAGTCCTGCTGTTGCTGTCATCTCGCTCAAATATAAAAGATCGGACCTTGCTTGATGCACGCTTAGAAGAGGGCATAAAACGATTTGAAGCCCGACCGACAAAAGATGACTGCAATATTTACAATAAGAGAACTCAGATGACACCTTAAATATAGTTTAATAGTTTATCACTTGTATTACTGATGAAAACACATTCCTGTGATTCAAGTATATCGTTGAGATTGGTGTCAGATAAGTATCTAGAGATATAATGAAATTATTTAACAACTTTGCTGGGAAAAGGAGCCCATCATCAAGTAAAATAGCTTCATTTGTTCCACATCTAGCAGTTCAAACTAACCTACCTTTGATGATATGTTTATGTTTTGTCCAATGAGTGGCATATCAAAGAAGGCTGCAGCGTAAATTAATGGCAGAAACAATTAGTATTTTCACAATCTAGAAGCCTGATTGATATACATTGCATAGGTTTTGCTAACTGCGCAATTTGATGAAATTAATATATCTTACCAGGAGTTCTTCCTTTTCTCTTGGTCTCGGGAACAATATTTAATTTTTTTATGAGACTGAAAACTTCCCTGCTACTTTCATCCTCAGCCGGTGAAACGAATGTAGCTTTCTCTTCCTGTTGCACATTACAATATTTAGAAACAGCAAAAGTCAAATCTTATTTGATTACATGAGTACCTCGGTACATGCAAAGATGGAAATGCAATAAACTTCAGTAAAAATAAAGTGACCGTAAATTTCAGTAGACATTTATTAAGGTTGGTGAGAAGTGAGAACTCACAACTTTATAAAAGTGGCATTGTTTAGCTAGCCTCTCCTCAGTTTCCTCATCATCAGATGATATATATGCATCATCTTTATCTGTAAACATCTGTGGGATCATCTGCTTCACCTTTTTCAGATTGATCTTCACAGCTTCTGATGGAGCAATGTATTCTTCGGCTTCATCATCAGATTCATTTTCAGTTTCTATGATTTCCTCATCTCCCTCTTCAATTGAAGTTTCTTTCAATTTTGAACCACAGTTAAGTTTCTGGAGTAAATTATCCATTCCAGCTGTGTCCTGTTGCTCAAGCCACTGCTGGTGGAGCTGGTCCCGCTTTTCTCTATCAACTGGCTTTTCTTCGTATGCAGTTGCTATCATATCATTAAGTTCCTCGATATCGTCATCATCTTCACCTTCTTCTTCATCTTTGAAATGCTGTAGGTCATTATCACTGTCATCTTCCTCTTCCGCTTCTTCATCAACAAAAGCCTTTACAGGATCACCGCTTGAAGGTAAAGTTAAGTCAACCGATCCATGTATATGTGGATCTATGTTCTCCTTGCCATTGTCCTCATCATCCGAAGAGCTGAAGAAAAGAAACAGTTGTCATTTTTCACTTTTTAGAACAAGTGGGAGGCAAAATTAAAAGGTCGTGATTTGTCAAAGAAAAGGATACGTAGGTCGTCATTACTTATCAATTAATTGCTATCACATCGTCACTACTCACAAGAGTTTTCCAACATAAAAATACTATACTGTTATTTTACTTCTATATACGTGTATCTAACCCAAAGTAACAACGAAGTAACAATGCTAGCTTCATAGTAGCACTAGCAACATTGTCACCAGTTTCATGTGATGAATAGTCAGTGGCACTAAATCTGAAGAAAATAAAGCAATAAACTTATAAACACTTACACATCATCATCAGGAGGAGCAGAATCAAGTTTCAAGTTCATTGCAAGCATAGATGAGACAAACACTTCTTCAGAAGGATTATTAGGCTTCTCATTTACATCCTCGTCTTCAGTATCACCTCTTTGGGAGGCAGAAAAGAGTTCCTATAAATTGCAGTAAAACACGCAATTAGTATAGAAAATCTACAGTTAAACGCAAGCACTTATTAAATGGCTGATAGAAAACCTGAGTATCACCAATAGGAGCTCGAAATGCATGCTCAGATTCTGAACCCATATCCTGAAACTCAATGGATACAAGGATTTAGATAGCAATGACGTCTCAAGATTACGTAAACACACATCTCCCCAAAAAACTAAGTATGAACAAAAAGATTACGGGGAAAAAAGCAAAGCAATTATCTTCTACATAAGATCATTTGAGATTTCGAATGTCTCAATTGATATGCTATCATCACATTAAATAAATCAATAAAAAAATCAGTGGCAGCAGATACAAATCCCGCACTCCAAATACATAAGCAAAACTAATGCATAAGATTTTCTACTATTTTGGGCTCAAGAAATACCTAATGGAATTGTATAATCAAACTAAGATATTACTTCCCACTAAAATGCACTATCTGACTTACCACGGCAGAAGGAATGCTTTTACAGCTTGAATCATCTGCAGCATCGTTAGATCCACCAAAATGCGATTTGTCTAAATTGCTGGTGGTGGCTGCAGGGAAAGTTGGCGGTGTTTCTTCCGGTTCTGCCTTTTTTACCTTATCAATTATCTCCTCAATCGGACAGGCATGTTCAGAACCATCACCAACAAAGTAGCCATCATTATCATCAAAAGAAGCACTAGATCTACAACCAAAGTATGCATGAGTGTGTTGCACGAGTTTAAAAGAAAAAGAAAACCAAACAAAATCTTAATGCAAATCGACCTACTTCTTTACAATCTCTAATTTTCTCTGCCGGATTTTATCCAATATCGAAGAAATTGGTTTCTGAACGAGAGGAATCGGTTTAAAAGCTGCATCTCTAGTTTCTAGTCAAATTGAGGTGAACCGTGTGAGTCAGTATAAACTCGACACAAAACAAAACTAGATTAAAGAACACAGCTTCCGATAAATATTTATACCTCGAAGAAGTCTCTGAGAGTCAGCTCGAAGCCGTTTTAGATTTTCCCGTCTTTCCTGTTAAATCATGGAATACACAAATTAATAAACCAAGAGTCAAGTTTATCAGAATGTTTCACTGAAACAACGTATAGACCTTCTCGGTTTTTCTTTTATTGGAGATAGATTCTTTACTGCCGTCACCGTCGTCGATTCTCTTCTTCTTCTTCTCATTGTTCTCTGAAGAAAAGTCTAAACGACGTCGTTTTCCCTCTAATTCGTTGGTATTCAGATCCCCAACTTCTCCCTTCTCCTCCGTGACTTTTCCGTCAAGCTCCTCACCGACAGAATCAAACTCCAAAACCCTCGTCGCACCCAAATCATCTTCGTTGACAGTGACACCTTTTGAAGTGTCTTCAAGTTCGGGGCTAGATTCACCATTTGACTCCTCCAGTTGTCCGCCGTTTGCCAATTCAGGAAAATTGGTAGGAGACGTAGAAGGAGGAGAATATTCAGAAGCCCTAATTACTTTCTTCAGACGCTTCAGCTTTCGCTGTTCCTGGACGGGAGAGGAAGGCAATAGCTCAAAATCTTCGTCGCTCTCCATGTTTGATTTGATCCGAGTTTCTGTGTTTGATTGAACAAAATAATTTGGCTTTGAAAATTAACGCCTCTAACCTCGTCAAATATCATTCCATGATTCTAACCTAAAGAAATGGCGGTAAATGCTTTTGAAATTTGTGTAAACGCGCTAACTGAAAATGCTATCTTTTTTTTTTATTCCTTTCACCGGGCCAATTTTCGAATTTATCATGTGTACATTTTTATTTTGGGCAAGTTATCTTTACAAATTTTTTTGTTTACAAATTCTTATAAATTACACTATCTTTTTTATAAGAACATTAATTTTACTATGTTCTTCCAAAAAAATTTGTGTAATTTATAAAGATTTATCAAAAAAATTTGTAAACGGCTCTTTCCCCTTTTATTTTTACCCGATTGATTGAAACCCTCATTTTTATTATTAAGCAGTATAAAATTTGGGAAAAGTGTTTGTCATTTTAAATGACAGAAAGTTATGTCATTTTAAGAGAGATACAGATACAGAAAATTTGAATTTTAAATTAAAAAAAACCACCTATTTTCTCTCTCTCATGATTTCCGTTTTTCTGTGTCTATCTCTCTGCTAAAATAACATAACTTATGTCATTTAAAGTGACAAACATCAAATCCATAAAATTTACGCAAAGCTTTCCTAAATTGATAAAAAATTACAAATAAATGCAGAAGGTAGAAAGACATTTTTTTTTATATAATTTAAAAATTTTCGACACAGAGGAGAGGACTATCGCTATGACAAAGTTAGGATAAAACATTCATTTTAAGAAAATCTATACCGAAATTACAAATTATTTGCTAATTAAAATTTTTGAATTTAAATTTAAATTTTGGAATTATCATTAGCTCGTTTTGTGGTTGAGAATAAAGTACATAGGAAAAGTTCTTCAACAAACATATATAATTCACTAATCTTTTTAATATTTTATAATAATATTTTTCATAAAATATTTGTTTTTCTCATAGAAGTGCAGCTTAGTTGGTTTGGTGGTATATAATACACTAATCCAATAAAAATTGTAATATATGGTTGAAAAATTAATTTTATAATTTATTAACAAAATCTAGGGTATAAGAATTTCCCCTGTACTAGACAACAAACAAATTGCTTCTTTCATGTCAAAAATAAAGATGGCTTCCTTCAATTCAAATATTTAAATATATTGAACGTGAAACTTCACTACTCACACGTAATCCTAACAGATATAATCTATGAGCCATGTTCTTACACAGATTATAAAAGATTGTCTTGTATTTTTAAAGAAATAAAGAGATCAACATCATCCTGCTCCATGATTATGGTTTTCTAAGAAAAATCAAAATAAACTTTTAGAAATAGTCCAATGTAAGTACTAATACACATACAAGTGTGGGTCTCACATATATGATATCAAAAGGAAAACAAATCAAACTTCCAAGATGTGCAAAGTCACAGAAAAACCAGTCCAATACAAACATAAACTACGCAGCTTCTAGACCAGTTTTAACGTCTGTTTGAAGATTTTTGATCGATGAAGGGTTCCAAATGAACATTTGTTGCCAGATCTCCATGAAAGCTCGCACAATTACAGCGTGATAACTCCGTGAGTTCAAAGACAGGAAACACTGCAAAAGGTGTTCCAAATCCTCAGCCTCAGACATCTCCATCTCCGTTATCATCTCCAGCATCGATTTTTTGAAATCTTCATACGGTTCCTTGGATTTTTTCACCACAGCAAAGCACTCTTTCACCTTCCCCTCCATTATGCTGCGCGTGGACATCACCGTCCTTTTCTTCACCTGCGCCATTTCTTGTCCTTTTCGATTCTCCAAAGTGTGATGAAATCTCGTTCTCTGAACCGTTTTTACGCTGCTTATCTTCCTTCTGTGCCTGCTAACTAACTCTTTCTCCGGTTTGTGGGGATAATGGACCATCTCATCGTGACAAAACTCATCTGAGAAACTTGTCATGCAAGAAATCAAAGTTTCACTTTCTTCTTCGTTCAAGTTATCAATTAGAAAGTCACTTCTCCTTGATTGAACGCTCGACGTGCTTTTTCGGCCTCTGGATTTAACTTTGCAGTGGTCTTCAGGTGTTGACGGTGGCGGAGCAGGGAGTTTTGGATATAAAACATCACGTGCTTTGGTTTTCACAGGAGAAAGACGGTAAATAGCAGGAACAGGATTTCCTGGGAAGGAGGAAAGGTTTTTTGAGCGACACATTTGAAATGAAGGGATAGTGAATTTCAGCTTGAAGCGTTTAGCCATATTGCGTGGGGAACAACTATATTGCATTTAAGCTGTGAAAGAAAATGCTACAAATATAATGCTCCCCAAGGCCAAAGGGTCTAATTAAGAATATATATATTATAAGCAGAAATAAATAAAATAAAATAAAAGAAAGGCCGGCATGTTAATTAGGACTAGGGAGCAATTAAAGTATGACTGAATCCGAGTAAGGGTCCTGGTCCTGGCCCTGTAATTCCCTACATTGTGTCCTCTTCGAAAATGGCTGTGAATTAGCTGGTCCACCTCCACAATAGAGACAAACACATAATTGCAAGAATGCCACGTTTGCAGAGTTTCTCATCAGTATACTGACAACTTATTTGCAAAGTGTTGTGCCAAAGGTATAATCAACGCCGAACAACTAGTCAATTTAAATTTTTAAATGAATTGATAGGACTTAATCATCAAGTTTTCTGTTGTGTTCCTTCACTGCTTCTTTTTAATTACCCAAACCTGGGGTTTGGGTAATTTTTTCATTTAATTCTGTAAATTATTGAGGATTATACATAGCTCATGTTTAATGATATGTTACATTAAATGAGTCCCTCTATAAGACTTAAATTAAAAATTATTTACTCCATATATTCACCATCACCAATTTACACACCGTATAAATCATTAGTTTTAGTAAGGCAAATATTTAACAGTCTAATTTAGATGATCTATTTGAAAATTAAAAAAATATACATAAACTACGTCAACATAGCGAATAAATCTTTGGTACTACTGTTGTACCAAGATTCAGTGCATCTCATCAATGAGAGCAATACATATCAGAGGAAGAAAAAAAATTTGACAGAAAAAAAATAAAATTAACTGACATGTAATATTTTTGTTGGTGGGATGCACTGAATCTTTGGTACACCAGTAGTACCACAGATTTATTCGAACACAGCATACTAGTACTAAAAATTTCAGGGGGGTCATTAATTAATTAATTAAATATTCTGTCTAATGGGTCTGGTAATCAGGAAAAAATTTAAATATTTTGATGTGCGCACAGTGCAGGTTGGGAGATTAAAACTTGAGACCCACTAGTTACCCTACATCAGCCGGTAATTTCTTTTAAAAGCACATCTCTCTCAGTTGAGTAATTATTATATGGCAATTTTTGCAGTATCATCGAATATTAATTGCTGTAACTTTCTTTCAACTATCATAACAATAAGGGGGGTAACAACGTGCAACATAACAGATATATATTGGGCAATCAAATTAAATTGTTAAAATGACCGTCCACAGGGAATTTAAAATAAAATTAAATTGAAATACACCTTAGATTGACTCTAGTAAAGTAAGTAGTGTATGTTAAAGAAAAAACATAAAATTATTAATTATTAATTAAAAATTAATGGTTGAAATTGTAATAAAAAATATGTATATATAATAAATTATTAAATTATTAAAAAAATCATTTTTCAACCAATAAATATAAATATATATTTCAGCACTCAATTTAGATGACCCAAATTTTTATGTTTCCCATATGATGCTGAAGGTAATAGCTCAACACCTTCTGAGCAGAATATTTTAAATCAATATGGTAGAGAGATTAAAAAATATATTTTATGGATTGGGATAAATAGGAAAAACAAGGTACACAAGCAAAACGTTGACAATATCAACAAAGCATATCCCCCAACCGCAAAAGAATGAATCTATCCCCGTCACCCATATTACTTTCAACGTTTTTCTCAATAAAACAATTACACGTTGATGGATTGCCTTTTATATTGGCACCAAAGCTCCCAGGGTTTTCACAATGGGACAAAGCTCATACCGAAACCTAGCAACCAGATAAGTCTGACGTATCATACATGGACAAAACGACAAGAGTTTCCAAACAAACAGAAAAATTATGCTATGGCTACCTTCTTAATTTGACTAAGGCCACACACTTGCTCTGCATGTCTAAGTCCAACTAACTTAAGAACCCTTTGTGCTGCATATCTGATACTTATTTATTGTTCATCCATCTTGTAAATAATCAATTCAACTCAAAAATTTAAAGTGTTGAGTGAGATTAGGTTAATACTTTTTTATATATCTTAATACGTCCCCACAAGAGCTCTAGTACCATGTAAAGAGCCAATTCAACTCAAAAAATTAAACTGTTAGATGAGACTACATTAATAATTTCTATATATCTCGAGGCTATATTCTATAACGTAGACAGACACTTCCACATTTTCAATTATATAATAACGCTTGTTTGAAAAATTGTTAAAATGTTTTTACTGTAGAAAACAAACCTTGATAATTACAACGGCGTGACATTGATCATATGTTCATTGAAATGTAAATGGTTTAATTTTATACTGATTATAGATTAAATTTAAACTTTTATTATAAGAGTGTATTTGTTTTTCAAAAAAGAATTACGATATCATCAAGGCAAGAGAGTAAAATTTTAATGTCTATATATATAAATTCCCTTTTGAAAAAAATAAAAATATCTTTTGCGTCTATTTAGCTATTTGGGCTTAATTTATATGCTTAGCCGCACCAAGGTTTTTGTCTTCTGGGTATATGTATATATGCTTGGCAAGAGTGCCTAACCCTATTATGTACCGTCTTGCTAGAACAATATTTAACTAGATTATTACTCGTAATATATACGAAATGACATGAAATATAATTAATATATTATAATGAATAATTTATTTTTTTATTTTTTTTAAAATTGATATAATTACATGATTTATCTATTAATTATTAACATGTTAAAATAATTCACTAAACCTAAAATGATGCAAAATGTATCATTTGGTTCGAATGGTAAATTTTTTCTTTTTATTTTGATTTACTATATTATTATTAAATTGATCGAAAGATACATTGAGATTGATCAATTTTGAAAAAAAATATGCTATTTTTTAAAAATATAACATGTAATCAAATTTTATGCGTATTAATTTACATATTCCATTTTTGTACACAAATTAGGACACTATATATCTTGTTTAAATAAAAAATTAAACATAAATCACAAAAGGACACATATTAATATGATAATTCAACAATTAATCATAAAAATTAAAATTAATCACGGTAGGAATCTGAAAATAATAATATTAAGAGAAACAAAAAACAATATTAGTATGAGAATAAAAGATTAATTTAGTGAATATAATTTCGAACATGGATAACAAATTTTTCAAGAAAAACAGAAATAATTTATAAATCACATAAGTTTAACAATATTTGTAAAAATATTATAATATAATAAGGTTTTAACAGACACCATTCATGACAACATTGGATTCTTGATTGAAATATGGTTGTTAGAGTATAATATAAACCATTAAAAAGGTTATCACCTACCGGTTTTAGTTTTTTGGTTGAATTGATTCTTTACATGATATCAGAGCATTGCTGTCCCGAGTTCGATAATATAAACCATGTAAGGAGGCGTGTTAGGGTATAATATAAATAATTAAAAAGGTACTACTTAACAGTTTAAGTTTTTGAGTTGAATTGATTCTTTACAATGGTCATGAAGTTATATCCTATTTTTACGTAACAATGACTGTCATTCTCGCTCATAGGATCAGAGGCGGATCTAGGTATATGAGAAGGGGGGCAAGTGCCCACCCTTAAAATACGATGTAAAAATACAAAAATATTATTCTCTTAAAATTTAAGTTTTTTCCAATTTAATTTTGGGTAGGATAATATAACAATCAATTAGGGTTACTACCAGTGTTATTACCAATCAATTTATCCGTTAGATCGATTATGTTGATCCAACGGTTATATTTATTTTCATCTTTGTATGATTATGATTCCTCATATTTAATACTTTATATTTATTTGCATCTTTGTATGGTTATGATTTTTCATATTTAATGTTTTTACATTAAATAAGGGGATCATAACCATACAAAGATGGAAATAAATACAATCGTTGGATCAACATAATCGATCTAACGGTAAAATTGATTGGTAGTAACCTAGTTGGTTGTAACGATATCCTACTCCTTTAATTTTCCTCTTTCTATTTTATCTTCCCGTGAGATTTTTTTCTCCTCCACCTTCATTATCCAAACCTAACAGCAGAGAGCTCTATTCTAAACCCATTATTTGCATATACATACTGATTCATCTCCTCTCAAACCTCAATCTTCATTATTAGAAGTTGGAACATTTGTTTCTTCCTCCATCATCGGTCCAGTTAAGTCACAATCCGTCCAGATCCGAATTTAAACCAGACCCAGTCAGCCGGCAGCTGCTCGCAAGTCGCGTTCCAGACCAAACCTAGATCTATACGTACCTGAACTTATTGAGTGCCCACCCTTCGTTAATTTTCTGAATCTGCCACTGCATAGGATAAATAGATTTCAGCAGTGCATGTGAATAAGGTAGAGGTTAACAATTCCTCTCACAATGAATAAGGGGAATCTAAAAAAATACCGCGCAAGAAAGAGATTCAAAATATATTTAAGAAAAAAAATGATTTGATGTAGTAGTTTGTTTTAAAAAAATTGAAAAAAGAATAAATAAAAAATACATGTGGAAAAGAAAACCTTATTTGGAAATGACGAAATTAAGAATAAACTTGTAACTATTTCAATTTGTAAAGTTCTAAGAATGAGAAACAAAATAACTTTAAGAGCAATAAAGGATATGAACTGAAATTCATCTATACGGGATGAAAGGCGGTTATAAATTAGCTGCATAGATATTTAATAGGTGTAGGATCTTTTGACACCGGTGTCAAATTTCAAGTTTGACATTTCTTCTGAGAGCCGTCAGATCAAAAAAATCAATGGTATCACATGCTTACAAATCAGAGTCTTTGATCTTTTTTTATCTAACGACTCTCAGATGAGGTGTCAAACTTTAAATTTGATACTAATGTCAAAGGATCCTCCCCCTATTTAATATAATTTAAACTTGAAAGAAGTAATTTATAGATGGAGTAATTTAAAAATAATAAGTGTTATATTCATTTTTAATTGTTGATCTACTTGCATCGAACATCTTAATTTATTAATCAATCCCATGAATCATTAGATGCAAATGAGATCAATGATTAAGATTAAAAGTATAATTTATATCGATGAAAAAATGATTCTAACCCATATTATAAGGGCATGATCGTTTTACACTGGTATAAAATTAATGAATTCTACATTTAATCTTAAGGTAGTGTTTGGTTGAAGGTTTATTTTGGGATTGATGGGAAAGTGTAAGTGGATATTGGAAAATACCACGATTGGTTCAGGTTTTTTCAAAAAATACCAGGCAAATAGGATAGATGGAAAAATGACTTTTGTGTTGATTTTTTTTGATGAAATTCACTGTTACAGAATACCACTTGAGATGTGGTATTTTGAGATAACTGGGGAAGTGAAAAAATAGGTGCAAAGTTTCTCCCGAACATAGATTTTGCATATTTAAATAAATTTTCCTGGTAATATTTGGGTCAACCAAACAACTTTTTTTACATTTTCATACCAAACTCACTTTTCAACCATTTCTCTATCAAATTACATTTCCCTAGTAAAAAAAAATTTCTCCCGAACCAAACACTACCTAACTTTTAATCTACTTGCCTAATTCAGTAATCATGTAATCTATTAGATGCAAGTGAGATTAACAATTAAAATTGGGTATAGCTTACATCTCTATAAAAATAACAAGTCTCATACCCAATATTAATTATTGATTTACTTTCGTCTAACAACTCTAACTTATTAGTTACGTAAACCATCAAGTACAAATAAAATCAATAATTAAGATTGTTACATATCCATACAAAATAATCCTGCACTTATATTATATGGCTAGAGTCACTTTTTACAAAGTGATGGCGCAGAATAAATTTAACGACAAATAATTAAAATCAAAAGAAAAAATTGTCAAAAAAATATGTGAAATTGCTTTAGATTTATTAAATTTGAGATGCATATAATCGCTTAGTTTCTTGATAATCATATAAATTGGTAGATGATTGTATTAATTGAAATTATTATTAATAATAAATTATAAATAATTAATAAATTTAAAAGGGGAAAACTTATGATAAAAAAAATTTGGATTAAAAATATAATAATACCACGTGGATCGAGAGCTGATACCAATTTTTTTTTTTTGGTGGGTACCAAAATTATTTTTATAATAACATATATTACATTTTTTTTTTTAAAAAAAACACTCAAATTTTAATATTGAAATCACCCAAAATGATTTCCTAATATAGGTAAAAAAATTGTCTTTTATGATTTTTTATGTACTTTTTAAAGAATTTTAAGTCATCTAATTAAACTATATATATATATATATGTATATTATAAATTAAATATAGATAATTATTAAAATTGATTGTAGGATTTAAACTACTATGAGTTGTCTAGATTATAACATCAAACATAATACTTTTCTGTTTTCCTTTGTTTTCCAAAAAAAAAATCAAACAAAATACAACAAAATTTACTAAAACATAGCAATGAAAATGGTACGATCACGACTTCCATTCACTATATTTATTTTGGAAAAATTATTTCTCGAGTCACCGGAGATAAAATTATTTTTAGTGAGCTCAAAACGATGTCGTTTTGGGTTATAAGATTAAAAAATTATAATAATAAAGACTAATATAACTCTGTAATATATTATAATTACAAAAATACCTTGATGTATATCCCAAAATGATATCATTTTAGACTCACCAGAAATAATTTATCTCGTGAACAAATACTTTACCCATTTATTTTAGTAAAGTCATTTTTTTGTCCTTTACAAGTCTTTATGTCTAACGGTCTCAGTAGGTTGAAAAAGTAGAAGCGGAAGGACGATCTGATATCACGGTAAAGTAGTATACTCGCATGAAAGTCGCATTATACATGCACTTCTTTGTACATGCAAAACTACAAATATACAAGATTTGATTATTATATTACATGGAAGAATAATGAAAGAATGAAATATATACGGTGAAGTGATTGAATTATGAGGTGTTATTTGAACAAGCTCAAAAACAAAATATAAAATACCAGAGAAAATATTTAAAAAAATCATATGTTTTTATAATAATATTGAATTTTCTATAAAAATATAACTCTGACTCATAACAAAATATTAAAACATACTATATCCTATATCTCCCAATATATATATTCGTATAAATTTGATCAGTTCAATAATTATTAGGCTAAATCAGATACGGTTGAGATTGCTACTGTTGATGAATGTCTGGGTTGAGATGCTCTTTGATTTCAATATATATTCCCCTCTCAACCCCATAACTAGGCTGGTTAAGGTAAGGTTGACTATTTCCTATCAATTTATTTTTTTGAAAATATATAATTAATTGCGACATTTTACTTATTATTTTAAAATATAATTACAAACATGAAAAATAGTAAAAGAAAAAAAAAAAAAACGTACATATAACTAGGGATGTAAATAGGCCGGTCGATCTAACAGGATTTTATGACTCAGTCTATTACATATAATTAAATAGAAAAGGCTCAGGCCTAAAAAGAAGCCTATTTAGGAAGGAGGCTATAGGTTTTTTTATATGTTGGGTCTATAAGCTTATAGGTCGATTTATGTCATATTATTTTTTTTAAATAAAATAAATAAATTATTATTTTAATGATTTTGTATAATAAAGTCATATTATTTTAATTAATATTTTTAATTATTGAATGACTAATAGAATTAAACAGGCTGACAAGTCTAGCCAAGACTTAAATTTTTAAAAAACAAGTCAAGTCAGACTTATAATTTGGACCTATACAAGATTAACATACCACACCAAACTTAAAATATTTTGCACAAACATAGCTTCTATAAAGCAAAGCCTAACTCAATCCAACCTATTTATACACGTAGTTAAAAACCCTTTTTGTATATGCTAAATTTCCCCAAAGAAAAAAGAAAGGAAAAACTGTAATATGCCGCGAAAGCAGTGGCGAGAAGGCACCACCACAGCAGCGACACCTACGCGCAAGGAACACCTGTGTTTTGATTCCCCCGTCACTAGGACACAATTCCATAGACATAAAAATCATTTGTTTCTCTGAGGAAATTAACCCTAAGCCTGTTGAGGCATAGGGTTTTCTTAGAAAGAGGAAGAAGGATTCCTTTCCTTCTTTCTTGATTTGTTTGTTTAATTTCCTGTTTGCATTTTTGTGTTAATAAGAGTCTCCTTTTATAGTTACATGATAAGATAACTAAGCTAAAAATTCTATTAAAATCATGAGGAAACTGTGTCCTAATTTTGACAAGGCAGATGGGTTAGAGACCGTTCTTGAAGTGCCTATTCCCGAGGAGATGTTGAACAACATGGGCACCAATGGGTTCAATCGCTGGCAGAACATGCGAACTCTCATGAATGCTCAAGTTGCTGATAATTCTTCTGCACCCTCAAATAATGAATTCGTGGCATTGCTTAAACTTGTGGGTGCTCCTCTTATTCCTCTTCAGGTTCAATCCGACAATACTTTGACTCGACCCCTCAAAGATTGTTCCATTGTAAGCATTATCAACCTTTTATTTCCCTTATTCCTTAAAAGAAAAATAGTAATATTTTTTAGACTAACATATAGGCGTTAGTGCATGACCAGACCATTATGTACCCATGCCTAAAATTATACAAAATTCTGTTTGATCTTTTCACTTTTGCCACGTTATTTTAATTAGTATACAAATCGTATGGTATGATATAACCTGCATAATTTGATGGAGGGCAATTAATTCATCATTATGATAGCCCATGTATATCACGTAGTTCTATTTTGTGCCTTGGTTAATTTTGCTTGGGAATATGGTTTTCTCCGGAGTCCAGACCTACAAACCTTGTGCGTTTAAAATATGGGAAATATGGGAAAAGATTCGTTTACAATTTTCTTTTTACAAAGTATGTTAAGTATGACCGGTCATACACTCTTGATTGAAGTATGACCAGTCGTACTTAGTGTAATTTGTAAGAGTTTGTAAACAAAAAGTTTGTAAATATAACCTTCCCCTTAAAATATTTATTCAATATATAAAAAAAAAAAATGCAAAATATTTAATGTTGATAATGGATGGCCATCCACCGTCTAAAGAAGCCTTAGATTAGGTGCCATTGTTTGCTTATAAACCTGTTTTATTCTTGTTGTTGTTGTTGAATTATATTAACTATAGTATCATTGAATAATGGGCAGAGAGATTCCACTGCCAAATACATAGTTCAGCAGTATGTGGCTGCCACTGGAGGACTAGCTGCATTGAATTCACTGAAAAGTATGTATGCAATGGGACAAGTGACAATATATGAGTCAGAGATGCGTCAAGGTGATGTTAGCGTTCAATCAAGAGGAAGGGGCGAAGTAGGAGGCTTTGTGCTATGGCAAAAGAACCCAGATTTATGGTGCTTGGAATTGGTTGTGTCCGGTTTCAAGGTTAGTGCTGGCAGTGACGCTAAGGTATCATGGAACCAATCTTCTTCTCAACCTTTTCATGCAAACAAAGGCCCTCCTAGACCCCTTCGCCGTTTCTTCCAGGTAATATACATACATAGCGTATAGCTTAGTTATTTAAATTGATACATACAGGCTTTTTGATAGATGTAACGCAAAATCAGACACATTTCACCTAACAAATTCTTTTGACAAATTATTTATCAATCTAATAGGAATGAATCTTGTATGGGGAGCCCATGTGCACTTGGGGATATGCGCAACTTAGATGCGTATCGCACAAGTCGTGCATGGAAGTGATATATGACTTAAACGCGCACACTCTCCTTACTTGTTTCATTCACATTAAATTGGTAAATAGTTTGGTAAAAGAATTAATTCGGTCAAATATCTCTGATTTCACATTACATCGGTCATAATGTCAATGCTTAACTATAAAAACTTACTTCTCATTAAACTCGACTTGACTAGCGAGTGTGGGGTAGAGGCAAGGGTAGAGGCAATCCTCGTATGCAGCCTTACCCTTGCATAACTGTAAGTAAAGAGGGTATTTCCTGAATTCGAACCCATGACCTTTCAATCATGAAAGAACAACTTTACCATTGTTCCGGTCCCCTTAATGTCAATGTTTAACTATATCTTCGAAAAAAAAACAAAAAGCTTAATCATCAATTGTGCTTGTTATTATCAGGGGCTGGACCCAAGGTGTACAGCTAACTTGTTCCTAGACGCGGAATGTGTAGGAGAGAACACCATTGACAATGAAGTTTGTTTCATACTAAAGTTACAAACGGACCAACACATACTCCAAGCACAAAGCACGTCTAATACTGAAATTATAATGCACTCAATATTGGGGTACTTTAGCCAGCGCACAGGGCTACTTGTCAAAATTGAGGACACCAAGTTGGTAAAAATGAAGCCTGTTAAAGGAAAAGACTCTGTGTTTTGGGAAACAAGCATCGAGTCTATGATTGAAGATTATAGATATATCGATGGCATTAACATAGCGCACAGTGGGAAGACTGTTGCCACACTTTATAGGTATGGTGCAGCGCATAATCACAAAAGGATGATTGAGGAAAAATGGAGGATTGAAGAGGTTGATTTTAACATTTTTGGGTTGTCCATGGATTGCTTTTTGCCTCCCTCTGATCTTGAGAGAGAACACGATGGTGCAGAGCAAGCAGTGGGAATGAGTTAGGATTTTGCTCCACAATTTTCCTTATCACTTATACTCCTGAACTATGTAGGACGTGTAAATACAACATAGACAAGTATAAGTGAATGAAAAGTTTTATACCTTGTCCTCCACTTGGAAGGTTCGTGATTCATTATTTTAACGGGCAACTTTTGGCTAACATAAATTGCATTTCGTTTGAAAAATGTTCATTTGGATTCACAATTTTCATTTAGAAATAATCGTATAAACTGGCCATTTGAATTCAGAAATTGTAAATTGATCACATAATTCCATTACTGAATCGACGATTTCAATTCAATCTTAATTTACTCTCCTTAATATACGTTTCTTTCGGTCTCAAACATGTGTCTTACTTCACCTGGCATGAAATGATGAAACTTATGTTCTCTTATTTATGTCTATGAATTTGTACCCTTAAATTATTAACGTCTCCCTTTGGAATTAAATGGCTAGCCAGATGACACACTCAGTTATCAAGAAAAATTAAGCAAATTAACCAATAACAAGAATCCTTCCTTTTGCTTGTAAGCATTCTGGGCAGGTCTCAACAGACCAAAGCGGATTATTTATGAAGAGCATGTATTCCAAAATACTCATTTCCCTCCTCATAATCTTACTACCCAAATTAATGAATTTCAGGATTCAAATTTTAAAGTACTTGCGTAAATCTTATCATATTGATTGTATATTTTTGTATATATATTATATGAACATTGTCATGCATTTGCCCAGACATATTTACACTTTGTATTTTTTTTAATTTTTTTTTATAAATATTTCAATTGGTTCATCACTTCGCGACTTGTCCGATTCGGGCCAAGTTCAAGATCAAGGTTTTAAATTCCTCCCAAAAGTGATTTTGAGAATCGAATACACATTCTCACCCCATCTGCTCAGCTCCTATATGTCAACTGAGCTACCCAGAAATATTTACACTCTTATGCTTACTCTCTTAGCATTGTAAGCTTATATAAAACAACACACGTGGGAGAGCCAAGAGGAGAGGCTAAGAGAAAAGTTTTGAATTAAAAACTAAGTATATGTGTATTTTAAATTTAAGTAAATTAAAAAAATATATAAATTAAAAGAAGAAAATAGTTAAAAGAAAAAATAATCTTTAAAATTAAAAGGGATTAATACATAATTAATTAGATATAACTTATAGAATATAAAAAAGGAAAAAAATATAAAGAAAATGAATATACATAATCAATTTAAAGAGTTTAAATTTAAAATTTAAAGGAGAAGTTACCAATGACATGTAAATTTTTTAGGGGAGAGTAAGTTAAAAGATTAAATAAGATAGTTTACTCTAATTTAATGTATAAGATTAGATAACTTTGGAAATAAAAAGCAATTTTGATGTAAAAAATGAAAAGAAGTGATTTAAGAATATAAACAACTGGGATTTAAAGATAATAAATAAATTTTAATATAAAACAATTGAAAGTAATTATTTTTTAAGCACAAGCAATAGAGATTTTTTTAAAAAACAATTAACATTTTTAAGGGAAAAAATATATCGTTTTAAAAGACATAATTTTATTTCGTTTTAAGTGAAACAAATATGTTTTAATGGATTTTTTTTATCTTTTTTCTATTCTCCAATATTCGCTCTTTCTTTCTTCTCCTAATTTTATGAAGTTGGGAGAGAATATAAAAAACAATCAAATATGCACCAAAACAAAAAATTTAACTCAAAATAATGACTTTTTGATCCTTTTGCCCCTCATTAATTAATTAATAACTATTTTGCTCCTTACTCAAAACTATCTATCAATCTGTCCATTTTTAATCGATTAACTTGAATATTTAATCGATTAAATTATCATAATAGGCAAAAAAATTATTCGATACTTAATCGATTAAATAGTTGATGTAATCGATCAAATTGTGATAGATTGATATATAGTTTTGGACAGGGGGTATTATGGTTATTTTTTATTTAATTAAGGGCATAATAGTCAAAAAAGACCAAAATAACACAGTTGTGTCATTTAAAATGACAATTTTTTTTTTAAATAATTAATAATTTAAGAGTTTTTAAAAAACTAAAAAAAAAGAAAAAATTATTTGTCATTTTAAAGGACTCAAGTTTATGTCATTTTAAATGATATTATCATATTTTAGTGTATATTTAATAATTTTTTATATTCTCACTCATTTGCAAAAATAGGTGGACAGAGAAAGGAAGAGTATTGCTAAAAAGAGAAAAAGTAAAAATTACCAAAACACAATCGTTTAAAATGACATAAAATCATGTTATTGTCAAATATTTTTTCCTAATATTTTTTTATGCCAAACAACGAAAAGTTACGAAAAAGAGAATATAATGAGATTATCTCAATTTTAATATAAACAATTACTATGTAGAGGTTGATACTGAAAAAAATAAATAAAAATAAGCAGCTGTTTGAAAAAAAAATTCATTTTGGTTTATATTTAGTCCTATAATAAGAATTTAAATATTTCATTAAGAGTATAAACATAATTAATCACTCAATATGCTATTATAAGATATGTACTTACGTATGAATTTTGATAGATAATCGATACAGAAGTCTATCAAAAAATAATCATTACCAAGAATGATATGTTATTTTAGACAATTGTATTTCAAATCATTAATAATAAGTTAAAATCAAATTATATATTTTCGACCTATGTAGTTATCGAAATTGAAATCAAGAAACTCTTTGCTACACAAACTCTTCCCCAATAATCAATAAGCTTAAAAAAAAAAATGAAATGAAATTAGTTGAATGAAGTTAAGCCTGACATAAGATTATATATTTCTCTGCGTGACAGACGTCAAAGAATTCTACATTGAGATGACAAAATTGCTTGAGCAGATCCAATAAATGCTGCTACTGCTGCTGTGTTAAAAAAGCAAACAAGATCCTAAAACGAAAAACTCATTTACAAATTACAAAGTATGGTCAGAACATATTTACAAGTTCTGCAAAAACCTGTGTTAATATTAGTCTTCTGCTGTCTGGATCTCGCCCATCATGATCCGGTTACTAACAACATTGAATCCCAAAACTGCAGCGCTAACCTTTTTCCCCTTCTTAACCTTCTTCTTTCCACCTTTTGAGGAGGATTCTTCGTTGTTGCCCAGATCCTGTAAATCTGTATTTCCAGATACCATGCTTCCAGGATCTTTCTGATTATTCAATGTCTGAAAAGCTATTTCCAAAACATCAGATGGTAGCAGCTCCATGTAATTGAGAAATTTATCAATGAATTCATGATCAGGGTCATATGATCCAAGGTTTTCTATGAGAAACATCTCGGCTTCGGATCTGGATTGCTTCAAGCAAAATTCAAGGAAACTTGTATCTGCCAACTCAAAAATTGTAGTCAAAAATCAAAATGACATTTTATAGAAATTCATGTTAATTTCACCATCAAATGCCGGACCACATTCAGTTAAGTATTTAATTGCTCATTAGGGGATAATAACATACGGGCTAAGGCAAAACAGATAAAAGTCATCCTAAATCTGGATTTATCCATCAAACTATAGCAAGTAAACCAAATCTGAAATGGTACGTACCTTTTGTCCCAATAAGCCTAACGCACTCATTCTCACACCAAACTCTGAAGTCCATGGCTTCTGAAAATTAAAAAAGAAAAGAAAAAAGAAGCTCACTATCTTTAAACTGTCATAAATTATCCAATCAAAAGTAGATACATATAAAGAGCTCAATTAGACAGAACTGCCTCGCAAGTGGAATTAACACATTGTTGAAATAAATAATGAGCAATATATCTTTACCAGAATTCTTAGTCATGGCATCTTTTTTTAATTTCAGCAATGATTGAGAAGAGGCAGGTGATGATGATACAGATCGCTCAATCGGTTTGCCACTCCCTGATTTTTGTCGACTTAATGATCCGGGTGGATTACCTTTCATGGGAACATTTTTAGAACCCCAGCCTCCCTGGCTTGCAAGCTGAGGGAAATCTGACCTGCTTTCAGAGACAACAAAATAAAACATTGAATCAACTTGTCCATCAAAACTGGATTTTCATGGAAACACTAAGTCAGCCACTTACTGTTGCATACGTTACTTTTGAATACAACTGCTCTTGTATAGAGGCCATGTCCAAGGCAATCTAGGGTTAATAAGTTTTCCTAGATGTTTACCCCAAATCTTTAAATCAACCTTAATTCTGAATCAATCACCATCATGATTTTTCTAGATGTTTGCTCTTTGTTTAGGGGTCATTTTCGAAGGTATGATGTAATTATTGTTTTTATAAAGACTGAAATTTCGTTGCCCACTTACATAGGCATTTCCTTTCTTACACCCCTTGTTAAGTACTTCGCTAGCGGGTTATGATATAAAACAAATCTGATTGATTACACACTATACATGTATAATTAACAGATGCCAACACTCCAAACAATTTCAGTAAAGTAGTGTCATAGAAAATAAGATTAATCAAGCCCATACAATAAATAGTTGCAAACATAGTGCACCATGCATATAAAAACAGAAATGGCACAATGAAGAGACAGAAGTCATACTGCTTAGTTTCCTGCTTAGATTGCTCAATTGGACCCCAGAACAAGTCATCATCCCCTTTATATTTTGACTGAGAAGCTTGGGAGTTTATATTGCTAGCAGGTGCAGCTTTTGATGAAGATGAACCTGAAATTTGCCATGAAGGACCACTACTCCGAGCAGATTGGGCAGACTGTAGTTTCTGAGGAGTAGGGATTTGGTTTGCGGGAATTGAAGAAAACTTTTTCTCCTGCTCCTTTTGAATGTCCCTTAATGAAGTCGGTTTAGGAACCCTACCAGAATCAGTAGTCCATGCTGGAGAAGGAGATGGGCTTGTTGGCTCTCCTTTCCAAAGAACAAAATCTCCCAGAGACGGTCCTGAAGGGATGGCAGGCAATTGTTCTTTCTCCAGCTGCACAGCGCGGGAGGTTTTTCCTTTTTCAATGTGAGTTGTACTTATAGGCAGTTCACTAGGAGCAACTGGCATTGAGACCTTAGACCCTGACCCCTTTGATTTTGTAGATTTCTTCCGGCTTCTTTTAGTATCTTTAGCTTCAATAAAGTTCCCATCGTCTATGGATTCTGGATGGACATCTATATTTTGTGAGGACAGCATACTGTCTGAAACCTCACCATTTCTTTCACTAGATTTTTTTACATCTTCTGCCAATAGATCATGTAATGGGCTTTTCTTGCTCTTACTAATTTGAGAAGTTTCAGGTTTAGCCAGATATTCAGTATTGCTTGCTTCTCTGTTACTTTCACTCGCCACCTTCGTAGACTCTGGATTGGCCGCAACTCCAACCCAGGGAGTTGCCAGATTCATGGAATTGACAGAAGTAACAACATCGGATACAAGCATCTCTGTCAGCGACTTTTTTTGTTCTTCCTGTTGAATTTCTAACAAAGACTTTGCCTTGAAACCAGGAGCAGGTTTCCAAGCTCTCCCTGAAGGTAATTCAGAATTCTGTGTGGCAACAGAACTAACTGCCTTTAACTCGCTCTCAACAACTGTTTCAGTGATGCTTCCTGGATTATTAGCATGAAGGTCACTAACTTCTAGATGATCAGCTGCCTCAGCAGGAGCAGTTCCAGATTGATTGCCCTTACCTCTTGTTTGTTGCAGATATGTTTCATAAGCTGGTTCACCCTTACTGGCTTCCCCCAAATTTATTTCACTATAATTTGGCTTTTCAGCTTCTGACTTCTTTGACTGCTGCAAAGTCACGTTTTTCAGCAATGCCTTTGCTTGATCAGAAGACTGAGATTTGGAGGACTTTTGCTTCTTAGATTTCTTCTCAGTAGCCTTTTTGGGTTCACATGCTTCAACATTTCTTACATCCACCACAGAGGGCTCAACATTTGAGCTGTCTCTTCCAGCCTGCTGCTCTTCAAGACTATCGGATTTAATCTCCACATCCTTACCCAGTTGACTTGATAGTCGTAACTCAATCCCACAAGATCCAGCCGAAGACATAGAAACAACCGGTGCAACACAATGCACAGGTTGAGAATGCTCTTCGGACACAGAAGTTGCACTCACAAGAGTAACATCAGCCCTACAAGTGTTGCCTGGCATCTGCTCTACGGATATAGTAGAGTCAGAAACAGGAAGAGGTTTCTCCGCAACGTTAGGATCCTCTTTGGCTCTGTTCTGCTCATGCAATAGGGAACTGTCAATAGAAGCTGATGCAGGCAACGTTTCCTTCTGGTAATTTTCATTGATTTGCTCAGGAAGTGTAGGCCCCCAGCTTTTCTGATGACTAATATTACCAAATATTTGCTGAGGCAGCTGCACAAAGGCTTTGCTGCTTACGTTATAGCTACTGTCCTGGCTTACTTGCAGAGGTAAATTCAAAGCATTAGTACTAAGCTCATCATGCACACTGGGAATTGGTGTCTGAGAGCTCATGGGACAAATCTCTTGTGTCGGTTCAAGTTGAGAAGGATCCACATGCAAATTTCCCGTTGGTATTCCACCTCCCTGCAACTGCCCATAAGATAAATCACCAAAGTGCTGGTGAGGATGATGCTCCTGTAGCACTTGAGAAAGCAGTTGCTGCTGTTGGCGCAATAACAGCTGTTGCTCCTCCTGCTGCTGTTGCTGCTTCATCAATAGGAGTTTATCCAGCAAAGGCATCTGCTGTGCAGGAGCAGCTGCCTGAGAATGCAATTGTAGCAAGTATTGCTGTTGCAACATATTCAGTATTTGGGGATCTTGGGATAAACCAGAAGAAAGTAACTTCTCTGCTGTTAAAATACTAGATGGGTTATCTGCTGTGTGAGCTATTAAGTTATTTAAAGATAATTGGTTTGGTGCTTGAAACCTTTGTTGTTGAATTCCAAATGGCATTTGAAGAAAATTCTGATCATGATGCAAGTCAATCTTATTCTGAAGGGGATCCAACCCCCCTTGTAAGGGATAATTAGGCCATCCAGCAACACCATTATTTAACCCTGTGGATGACCTGTCAGATAATCCTTGAAGGATTGACAACAACTCAGAATTCTGAGACTGAAGCTGACGAGAATTATCACTCATGGAAGACAAGAGTTTTGAATGTGGTGATACATCTGGAACAATGTCTGGTTTTGGCGGAAGGGATCCTGCATCTCTCCCGGGCCAATATGGATAAGGATTGGGCAAGGACCTCTGTCTTTCAAGTGCCATCCTCTTGGCCAGCAAGTAAAGGTTGTTTCCACTATCTACTCCTGATGGGCCCAAATTACCAGAATTATTTCCAATAAACCCTGGTAAACCTAAAAAGTACACATCATGATTAAAATAAAATTATACCATCTCAAAACATAATCAATAGAGTATATAGAAGATATTATGGACAGAAATGACAGTGCATGGAAATACAATTATATTCAAATTACAAACAAGAAAACAAAATAGCAGCAGTATTAACCTTCTGATAATGTCAGACCATCAAGTGGAGGACTGCTCTTGCTACCAGACATGAGTGACTCCAAAAACCTATTTTCAGCTTCTAAAGTAGAACTCTGTCTGTGCAATGAATCATTTCTCAACATCTCAACCTCACTCAAACCAGTATGAAAGTTCCCAAAGGTACTGGAATTTTGATGACCAGCTACCTCTGTAGAGTCGAGTTTTGCTGCAGAGAACCCAGGCGGCGGTCGGGCTTTAGCTCGTAAATGGGGCATGGCATCACCAAGTTGCATCCATGACGAGTCAACTGCTGCATTTTCCAAACGAACAGGTAAATCAATACCAAAATATCCAGCCTCAAACCAACCGATAATATCGATTCCTTTAAATGGGCCCTGAACACGACCCTGAGGATCTTTATAAAAAAGGGATAAATCCTCAGGAGAAGTCTGTGGAACTCTCTTGATTTCAAGTTCACCATCCAAAATGCCAGTTAGCTGCCTCTTAACAACAGGATCCTCACTAGATTGCCACTTAGCTACATCCCTGGAGTCAGATAAATAATCCAAATTACTTTCCCACTGCTTATGAGGACCTTTTGGCTGGTGAGACCGGGTCATATCTGAGTTTCTTGACCTAAGATCACTGGGAACATCTCTGTTATCATGCATGAGAGTGCTTGCACGTTCACCCAACGGCGTGGCACGCCATGCAGCACCAGGATTAATAGAATTATTTTCTTCATAGGTTGATTCTATATTACTAGAAACCTCATCAGCCACTCTGTAAGAACCTCCATCTTCAGCTCTATCTGTAAAGAGATAGTATTAGAAAAACTCCTGGATACACAGGAAAACCCATCTTCATAATTGTTAAATGCAGAGAAGTACAACAGTATACTCAAGTTTTTTTTTTTGGGGGGGGGGGGGGGAGGGGGGGGGATTGGATTATTCAAGTTACACACATTAAAGCGGAAACCAAACAAGGTAGGATAGACAATGTAGTAAAACTTGGTAGAGCCAAAAAAGGGAGAAGTTAGAACTACTACTAAAAGGCTAGTTCAACCATGCACATACAAACATACTCACCAGACCCTTTAATATTAAAAAAAATTCTAGGTTCCAAACAATTAACATGACATGGTAATAAAAAGATCACCATCAAAATTTAGAGAGAAACAAAACTTATGATGTAATTAGTCATTTAATGACGTAGTAAAATACACAATTCCCAGGATTTTATTTAGTTTCCCATTAGCAATACCTTCATTTCTTAACCAGTTAGAGGATGCCTTGAGGCCCAGAATTAGTTAGAAAGCTATAACAATGTTTTCTTTTCATTTGAAGAGCCTTCAAAGAAATTCATATAACCACTTTCAAATGGTCAGAACCTCCCTGCTAAAGCAATTCAGTTCTAACTGAAGCTAAATTGCATCCAAACCTATCTGTAAGGTTATATTCCTAATGTACCTTGGAGAGGTGCATTTCCAAGCTTCATTCGTCTTGAATGTGTAAATTCAGTTGAGTTCCGTCCATCTTTTGACACCTGAGGTGCACTGCTACTAATTATTTCACCTTTGTCAATACCCTTTAAGACAGACTGTTCAAACAGAAAAGTAATCCAATAAACCACTAGAAATGACAGTGGCATTCAACAAAAATATACAGTAACATCAATTACCAGTTCCTCTGAATTTGTTGCACAAAGAGCTAGAGGCTCCAATGGTTCATCCTGTGTAAGAGAAGGGACCTGCACAAAATCATCCACTAGTTTTCTATGTGTATGCATATCAGTGATTTTATAGACGTCAAGCAATTTTGTCCTACTATATTTAAAGGGACAAGCTTCTCCATGCTCACTTTCAACTTTATCCAATACAGTTCCAGGGTATTGAGAATGCATAGATGCACTATTCACAGAGCTACCGCCAGAGCCAGGCCGAGCTCGTCCAAAGGTAATGCCTGGAGGCGTATCCTCCCCACGGCCCCGCCCATAAGAAAATGTAGATACTTGTTTATTTGGCGTCACATTCCGGTGATGGGAAGGCTCTACCTTTCCACGGCTATGTGAGGAGTTAGGTCTCCATGGTCGATAATGATCCCCTTCCTTTTCATCCTTTCCAGGATTGGAAATCTGAGACAAACCTTTGTCCTGGTGCAGATCACCATCTTTACCAGAGTCGCTCCATTTTTCACGAAGACCTTCTTGCTCCTTATCATCAGGACCCCAGCGTGTGTTCCACTTACTCTCACGCCGCTGATCAAAGTTTGTTTCTCTATTACCTGAATCATTCCATCTATCAGATGTACCACGACGTGGGTTTTCCGTCCATCGGTCCACTCTTCGAGCATCACCAAGGTCTTTGTCTCCATCCCTCCGATGATCCCTGCGTATGGAGGACTTAGTGTCTCTCTCTTCATCACGCCAACGATCACGGCGTCCACTTTCAGAGTCAAGCATGGATGGCCTAAAGACATCCTTTCTCTTAGGGCCATCATGCATGTCCTCTCCATTTCCAGACATCTTAACAGTCTCTGTGCGATTGCCATATGGTGGAGTTGAAATCACATGGTTTTCCTGAGTATAAAAACAAGAGAAGAAAGGCGGAATTTGAAGCAATTGTAAATTATTTCTGGAGTGATATGTGCACAGATCTTATTTGCAGATATACATTTTACAGAAGTACAAATAGACAAAAATAAAAATACAGAAGCAGCAAGGAGTCATTACACACCACATTTCCTGTTCCAGGTTTACTCTCGCCTGGCTTCGGCAGAAGCCACTGCGGTGAAAGTGGAATAGGATTGTCAGAGCCCTGTAAATCTGCACCAATGATATAAAAGAATTGAAAATTATAACCAATATCAAAATTTCCCCAAAGCAAAATCTAGGAGCAGCAAAACTATTGCTCTAAGTTTCACAACAGACAAGGAAAGCATTTAAGAGAAGAAAAGCTGAGATCCCTTCGGCCAGTAAAGAATTAGAATAAGATTTTTAAAACTCCTTTGCTCCCAAAAGAAAAAAATTATTGGCATTTGGCATAAGCAATTAAACGTTTTTTTTTTCATCAGTTGTTCTTTATAATTGACAAGTTAATACAAAATTTACACAAAATAAAAAAAAAAAAAAAGAGAAGCACAAGAAGATCAATGGACCAATTAAAAAAAAGAAAACAGAGAGAGAGAGAATTTATGCATTGACGGAATGACGGTCTCTTGCATTGACGGAATGACGGTTTCTTGCAATAAGAAACTATTAGAAAAATTATATGAAAAAAAATGAATACATGAAAATAAGTCAAAACTTTCTAAGACTTTTTTTGTATGCAAATCTACTTGACACGACAATTCAATCAGAAATTTGACTATGTTATGCACATTAACACTTTAACGGTTATAGCTTGAAGAAAGTGCTGCTGTAAACCTGCATAAATAAAAGATAAATTGGGAAAGGTGAAAGGTAAAAACTATACGAAATATAAAGACACACAAAATTGGCAAATAAAGAACACGCTAAATCTGAATTGATGTCAGTGATTAAGCTTAGCTAGTACACAATCCAAAAGTTAGAGAGGACACAAATGTCTGCATACCTCTTTTTTATACTATAATACTAAACAAGTCCCGATAAAATTTCAAATTTTCAATCAGTTAGAAAGCCAGTGTATCATCATCAATTTCAGTAGAGTGGGGCAACACTATATTTCAGTATATCAAACAAAATCAAATAGAATCATGCGGCAGCATCCTAATCTAAAAGTGCTCCATGTATTTTGACAAGTAAACGTGGTAATAAACTAGAAAGTCCAGTAACAATCACTAACGTCAAACAACAGTCCTAACATTTTACGGTTTTCAAACATTATGGCACTAAAGTTTCCCAGGGTACAGCCAGAAAACTAACAAGCATAAAAAATACCTTTCATCTTAATGAGCAGCAATGTCTATTGCAGTATGATGAAATGATATAAGCTTCTAGTCCTTAAGTTCACGAAGAAAGCCATACAAATGTACAATAAAAATCACTAGCACAAGCGAAAAATTAAATTTAAAAAGAATAAGAGTCCATGCGCGGTCAACTAACAGTTAGTTCAAACAGGAAAACAGAAAGAGTAAGAAATAAGCGGAATGCAGACCAATTCGTCAATGTTATCTACCGAATTCAATACCGAGACCTAAATCATCGAGCTTAGAAACGAGAAGAGGAATTTAGAAAGGAAAACAGTTAAGAGACCAAGCAAAACCCTAAACAAAAACAGAGAAGTGAAGTCGTTGGCATAATGAACATGAATAGCGAAAGTGGGTGGAAAGATGCAAGGGTTTAGGGAGGGGACGAAAGTGAAAAGCGAAGAGCGAAAACCTTTGGAGATCTGGAAAGGAGGAGGAGCGGAGATGTGAAGGCGAGTGGTGGAGGTGCGGTCAGCCATGGTTGATCAGAGAGAAAGTGAAGGAGCAAGAGCGTTTGATTGCGATTGAACAGGGTGGGTGAGGGAAACCCAAGGCAATGGCAACAGTGGTGAATATAGGAAGTCTCAAATGCTGGGGTACACGTTACAACACTACAACCCTTAGGCTCACGTTAGTCGGAGGCACTAGTTCTAACCAATGATGCCGTGGAATAAATATCCACGCGTCAAGAACGGAGCGTGCCTAACATGCTGGGGATTTTTCCTCTATTGTTGTGTGGGGAGTATAATAATACTTTTAATGTTTACTTTAAAATTAAAAATACCTTTAATTTTTTTTAATCAGTACTATTTTTATGTAGAAAATATTCATATCTCTTCCTAACATTATTAATATATTTATATTTTTATTATTATTGTCTCTGTTTAAACAAAATATATAAACATTCAGCACCAACACAAATAAATAAAGAATACATGAATTCCTAAAAGAAAAAAGTATATAAAATTTTACTTTATATTCGATTAAATAATAATGAATGCTTTGTATTTAGTGCAAGTATTTTCATATAATAATTTTAATAAACATCTTTAAAAAATATTGATAAAAATGAAATAAAAGTTTTTAAATGTGAATGATATGCTCTATCACACTAATAAAATGTAATGATATCACAAAATTTCAATGAATTTTATACATATGATTGGGGTAGAACCATAATCAACCATTATGTCAGTGAAACTTTGCATGCATAAAAGTATGGGGTTCTTCAATTTTTCCTGAAGAATGAATTAACCATGGATCAAATTATTTTGTTATTTTTCATTAACATCATGTAGATGCAATTTTTTGTCATGCTCAATTTGGCAAATTGTTTTATCTCATTACTTTTTGTCAAAGGATGTTGGTATGGTACTGCTGCTAAAGTATTTTCAACTTGCATGAATAGTTATAAGTTACAGTATTGTATAATACTCACTAAAAATGCTCATTTCAATCAACCTTGAGTGACATGATAGAAGAGGATAGATTTGGATGCCGCAGAGATGGTTATATGTTAGAGCTGTTGTCTATTTTGGGATGAATTTTGTCTCTCTACGGTCATAATGGAAGAAAAAAATGTATAAATTTTCACTAAATTAACAAAGGTAATTGGTGCTATGAGTGAAAAATACTGATATTCTTATAAATTTATTATGGAGAAAATTTAAATAAAATGTTGTCAATATTATAAAATTAGGACTAATGAAAGATTGTCTTTATGTGAAGGAGCTAAGATTGGAGAAAATAATGTATTAGGAATTTTTATAAGATGATATTTATATTTTATTTTAAAAAAAAAATTGTAAATTTATAGTTTTGGCCTTAGCTATTTGGATGATATTTTATCTTTTTTTAAAGAAGGATAAAATAGACATATTATTTAAGTTTTTAATATTGTTTTTTTTTTGTGAATAAGTTTTTAATATTGTTAAGGAAAGACTTGGATAAAAAAAATATAAAAGAATAATATAATTAAAAAAATAAAGGATAAGTAATTTTAAGACAAACCAGAAAGGTATTTGAACTTTTTCCTATTCTAAAACAAACATCTTTAACGTGCACAAACCTCTTTAACGTGTTTGACAGGAAATTAGTGGAAAGGATTTATTCCATCGTATTTTTCTTTTTCAGTTACGTGTCCCATGGTGCGCACCTCCCCACAATGAAATCTATATTACTTCATATATTCGTTTTCGTGTAATGAATCTGAGTAAATTATTTATATTAACTTCAAAATGATGTTATTTTAGTACAGAAATTAAAATATTTTTGTAATTATAATTTATTTTAAGTTTATAATAATATTTATCATTATAATTTTTTAATCTTTAACTTAAAATAATATCAATTTAGAAGTAAATATAAATAATTTATCTGCATTTATCGTAGAAATATTAAAGTCATTTAACAATATTTATCTTATAAATAATTTTAATAAAATAAAATTTACATTCATCAAAATATCTTTCGAACATATATTTACCATTTTAGGATCTGATACACGATTCACAGCCCAGGCATTCCCGGACAGTGTTTCCGAGGCTTTTTCACCGTTTTGTCCCTTATTAATTAATTAATAATCATTTTACCCCTGATTCGAAACTATTTATCAATATGCCCCTCTTTAGTTGACTACCTTGCATTTTTAATCGACTAAATGGCCAAAACAGACAAAAAATGACTGCTAGGAGATTTAGTCGACTAAATCTCCCTATTTAGTCGACTAAATCTTCATATTTGACAAAAAAAAAAAATAAGTCAGTATGATTTTAATCGATTAAGTAGGGAGATTTAGTCGATTAAATTTCCCAACAACCGTTTAGTCGATTAAAAATGTAAGGTAGTCGATTAAAGAGGAGCATATTGATAGATAGTTTCGAATCAGGGGCAAAATAATTATTAATTAATTAATAAGGGACAAAAAGGTGAAAAAGCCGTTTCCGAGGGAGGTAACTATAGTCCACCACCATAGAGGCGGCCTGAAATACAATGAAAGATTACAGATCGCTAAGGGAAGGTTGATAAAAAAAATAGTTGACACCAAAGATAATACACTGCTATGATACGATAAATAAAATACTAATTCTTATTTATATTAATAATAACAAATAATAAATATAAAAAAATATTTCCAGAACACTAAATCATAACCATACAAAAATGAATTAATGGTGATAAAGAAACACACAATTACAACTAAAAAAATTACAACAAAATATTTAAAAATTATATATATATATATATATATATATATATATATATATATATATATATATATATATATATATATATTAGATATTCTAACAAAACACGATAATATACGAGTTTTCCTTCAACTTTTGAATAAAAAAAATGACCAAAAATGTTAAACATTCCTAATTAGTAGTACAAATAAATTATTGAAGACGATATTATTTGATATGATAATTTTTCAAATATCAATGATCATTTACCATTTTTTCAAACGTATTTAACTTTTAAGTCTTAATATTTTTCAATATTAAACTTTTCCATCAAAGAAACCCGCAGATTTATTTTTCAATAAAGCTAATTTTATTTTCCTTTTTTTAAAAATATAATAAATAAGAGTAACGAATCTGCTTACAACGTACTTGAAAATGGTGCCATCAGGTCTAAGGATTGTAGGCCAGTAGCAGTTAAAATGGGTCAAAATTCATATCAATATAACTCGTATAAAATGGTAGTTTAATTAAGCTTAAAAATTGGTAGCGTAACAGCATAGTCAAGACATCCTCTTGTATATATGATCGTATTAGAATGATACTGAAGAATGTTCATCATGAGCTCAAAATGCCTCTGAATATCTACCAAACCAAGCTGCGTTTACAACAACACAGAGGCTAAGCAGCAAGCAAAATTTAGAATCCAAAAAGGTTTTCATTTACAAAAGAAAAGGATAACCAAGTAACGTGCTAAATCAAGGGAGGGAATACAAGTGAGTATACTGGAACATTTCGGTAGACAATGCTGTATATACAGCATACATAACATAAGATTCACCAGATGATTTTATTCTTAATTCTACATCAAAATAACAATAAGCGAAAAGGTACTTATATCTTCGGTAAAGAAGTTGGGAGATCCGCCGGGACATCTGAACTTGCCTGCGACGTGAAAATAAAAGCTTTGCCATTAATTCCACAAAAAAATTCATTACAACAGAAACCTTAAAAGTAGAAATATGGCAGTGGGATTAATTAGTATCTAATATGACTAGGATACTATGAAGAAAGCATCAGCCTTTTACGGGAATAATATTTTAAATATTTCATCACAAAAAATATATATTTCTCCTCTCTTTCCTCCTTCTTCAAGCAGGAAAAGGGATTTAATACCTGAAGATATCTTGTCAACATTGTTGTAGTACTGAAATTAAAGCCCTGAACTGTTTCTCCTTTAGTACGAGATGCATTAAGTTGCTTTCTGACTTGAGTAGCCAGTGACTGCATTATCATCAAAAGTTACGAGAAGAATGAGACAAGTAAATAATGGAGGGGAAAAAACCAAGATTCAGATTGCATACATATTTCTGAGATAGCAACACGATAATGTCAGCTTATCAAAAACATACCTTCCCCAGCTCTACTCCCCATTGATCAAACGAATTGATTCCCCAAATGAAACCCTCTACAGCAATTCTGTGTTCATAGATTGCCAACAACTGAGGAACATAGAACCCAAAAGAAATTAGGACCAATAGAGTAATTTGCATAGACCCTCATTGCAAGAAAACATATACTAATGCTAGTGAGTGGTTGTATCATAAAATAAAATAAAATAAATCTGACAAATTAGTCTCTCATATCATGAGAGAGGTATGTGACCAACTAATGTAGAATAAACAGCTCAAGCATGGAAGATCCACATATAGCAAATTTAAATTCTATCAAGAACCATACACAAAGCTGGAGGAGTGGAGGAAACAATATGAACACGAGAAAAAAAATAATAATAATGTAAGCTGTTTGTCAGACAGATAGCTTTTGCTTGCAGTTATTCTGATACCACACTAAACTGCCCAGATACTTCGTATACATCTGTGAAGGAGTAGACAACAAAGAACACAACTCAGCCAAAAAATACTCACTACAATCCTATCAAGCTGTATACTGCTTTCTCATATTAAATAGACCCACTTAATCCACCTAGATGTGCAAGGAATAATAATTATTTTTTTAAAAAAAATGCAATAGCTATTAAACAGTTTACTCATATTAATAAATTTGAAGTCACCCAAGACATAACCACAAACAAGGATTCCTTCGAGTTTAAAAGTGTTCTCCGCTGTAAACGCCTAGTTTGGAATATAACAAATAGTTTTCATAAGAGAGCAAAAGAATAAACCAAAAGCTCGTGCATATTCAAGGATATGAATAAAGAAGTTCAATACAATATCGTGAACAAATCTCATATAACTAGCTAATTTTCCAGTTGGACATACTCAACAAAAGAAGTAACTGAAACAATAAAACTTCTATGAACAGGAATCAACCATTTCTTTCTAATTAGTAATCAGGACCTAGTGAACAT